TAGAATATTTAGAAAAACTAAAATTATTTTTAAAAAGGATATTTTCTATTAGACATTATATAGCATACTTTTGAGAGCAAAGTATAACGTGATTTTTATTTATTATTATTTACACAGGAATACGATATTAAGGATCATCGACCATGGTTATCCTTGAATCAGTGTGGCCTCAACAAACCTGAGCAAATCAAATTCGCACGCTATTTGGGCCAAGGATTGCCAACGTTTACGCTCTTCTGCATTTATAGCAATTTTAAGAATCTATTTTGCACCAAACGCACAGAAATGTAAGCTTACAAAACATCATTTGCCCGTCATATACATATACGTGATATATACATATATTTTACTATAGCTATACCAAGGATGGCTACAATCTGCCTTATATACTCGATAAGACCAAGCGCTTCCTGGCCAACACAACAGCTGGTAAGACACTCAGCACCTCTCTCCCTCTCCATATATATACCAAATTTTTATAGTGCAAATGCAGCAACGAAAAAAAAAAAATAAAAACAGGCAAAAAACTATTTAAATATAGCTAAATAGAAGAAAAAAATCAAATAAAAATAACCTCAAAAATAGTTTCAAGCGAAAATGTGCTAAATTTTAAAAATATATACACAAAAACCAAAAACGAATTTCTATTTTCTTTTTTTTTCTTTTAAGTTTATGATTTGTTGTTTTTTTCTTCTATTTTTGCATTTCTCTCATTTCACATTTCTCATTTGCTCTATATATATTTTCTGGTTCTTCACATGCACTTTCTGTTTCGCTCTCTTGAAAAATGAAAACTAAAAACTGAAAAAAATGAAACAAATAATTGGCTGCCTATTTTTGCTCTCGATCGAAATCGAAGAAAAAAAAACTGAAACAAGAAAATAATTTTTTAATTTTTGACTTTCAATTTGTTTGTGTTCTTCTTCTTCTACTTCTTTTTACACGCATACGCTTTTCAATCACTAGGCGAAAATACCAACAACAACAACAACAACAGTAACAAGACCAACACAACAACATCCACACAGTTGAAACAAACACAAGAGCTATGCGAATCAGCGCCAGCTTCGCCAATTGCCGCCCCGGCAGCACCAGCAACAACAACACCTACAACAACACCCAATAGCAGCAACAACAACAACACTCACGCAACAGGCAACAGCAGCACACATTTACACACGCAGCAAGCAGCGCAGTCGCAGCAACAACAACCGCAGTCGCAGTCGCAGTCACCGTTAGTAGCAGCGCCCACTGGTACGCCCATGCCCAGGCCGGGCACGCCCACAACGCCAGCCAACCAGCAACATACGCATCTGATGCAACAACATGCATCGCATCATCTCCAACAACAGCAGCAGCAGCAGCAACAACAACAACCACAACCGTCCACGCCTACGCGTGGGCCATCCCTGACGCCGCATCATCATCAGCAACAGCATCCACAGCATGTGCATCATGCACCACCGCTTCCACATCACTATCAACATCCTCATCCACATTCACATCCACAGCAACATCCGCATCCGCATCCGCATCCGCATAGTCATCCGCATCACTTTGCCTATGCACATTCGCATCATTCGCACTACAACCTGCCACCACATCCGCATCCGCATGCACATCCACACCAACATCCGCATCCACATCCACATCCACAGCATCAACATCCGCACGCTCATATGGCAACGCCCCTCGGCTATGGCCAACAGGTGGCGCCAACGGCGCCCCCAACATCAGCTCAGCCACCGCCACCGCCGCCGCCACATGCGCTGCCGCCCAATATGTGAGACTGGCGTCGGCGTGGCGCCAAATATGGCGGCAATGGCGCCACCTGTTGACAATCATTGGCGGCTCTAGCTACCTAAAATTACAAGAGGAAATTAATTATGAATGCCCCAACAACTATTATTAGCTTTTAACTCTTCTATTTACACCATTTGGTTTCATTTTTATTATTATCATGTTGTCTCTGTCCCATTTATAGTCTTCTGTTTTGCTCTTAGCATATGTATTTCGTTTGTAGTCTAATTTTACACGCTTATTGCCAAATTTTTAATATGTATTATGTTAAACGACTAAATTGTTGGACGATGAACGCGCCCTGAACTATGCAATGTTATTCCTTGAAAAGAGATTATTACAATTACAAACACACAACACATGTAAACTGTCATTATAGAGAATCAAGCTAATGCGCAACTATTGAAGTAATAATATATTGAAATATATATATATATATATTAATGAACATATATTTTAGTAAGCCAGAAACAAATGATATATATATGTGCAAAACCCATCCTAAATATATATATATACTATTATATATATACAACATCTACATATATATACAAAACATATAAAGCGAAATTTTGTTTGCAACAACAAATATACATATATATACATACATAGCAAAACAAAACAAATAAGGTTGACTTTTTATTATGCCTGCTCTCGCGTTTGCCTGCATTTGTGCTAGCCAAGCGTCACATTTCTTTAGCATTGGTCGTCGCGCTCCCTCTCTCTCTCTCCCTCTATAAAATTGCAACTCTCTCTTGTAGACCTCAAGAACATGGCGGCCGCCAATGACGGCACGCTCGAGTTTGCCAGCAATAGCAGCAGCAGCAGCAACAATAGCACCAGCAACAACAACAACAACAACAGCAGCAGCAGCGTTAACAGCAATAGCAGCAGCAACAGTAACAGCAGCAACACTGTTAACAGCTACGTAACAGCAGCAGCAGCAACAGCTTCGTCTCAATCCTTGGACCCACGCTATGGCTGTGTGGCGCCGGCGTCGATGTCACTGTTACCGCCACCGTCGCTGCCGCCACTGGGACCGCCGCCACGTTCGCTGGAACAGCTGATCATCTATGAGAATTTCAATGTGCATGAGACGCATCGCATAGAAGATGGCGTCTGCACGCACATCAGCCGCCTGCCGCCCAAAAAGCAGGAGCTATTGAAACAGTTCGGTATACAGAGTAGTAGCCAGCAATGTCTGAGCAATTATGAAAAGTGCATACTCATCGAGAATTTCATCAAGTTCTGCAATGTGAGCAATTGTGTATCGACGACGTGCTCATCCCTAACAGCCAGAGCCTTTGGCGGTTGTGTTCAGCGGAGATTTGTTCTTGAGCCTCGATCCTCTACAATAATTGGCTATATATAAAATATACACATTGGCATTATTCATTATAACTTTCAGTAGTTTTCAAAATTTCACCATCATTCCTAGAGCATAGAACAAAACTCTGGCCGATCCTTAAAATGAAACACATTATTTGACCGATTTCCATTTATTTTGTTTGATAATTTAGGAATATCAGATATCCGATCATCGACCCTTTTTGGACTTCCACGAGAGCGCTTTATCCAAATGTGAACAACTTAAATTTGTACGATATCTGGGCCAGGGGCTATCCAATCTGACGCTAAACAAGATATATGTAGCATTTAAGGAGTTGCTGGGAAACGGACGACCAGACAAGTGAGCAAACTCAACAAATTTTATCCGTGAACTGAAATGGTGGAATATTTAATATTTAATTTTCCAGAGCCGGCCCGGACACTTACAATTTGGATGCAATCTTAAAGAAGAAACGCAAGAATCTTTACAATCGTCTGCATGCGGCTGGTAAACCATGTTCGTTAAATTTTCTTTTCGATAACATTTTTAAAAATTACTTTTAACAACACTGCTATGAACCGATAAGTAACATATTTGTGCTCAGAACTAGTTTAGCTAAAAACGAAGCAATTTTTTGTCCTTTGAACAAATTCAATTTTAAAAATATATGTTTTACAATAATACTAAGAACTGATAGGAACCATATTTATTCTCTGGTTATTTTGAACAAATTTTGAGATAGTTTTTTTCTCCTCTCTTTTGAAATAGCAACAAGTGTCGATCTAACAACATTTGACTCTAAGCCCCAAACACCGCAACCACTTGGAGCAGCGACGCAGCATTCTTTGGTAACACAGGCGCCGCGCCCACAACACGCCTTCGCTGCATTGACGGCAGCCACCACACAGCAGAGCGAAGCGCCATACAGTTATGTGCCACGGTAAAAGCAATCCCTAGCGCCAGCGTAGGCGTTGCACAACAATAATAATACAAGCAGCAAAAACAAGAACAAGAAATATACCTACACATGCATACATATTACATATACTTCCTGGAACTGGACCAGTAACTGTTGTGTCTTCAAAACGAAAAAGAAAAACAAAAACAAACAAAATTATACGCAAAATGACGAGAATTGTTAAGCAAAACGATGCTAAGTAATTAAATTCAAAACTAAGTGCTAAATTATAATGAAAATATGAGTAATATAGTGAAAAAATTAGTGTAACAAATTGAAATTAACATAACGGTAATTAGAATGCAATTCCAATTAGCAAGCAAAATAGGAAACCCAATAAGAAGCGATTCACATAGCAATTCTTGGCCTATATATTGAGATATATATTTGTAGCTCGTGCTTCGGTTTCCGAAAATTAATTTTCCTTTCGTTTTCCAAAAGTTAAACAAGCATTATATATATATATAGATATATATATATACAGTATAGAGAGTTAAGCTAACTTTTAAGTGCAACACCAAAATTCAAAAAATAAATCAAAGACCTCCCAAGAAAGTTCCCTAATATGCATATACACATCAACTATAGCATATAGTACGTAAGTTGAGTGAAGAAACATTTATAATACATAATAAATACGTACAGACACATACAAATAAGCACAACACTGAATGAAACAGTAGAGCAAAACATAGAAGATTAACAAAAACAATTATTCCTATATACAATACTTATATACAACAAACAATATAGATACATAATAAAAATAATATTAACGGAAACGCAAAAATCAAATACCAAGCATAGCAATTGTAAATTCAATATATATACATGAATATATATACATATATATAGTATATAAAAACAACATAAACAAATATATTATATACCAAAACGCCAACGATTCGCATTGTTTCTCTTTTAACTGTACGGAAACTTTTTATTTCTTTGATTCAAAAATGTTTTTTCTGTATACGGAATATTAATTTGCAGCAATTTAGAGACATTTTTTAGGGGTACAAAAGAAGTAAAATACAATACAAGGCAGTTTATATGGGTGACTTAATTTACACACACACGCGACTCCTTGCCGAAAAAGATTTGTTTTACTTAAATATAGCAATAAGAATATGTTTTGTATATCTTCCAACTGGCGCGCGCAATTTCGAATTGCTCTTATCGAGTGTTGGTAAACGCCTACTAATTGGTTTCTTTTTTGCTCATCTTCTGCTCACGCTCCAACGCCCGCTGCTTGGCCTTCTCGTAGATGGGCAGCAACTGTCCAGTCTCGCCCAACATTTTCAGCAGTTCCACAATAAAAGGCAAATAATTGTGTTTGCGTCGTACATTCTCTACCTGCAATGAAATAGTTGTCCATTAATATATAGTTGTGAAATATGATTTGATTTTTGTATATTGCCTTGTATCGCTTTTTCTTCTCAATTTCATACTGTATGTACGAGCGTAAGCTATTAATTTCAGTCTGACGATCATCTGCAGTGTCCATGGCATTGGTAGCCGGATTAAGCAGTTTGTCAATTTGCTGCTCGTAGATGCGCTGTCTGTCGGAGATCAGGGCCATTAGATTAAAATGTATTTCACCATCACTGTAACGTTGCATGCGCTTTTCGATGATCGGTCGAACCACATCGATCCAATTTTGCTCTGGTTTGATCTCGCCAAGATCGATGGGTCCCTCGCGCAGACCATCCAGCTCATACAAACGTCCGGCAATGGGCATATAACCAACAAAATGATAGACATCTTCATCCTTGTTTTGGTTTTTCATGTCCAGCTCAAAAAGCGTTTGTCGTGCAAATGAATTGTGCACCATACGTATCTGGGAGGCATTGCTCAGGGTGAGGCCCTTGTTGTAGGGATCGAAGCACTGGCAGAACTCCTTGAAATTAGTTAGCGTGTTGCCCAGTTTAATGTCCTCGTGATTTAGGTTCAAGAGCAAACTAAGTATGGCTTGTGTCGCACAGGCATTGTTAATCACTTGCTTGGCAAAGAATATGTGATCCCGATCCAAGACAACTTTGCCAGCGGGTTCGTCTTCTTGCACCCATTTGAACAAAAATATCAGACCATGTATCGGTTCCAAGTCTTTGAATGATTCACTGTCTAGACTCCAGATTTCCTCCACCTGTGCGCCATCGCATCCTACAGAAAAAAAAACGCTTTAATTTATATGAAGATTATGTATAGCATTTGATGCCGGCATTGGCTTCCACGTCCACTTGCAAAAAAAAAGCGCGCGGTGTTTGAAACATACCAAATTCGCGAATCAGCTCTGTGAATACGCCTGGATCACTTTCTATAAGACACCAATTGCCAGCTCCTTCGCCCATTATGTGAAGCTAGTTGTCGCTTGCTCAATTTGCGAAAATTGCCACTAAAAAATTTTTTTGTCAACTCACAAGCACCACGATTAATGTTAGGGATGTTCATAATTTAACGATATATAAAGCGATACATAATACGTTACGATAGTTTCGTGCACTTCTGCACTTCGTATCGATATTTATTTGACGATAATATCGATATGCAACACATGTTTAGATATAAACAAACATTTCAATAACGCAATTTATTAATTTCTAAATTGCATGTTGTATAATTAAGATAAGTTTTGGTATAGCAATACGAGTCTGTTGAGTATACCAAAGTATTAAATATTAATTTGTAGAAATTTATTTCTGCATACACAGCTGCATAACGATTGTCATTAATGCGCTTAGTGACGATGTTTCAAATTATTTGTACATCTCTAATGTCATGGCGGACACAAAGCAAAGCGGTGGGGAAAAAAAATTATGTGCAAGCAGAATGAAAAATCTCAAATAAAAAAATATAATTTTTCTGCAGCCAGTGAAATGTAAACTAATAATGTGTACGATAACAATAACAGTGAGACAATAATGTATATTTTAGAATATCAATTATAATGTGTACGGCTAGGTAAAATAACGAAAAAATGACGCGAAAATATGATTTCAACTTCGTGCAGGCGCCACCAACAAAATCAGTGTTTGTAGTGTCAGTGGAAAATTGGCAATTGCGTACGTTTATGTAAATGCTGAGTACGGGGGAATAAAAACAAATTGCAATTATCACCAAAATATTAATTTTTTATTAACTGTGTATTAACAACGGTCACATTCCCACGTCTCAGAGAGAAAAATATTGGGGAAAAAGAGGCGCGAAAAATTCGCAACAAAATGGTTGTCTCAAAAGACAACAAGCGTCGCCGTAAGGAAACGGAGACCCCGCCAACGTCATCGTCGTTGGCGGCAGCGGTGACCGTTGCTGTAGAGTCGTCACCTGAGATGCCTAAAAGGTGAGCCTATGCCTCCCCCTATCTATTTAGTTGATTGTAAATAATTGCATATGTATGTAAATTCTATAAAGAGATGACGACGCAGCGGCAGTCACTGTTAAATGAACTAACGGCAATAACACCTCCCCCCACTTTGCTACTCACCATTAAGTGTGGTGCGCTACATTGTATAAGCAACAGTGTTCTTAGCTTTAAATTATAAAAAAGCTAAAACAAGCTAATTTTACTATACAAAAAATAAGTATTGGTAACAGTTTTTTTAAACTGGTATAAAAAATATTAAAAATGTATTAAGTTTATCAATCAGCTTGTTTTTAGCTATTTAGCGGGAAAAATAGCGCATCACTGTTGAACAAGCTTCGTGGCTCTGTTGTTGCACAGGCCAAGGGCTGATTCGCAATTACTTTAGGGTAGAGCAGGTGTCCATGTGTGTAAACGAGAGTACGAGTGTATATGCATGAGTCTGTGTACGTGTTGGGAAATTCGATGCGTTTTTGTTTTGTTCTTTGATTTTGCGTGTGATTTGTATTCAGTTGCATTTGTTACCAATTAAAATTCACTCACACTTCTATCTTGCCTATCTATGTCCCACCCACACTCTATTGCAGAACAAAGGTGCAGGCACAGCGTAAATTTGCACAAGGGCAGAGCGCGCCCACCGCTGCAGGCGCCTTCAGTGCTGCCAGCGTTGCAGCAGCAGCAGCGGCGGCGGCGGCAGCAGCAGCAGCATCAGCGTCGTCTGGACCCAGCACATCTACTGAAAGCCACCAACCACCGATCGAGATATTGCCAAACAAGTGTCCCAAGGCACATGATTTTGTAACATTTCTCTGTCTACGCGGCACCTCCGCCTTGCCCGCTCATTTGGACTATTTGAATCAGGGCAAGGCCAAAACAAACGACGCTCCGCCAACCAGCGATGCCAGCAACATCAACAAAAAGAAGAACATCGGCAAAAAGAAACGCGGAAGACCCGCCAAAACAGCAACAGCTAAAACTAAAGTTGAGCAAACCCCACAACAAATGCAGCAGCAACTGGTACAACCGCAATTGGTAACAGCTGATAAAGCAGCTAGTGATAAAAGTGAAACTGTGAAGCCTCTGTCAGCAGCTCCTCCTTTGCTGCTGGCGGGTGCAGTGCGCAAGCGTGCTGAGGTGATAGCCGAGGGCAACAGACGAGGAGCGAGACGCACGGAGAATTTGAAGCGTCGCTCGAATCGCGCCAGCAACAGGGAAAAAGAAGACGAATCTGAGCAAAATAAAGATAATTCAACTCACCAAGGGGAAGAGGAGGAAGAGGACGATGATGACGAGTTCTTCTCTGCCCACGATGCAAGCTCACGCAATGGTGGCGCTGATGAGACACTTTCCAAGTCGGAAGCACCCCACTCGAATGCTAAACGCGGTCGCAACCAGGCAACAGCATCAGCGGGCAGAAAGTCACGAGCAGCTGTCTCACCAGCTGTCACCGAGAACAGCAGCAGCAAAGATAAGGAAAAAGGTCCAGTGAAACGTGTGCGGCAACGCGAATCTCCCATATTCATACCCTCGCCAGAATCGTCGGGCCGCATGACACGACAGAGGGCTTTTTTTGAGCCCGTTAAGGTACCGCCCAAGCAAGAGGACACGGACACGGAGGACGAGAAGAAGGTGCAGGAGCAGAAAAAGCCTGCTGCAGCGACTGAGTCCAAGAAACAACAGTCGCAGCTTGCTCAACGTGAGCTCAGCAAGGAAAAAATCAACTCAAGCATTTATGCCAAAGATGCGGCTAAGAAGCAACTGGAAAACGGAGGGACAACATCAACTGCGACAGCTGCTGAACAGCAGAAGGGACTGAATGTATTTGACTTTAGTTCCGATGACGAGCAGCCGCTGGCCAAGGCCATAAAGCTGAAGAAGGGCGCTAAAAAGAGTGCAGCAGGAACAGGAGCATCAGCAGCGGCCGCCACAACCAGCGCACGTGGGCGTAAGTCAGCAGGCGGACCGGCAAAAAAGCAACAACAGCAACGGGAAGATGAAAAGGCGGAGGCAAGCAGTGCAACGCCGGCAAGCAAGGTCGAAGAACAACCCAAAACGAAGCGTGGAAAAGCGCTCAAAAAGAAAGCGGAAGAGGAAACAGATCATCAGGAGGACGAATTAGAGTCAGAGACTATGCCGCCCTCGCCCAAGAAGCCGAGCCAAACAAACGCTCGTCCGGCGCGTCGTCAAGTGCAGTCGAGAACAAACAAAGTCGAACGGTCAGTCAGTCCTAGTCCGCAGCGAAGTCAGCGGCCGTCGCGAAAAACGAAGGAAGCGGCGGCCATTTACATGGGCATCATCGGGCATAAGCTGCAGCTGGCCGATGACGAGGAGGATGATCTGTCGCTGAGCAGCTTTCCGGACATACCCAATGTCAAGCAAATGGAGAAAATGGAAAAGGAGATGAAGAAAAATGCTTCCGGCAAATCAGGGTTAGCAGAAGCAACAAAAAAGTCAAGTAAATCCGCAGCAGCAACTGCTGCAACAGAGACGGAATCTACTGCAGCAGCCTCAGCAGTTGCCGTTGCCGAGCAGACGTCTCAAGCTCCTGCAGAAGCGACAACAACAGCAACAGCGCCGCCAGCTCCAGCGAGACGCGGACGACCGCCCAAACAGGCGAAAGGCGCAACGGGTGGTGCGGGTGGATCAGCGACTGCAACGGGCAAACCGCAGATTGAGGGCATGCTGGTAAAAAAGGGTGCACTGGCGCTGGCCAAAGCCAAGTCCGAACAGCAACAGCAAAAAAACCAACAGCAGCAACAACAGCTGCAGCAACAGCAACAAAAAGACGACTCCGATGCGGAGGAGGATTTTTTAATCAATGAGGAGCTAAACGAAACGAAGCGCAAGCTGGAAAAGAGTTTTAGCGACTCCGATGATGAGCCTTTGGCCATTAAAGTGCCAACAGCAGCAGCCACAGCGGCCGCAGCAGCAGTAGCAGCAGTAACAGCAACAACAACATCAGCAGCAACAGCAGCAGTAGCAGCAGCGACAACAACAGCAGCCGCAGCAGTTGTAGCTGCATCAACTGTCAACGCCAGCAATAGCAAAGCTGAAGGTGCAACAGCAACAGCAACACCAGCAGAAGCCACAGTTGTAACAGCAACCGTAACAGCAGCAGCAGCAGCAGCTGTAACAGCATCAACATCAGTAGCCGCTGCAACATCAACAACAACAACAACGTCACCCACTGTTAAACCACTGACACCACAGCCGAGCGCAGCGAGTTGTCCTCCCAGTTTGCCGGGCACCACGCAGCTGACGCTGCTGCCACTGACCGCCAAGCCCATGCCTTACTCCATATCGCCGCCCAGCTATGCGTCGGCTGCAGCAACACTGAAAGCCATGGAAAAGAAATCGCCAGTGCCCACATCGAAGATACTTAATGTGCCCGCCACGTATGCGCTGCCAGGCACGGGAGCTGGTCTGAGCACGGCAGCTGTAGGATTTGCGAAGACCTCGTCATATTTGCCGCAGGCATCGCCGCATTATCACACGCCGTACGTGCGACCGTCAACATTTGGGGTTGCTGCGGCGGCTGCAGCGGCAGCAGCTGCCGCTGGCAACAAGACGCCCCAGCATCAGCAGCAGCAGCAGCAGATAACGCCGACCCTGATCACAGCAAGCAGCGTGACATCTCCATTGAAATATCAAACGCCGCCCACAACTTATCCGCCGCCCATTGAAGCCTATCAGTGTCCCAAAATCAATCCTAATTTTCTAACGCCCAAATATGAGCGCAGCAGCGTTTTGCCACGCGCCAACAACATTGTCAACAACAACAACAACATGAGCAGCAGCAGCAGCGTGACAACGGGCAATGTGTTGAGCAACAATAGTTTTACAGCGCCAACAGCAGCGCGTTCCACACTCAACAGCTTAGCCACGCCTGTGGCAGCCGCACCAAAGAGTGTGACAGTTAGTCAAAGTCAAACTCTTAATCTTAGTCTGACCGCAACGCCATCGCCTGTGGCTTCTACATCGGCGGCAGCAGCAGCAGCGGCTGCTGCAGTCGCTGCGCAGCAACATCAACAACAACAACTGCAGCAGCAGCAGCAACAACAGCAGCAGCAGCAGCAGCCTCAAGCGTCGCCAGCACCAACCCAACTGCAGCTAACAGCAGCAACCGTAGCAGCTGCGACAACGCCAGCAACAACACCTGCAACGCAGACTAGCACCAGCAATGCAGATCCGCTGAAAGATGAAATTGGCAGCATCCTGGCACAGGCCACGCTTATGCCCAGCAAAGAGGAGTCGGGCAAGATTTTTGGCATAGCCAGCGTAAGTCTGGCACAAAGTTCCGGGCCGGACAACACGAAATGTACGCTGGGCAAATGTGGTTCCATACATAAGCCGGTGCTGGGTCCGGTAGTGCCAACTGAAGGCTACTTTGGCGATCAGCTAACGAGCAAGGAGCGGCGCAAGGCCAAGGTGAATATGACGCATGAGCAGATACAGAAGTGGCTGATCGAGTGCAGTTCGAATCCGGACGAGATCCAAGATGATCTGGACGATGATTACGATGACAGCTTGCGGCCACAGCAGGCGCAAACACCGCCAGGACCCACCACCCGTGACGATAAAGAGAGCACCAGCTTCAGCAGCTCCTCGAAGAATACACGCGGCGAGCTGGGTAAAAGCGAAAGCGCCTGGTCAGCCAAGGGACCGTCCCTGAAGGCGACACCAGTGCTGGTCAGCTCAGCGGCAGCTGCTGCAACAATTGTCAGCAATCGCAAGGATACAGAGACGGAACCCGAAGCTCTGGACTTTGACAAATGCATGACGCCCGTGAATCTCACACAGAAGCCACAGCTGGAAACGTCAGCGGCCGACAAGAAGCTGAAGAATGCAGCCAGCAATAGTGTTAAGGCGGCGGCAGCGCAGTCGACCACAACAGCCGTTGGAGCGGGCAGCAAACGAAGCGCCACGGCCACGCCTACGCCTAGTGCAACGCCCACGCCACCACCACCTCCGCCCAGCAAACAGAAGGCAGCCAATAAAAAGCAGTCAAATGCAGCTGCAACAAAGCAATCTACGCCGCCACCCAGTCACAGCAACACTAAAGCAGGATCATCAACCCCAGCAACACCAACCAAACGCACGCCTGTCTATCAGAGCCAGAGCAAGGGCAAAGCCCAGGCCCCGGCAGAAAACAAGCAGCAGCAATCGGCTAAAGTTGCTGAAAAAACATCCGTTTATGCCTTTGGCAAGGAAGAGGAGACAGCTGCAGCAGCTGCAACGACAAGTGCTCCTGCGGGCAAGGCAACAAATCGTCGTCGTAATGCAGACACCGATGCATCAACGCCGGCGCCGGCGCTCAGCGAACGCTCACCGACGAAAAAGCGTGCAGCTGCAGCAGCGGCAGCTACGGCAGTTCAGCTGACACTTAGTCCCACTGATAAACTGGAGAAGCCCAACAAGGCAGCAACAGCATCAGCAGCAACACGAAAGAAACAACAGCAGCAGCAGCAGCAGCAGCAGCAACAACAACAGGCAACAGCAGCTGCGGCAGCAGCAGCAGCAGCTGCCAGTACAGGCGGAGATTCGGATGCTGAGGGCGCTACCTTCTACATACCACTGCTGCAGGGTGCCAGCGGCGGCGGCGAAGGTGGCATACAAGGCGTGGCCGTCAAGTTGGGACGCGAAGGTCCTGATGGGCCCAATCAAAAGGTGGTGATGCAGGCAACGCTCGTAACCAAAGCGCAAATGGACACAAATTCCTCTAAGCCACTGCCGGACAATGAGCTGGTCAAAACGCTACTTAATGCCGCCAATACCAGCAACGATGCAGTAGCTGCTGCAGCAGCCGTAACAGCAGCTAGCAACAGTCTAAAAGCCAGCACGTCAGCTGCAGCAGCTGCAGCTACCGGACTGGTCCGCGTCAATTCCAATTCCTCGCTTTTCTCCGGCTCTGGCAAGTCGCGCACTGCTGCTGCGGCGGCCGCGTCTACAGCCCTGGCCAAGAAGTACAAAGACGACACGCCCATTAAGATGGCCAATAATACGGCATTCCCGCGACATGATGATCCCACACAAATGGTCGAGGCGCCCATATTTAAGCCCACCGAAAAGGAGTTCGCCGATCCCATCGAATTCATTGAACGCATTACACCGATTGCTGCCAGATTTGGTATCTGCAAGATTATTCCGCCGGCCAGTTTCAAGCCTGAGTGCCGCATCTCCGATGAGATGCGCTTCACGGCGTACAATCAGTATGTTCACAAAATGCTGCATCGCTGGGGACCCAGTGCCAAGGAGCTGAGCGCGATCAAAAAGTATTTAGCCACACAGAGCATTGTGATGAATCATGCACCCTGGATTGGCGGCATGGAGGTGGATCTGCCACGTCTATATCACACTGTGCAGGAGCTCGGCGGTCTAAAGGAGGTCATCGAAAAAAAGAAATGGGCACGTGTAGCAGAAGAGATGTGTATACCGAAGCTTGCGCAGGATCGTGTGACCAAACTGGATGACATCTATTGCAAGTACTTGTTGCCCTACGACACGCTCTCCCCGGCAGAAAGACAGAAACTGTTCGATGAGGTCGAAGCGGATTGGGCGAAGCGAGAGGCACGCGCTCGACGCAATGCGGATCGATTTGTGAATAGCACCGAGAGCGTTTCGAACGAAGAAGACGATGTCTCCACGGATGAGGATGAGGAGTCGGAGGAGGAGATCGACGGTGTTTCCATGGAGTGCATTGTCAAGGGTCGCAGCATGGCGCTCAGTCAATTCTATCGTATAGCGCGCAACACTATGGCACTGTGGTTCAAGAGCACCGATCCTACGGTCAATGAAGTGGAGGCGGAGTTCTGGAGACATGTTGCTGTGCGTGACAGTCATGTGTGCGTGCATTCGGGCTCCATTGATAGCTCCGGCTGGGGTTATGGTTTTCCCAGTCCGGGTCCCAAGGGCAAGGGCTCGAATTATGCGCGTCATCCGTGGAACCTCAAGGTTCTGACCAATAATGCAGGGTCTGTGCTGCGCTCGCTAGGTCCTGTGATGGGTGTTACGGTGCCTACCCTCCACGTGGGCATGCTCTTCTCCGCCTGCTGTTGGTATCGTGATCCTCATGGACTGTCTTGGATCGAGTATCTGCATACAGGTGCCTCCAAGCTGTGGTATGGCATACCCGACGATCAGAGCGCCAATTTCCGTTCGGCGTTGACATCACTGATACCGACGCACTGTCAGAACAAGACTATTTGGTTACCCTGTGATACGGTGATGGTGCCTCCACACATGCTCACCGATCGAGGTGTCTCGCTATGCCGCATCGAACAGAAGCCGGGCGAGTTCATTGTAGTTTTTCCGCGCGCTTACACATCCAGTCTAGCCACGGGCTATGTGGTTTCTGAAAGCGTTTATTTCGCAACTATGTCGTGGCTAGATTTAGCCAAGGATGATTTCAGGGTAAATCTTCATCTAATCTTGATGTTAAACAACTATTTAAATTATGTTTCTCCATTGCAGGATATTCATGAGAGCTGTGAGCCGGCGATGTTCTCGCTGGAACAATTGCTTTTCGCCTTAGGATACGATCAGCGCGTTAATTCGGACACACTGCAGCAGATGCTGCCCATGCTTAACGAGGTCTGCGAAAAGGAATCAGCGGCACGCGAGCAGCTCAGAGTATGTTCCATGAAAATACAGCAAAAACAATAACTCAAATAATCTGATCTATTTTTAGGCTGCTGGCGTCACATCCACGGAGAAAGTACAGGCGGAGAAGGGTCAAAAGACAAAGAAGCAACAGCAACCGCCCCACAAATCGATTGAAAGCGAATGCGATCTATGTCGCGCCAATCTGTATATATCGATGGTACGCACCGAGGAGAGCAACGTCTACTGTTTGCAGCACGCACTTAAAAATCTCAACAACGGCAACATTCAGGCCAAGCAATGTAAACTGATCTATGCATACAATGTCGACGATATTCAGCAGTTGATACGGCAGCTCCAGGAGAAGATTCAGCACAAGGCAGCCGTTAAGAAAAAGTAGCAACGTCGGCGTCGCTACTAAATGAGCGCAATTATGATATAAATTATCCAAAACGATTTAAACGACAGCGTTTAAAAATAATTGTATATAGGACTACATATTGCATAAATGTATTTATAAATCTTGTAGTATGTATATATATGTATAGATTAATATATATACATTTGTGTGTGTGTAGGATTTTCAGTGTGGCAATGCTTGCAATTTGACTAGTTTATACAAATATATATATATATATATATATATATATACATATTTATATGTGCGCTTCAACAATAGGTGTAAATAGCAACTAATATTTTTAAGTAACGCGTTTGCAATGATTTTGTTTTCCATTTTCTTTTGTTATTGCTGAGTATATATATATAGATATATCCTGTGTGTTATTGATTGTATATGTATATATATGCTGAAAGAATCAACTTAGGAATTAGTTAGCTTACAATTAAGTCAAGAGCTTGCGCTCGCCGTAAGTTAATACAAAGATTTAATCACACCGCTAACGAGTGGCAATTTCTACTACCTTTTATACGATTAACAATTACCATAAGCAACATATATAGACATCTAATATGAATGGGAGACGTATTCTTAGATAGCAATAGCAATAACAATAGAAATAGCAGTTGGCCCAGAGCCGTAACCAAACTAATCTAAAGCAAGAATAACTTCCTAAACTCCTGGCAAATCTTGCAGCTGATATAGCGTTACATTTCATAGATGTTCCAGTTTGATGTAATGTACTTTTAAAATATACATGTATACATTATTTATCATCTACCAGTGCTATATAGAAAATGGATAAACACACACAAACACAACATTTGACAATGTAAAAAAATAGTAATGAAAAATAACTAGGCGGCAGTCCATTTTTCAATTCAAATGGGGTATAATGAGAAGTTTAATATAGATGTTCTATGTATTTATATAGTTGTAAAAGTGTAATACAATATTTAAATAACAAGTGCAACAATAAATCTTAACTCGAAATATTACAAGTTGCACGGTAAAGTTTTTTTTCTTCTCCTGTGTTATTCTAAAGAGTACATGTATGTATTTAATCTTTAATCCTAATTAACGGCAGCAGCTTTATCAAGACTACATTATCTTACCTCACAATCACATCCATTCGTATATATGTATATGCGATTCAGTATTCGAAAGTACAGTGCTTAACCTATGGCCAAATCCTAAGTACGATCTATACAGCCTACATTAGGAAGCACTAAGCTTTTGGTTTCTTGGTCGGCGGCAAACACTCGGTGGCCACTGTAGGGCGTTTTACAGCGCCACTTGCAGCAGTTGTGCTGCTTTCCATGCTTTTGCCCTTGGCCAAGACGTCCTCTAGCTGACGCTTTAACTCGGACACTTGGGTTGCCAGTTCAGTAATGCTGCCCAACGCCTCTTGCAGACGACGCTCCTGTGCCTTTCGTGAACTTTCTAGCAGGCGCACTTTCGATGTCAGCAGCTTTTGTGTTTGCCATTGGCGCTGAAGTTGTCGCGTTAGACGGTTACGATTGCAATTGCATTGAGTGGTATCAGTGCCATCAGCGTTGGCTGGCAGTGTCTTGGCTAATAGCAGTGCTTGTTGCAGCAATGCGTCGCTTTTCTGGTTCATGCAAAGCATATTGTGACATTGCGCTTGCTGGAGCTGCTGCGGGTGCTGATGGGATGACTGAACTTTCTTCAAAGGGCTGACCTTGACGCCGTTGAAGCTAATGTCGCCCAAGGCACCGCAGACAACAACACGCGCGCTACCTGAACCCGAGGTCTCGTTCATTTTAATGGCTGTTTTAAAGTTGACAGCAATTTTCTCATCAAAGTGCTCAATTGCCATTGAGGAGATGTCGCGCAGTTCTTGCAGCACTTCGTGAGGACGCAGAGGCTTCGATGTGCCGCCCAACAGCTTCAATATACTATTAATTTCATCCAGTACTCGTCCTGGTATAAAGCAGCAAATGTTCAGATCAATAAACTTGGAGTAGGTCATTGTGAGCATTGAAATGCGTGTCTCTATGGAAGTCAGGATGTCTGAGTGGCGTGCGAGCATATGATTACTGCAAAATAAAGATGTATTATCAAATTCTGCGATCTGTTTAATATTGAATAACTTACCGACGCTCTGATTCGCGACGTGGCAGCAGTGATTTAATTCTTTTGAAATTCTTTGCATGCTCCTGTACCACTTTATTGAAGCCCGTGTTCAATACCTGTTGGCAAATATAATTGAAGCGAGCGCAAACCTGGAACATAGAAGTTTATGGAAGCGTCTCGGAGTTACGGTTGATAAATATCACTTTTTATATACCTCACGCTTTCTCGCTACCTCATCGTACGTGAGTAGCTCCAATATGTCCATCAACACAGTGTCTGGTAGGTCTAAGAGATGCATTATACAGTTTTACTTCGTTTCGACTTCAGTTGAAGATTAAAAAATAACACCTAAATGATTCAATAGCAAGCACAGCAAATGATAGGCGAAAACAAACTAAAGAAAAGAAAAACTACAGGCGTTGCCAGACTGATTGTTGCATGCGCACAAATGCTGAATGATGTATCACGTATGGTGTAACTGTAACGGCAGTTTCGTCTTTAATTTTAAGCTGTGTTCACTTAAAAAAGTTTTTAATGAAAAATAATAAGCAATGGCTACGCCAAGCGAAATAATAAATATTAGTCCAGCTACTACATATTGCTCGGAGCTTGAATACTTAATAACACTGCAATCAGAGGAGTTGACGGAGTCACAACCGCGCCGCTCTCAGCGGTTGCGTGAAAAAAACTCTTTTAAAGATGCTCTCGAATATGCTGCAGTTGCAACAGCTGCAGATAGAGCTAGCTCGCCTCAACTGTTTGCAGATATAGATGAGGAATGCAGCCAGCTAGCTCAAATTCCACCCAACCATGCAGTCGTACCAAATACTTACAACAATCGAACGCTGAATTGTGGATTAAAAAAGCGTCGCATTAATCGTTTGCGTTCAACGTCGGGCAAAAGGCGAGGGTGTACGAAAAAGCAGGCTGAAGCAGATCAGACGGTTACTACAACAAGTTCAATGCCTGGCAAATCCAAGTGCAAAGTCGGGATTAAGAGAGGGCGTTCTAAACGTCAAGTTCGTCCTGTGCAGGAACTTCTAGTAGAACCAATGCCATCTGATAAACAACAGGCAATCCCGACTTCTAATGTCAGCATGGATAAATGTGAATTTCATTCTGCAGGGACGAACAATCCGGTGCCAACTATAGTGCCACCCAAGGTGTCCCCAGTTATCATCAACTCGACCCAATCTCATTCATATCAGTGTATGAATTTAACTCAGACTGTCTTACCTGAGCGTTATCCTGCCCATTTTATACATCAGTTGCCATCGGACCCAAAATACTTAACCGGAACCATTCTTTCAGGCGAATTACAGCGTGCCAGCTCATCAGTAATAATCAATGAATCAAATAAAATGTCTGATATGACCTCTACGGATAGCGAAAAGCTTTCACCATCACCACCAAATGTTGAGTCATGGGGTTCTACGACACCATCTTTAAGTGAATCACTGACCGAGGTGTTTGGCACAAAGCGAATTCGGGATGCACTGAATATTGCATTGCCACGCCAATATCGGGTGCAGGAGTCTCAGCTGCCCGACATTGCGTTCATGCTGGGCGTTAAAGTCGAGCGATTGCGCAACGTCTTGGAGCTAACAGAGCGGTTGACTCTGAATGAACTGCAACAATCACGATACGAATCGCCTGAATTGTCTAGCGATGAGGAGGTTGAGCTAGTAGAAAAGCCATATCCGTACAACAAAATTACAACAAAATCTTGTAAAATTGTAGGTTAATTTGTATATTATTTTGTCATTTATCATGTGGAACAGCAGTGGCGCAATCCCAAACGATGCCTTTAGTTTTAATTGAACTGCATTTTGTATTCAAAGAGCAAATCGCTCAAAACGCGATTAGCACTGAGCTGCACATCACAAACTGATATCGATTACTATTAATTATGTCAATCGAACTCTGATGATGAATCGAACCTGGGCAGCGTCACTGCGCGCCTATTTTGAAGTGAACTGATTCTTCTCTTTGAATTTGCATTTTGATTTTTAACTTAAGCGATCATTTAAATTGTTGTATTTTGTATAATTTAGTTGGTAATTGGTATATAATGTATATTATTTTTGTTTGTTGCCTAAGACTTTCAGAGTGCACAGAGACAGAGAGAATTGTTTAAACCTTCTTCATCTTATTTTTTGTTTTTGTTATAAATAACCTAAGTCTAATCGTTATCTAAACTTCAATATAATTCATAATTAGTTTTTGTTTTCGCCTTCAAATATGTATGTTTATAATTATGTAATTATATACAAGCGCTCAGACTTGGAGACATTTTCTAGTAGTCGCTGTCGTAGCTAACATCCTGCTGCGCCTGCGTTGAGTCATCGGAACGCTCCGATGTTGGTTCAAAGTCAACATCGAGAGCATTGTCATTAGCTGGACAGCAATTGGGATGCGCCATTGAATCGAAGGCATCTTTGATTTGATTGTTGGCCCCCTTGGGATCCAGATCAGTGGCCCAGCTAAAATGCATCAATGCCAAATCCATGTTGCCAAGTGTCTTGTGTATTTTACCAATTAGATAAAACACAACCGACTCTTTTGGCACAATTTCCTTAAGCTCCTCCAGTTCTCGCAATGCTTCTTGATATTTGCCCAATGAGAAATATATTGAGCCGCGATGGAAACGAGCCAACGGATTTTTCGGATCTATCGTAGCTGCCGTATTAAGCGTTTGCAGTGCCAAATCCTTTTTCTGCATAAAGAACTGCATTGCTCCAATGTGCACCAGAATCACCGAGTTCTGCGTATTGATCTTGAGTGCCTTAACATAATGCAACTCGGCCAGCTCGTATTTTTCCTGCTTGGAGTAAATGGTGCCTATGCCAAACCAGGCATTATAGTGCCGCGGATCACGTACTACTGCCGCCCTAAAATAGTCCATAGCCTTGTCAAATTCCTCGGTAAGTACCAGCTCATGGCCCAGGAGCGTGTAACTGTATACAAAGTCGGGATCTACTTGCACGGCGCGCTTAAAGAATTTAATGGCTGTCTCGTGCTCTTTGTGCAGTGAGAAACAATTGCCAGCCACACACCACGTAACCGGACTGCGCTTGTCCTGTCCAATTAGGTCCTGGGCAAGTGCCGACAGCGCCACCTCCTTTTGCAAGTGCCATAGGGATGTGGAATAGATTTCCATGTACTCAAGGCGACGTGGTTCCGTTTCATGTATCCGCTTGAATATAACTACAGCGGCTTCATAGTCACGCAGCTCATAGCGACACAAACCAATCAGGGATTGCACCCAACTCGAGCTCAAATGATGCTTTGGTATCGTTGCCTCCAGATGCATAATGGCCGCCTTGCATTGAAACGACGACAGTAGTTTGTAGCCCTCGGCTAGATCGCGAAGAAGCAGCATTAGACCATCTGCGGATTGTTTCTTCATGGTCAGCAGCTGATGCGCCAGCGTTTGGGCATTATTAAGGCTATTGTTTAGCAGGACTTTGGCGTCGTCGGCGCTGCGATTATTAATTCCTGATTGATTATTGCCGCCGGCCGTGGCAGCCGATGTGATTGTTTCCACTTTTTCCTTCTCCTTGCGTGATTGCTTTTCGCTCAGCTTCTCGGCGAGATGGTGATGCGACTTCTCATCAATGAGCTCGTTACTTAAACAGATTTTGGTCATGCGTGACGATTTGGTTTTACGTGGCGGCGATCGCGGCTGTACAAACTTATTGTTATTCGTTATGTTGGGCGATTTGTTGTTCTCCTTGACCGAGTATGCCGAATTGCTGAACAACCGCGAACTGCGACGTACTGCCGCATTGGGATTGGGTGGACCATTGCCTACAACATTGTTTGGTGTACGGGGCGTTATGTTTCCAGCCTGCGTAAAAACGGCGGGTTTACTCTTGTCCTGACGATTGATGAGGCCACCAACATGCGCCTTAAATTTTTTCCCCATTATTTTTGGTTCTTGATTGACCTCCACAAGCATTTGCGGCAATGGTGAATACGCAGACACGCTTAAATTGGCTTGTAAAACGGCTGATCCGCCATCGGAGGGACTAGTCAGTGGCATAACGCCAAAGCTGGGCGTTAACGGTGATATTGCAGTCAAATATTTGAATTGCTTTCGAAACGGTGTACCGTTGTTGGTATCATACAATTGCTGCGGATGCTGTTGTTGCTGCTGCTGTTGTTGTGTGAGGCCATCATGCGTTGCATAACCCATTGGTGTGTCCTCGAGTAGAATCATACTTGAATTGATGTTCTGTTGCTGTTGAATACCACCACCGCCACCACCACGCAGCATGGAAATGGAGCTATTGAGATTGTTATTGTTGTTGTTGTTTATGTTGTTGTTTGGTGTCATCAGATTCTGTAGTGTGGCCAAGTTGCTGCAGCTGTTGTTGTTTTGTTGCTGTTGTTGCTGCTGATTGTGGTCCACTGGGGTATTTAGTATATAATGTGAATTATTGCTTATATTATTTAGCAACATATTCTCTAGCTGATGTTGCTCGTTAGCAGAGCTGCCGCCGAACAGCACCATTGAATTGGCATTGGCGCTGCTACCTTGGCAAGTGTTGAACACATCAGTGCTTTGAATTTGGAATATTGCCGCTGAATCCGTATCCTGACCCAGCAGGCACAGATCGGCAAACGCATGCCACATAAACGGGTTCAGTTTAAGTGCGCGACGTAATGCATTCACTGCAAGCTTCTGACGCTCCGTACGTACACATATCTGCGCCATCAATTGATAAGCAAAACAGGCGATATCTCCAAACTCACGTTGCATCTCATCAAAATATTTGTTATCCGCAAATCCGTTCGAAACCAGTGCACTTTCTGCCTCTGCGTACTTTTTCAGCTCATAGGCGCATTTGGCTTGTAAGTAACGGCATTGTGGCGAGCGTCGCGACTTCTCTTGAAGCAACCAATAAGCTTGTTCCAATTGATTTGAACGATAATAGCTGGTGGCCAATAAATATATTGTCTCATCGCTTTCCACTGCAAGGACAAAGCACATTAAATATATATGTTATATATATTTACAGAAAGTCAAGGTCTTACTAACCTTCTGAACAGAGACGTTCCGCCAGGAAAACTGCATCCCTAGTATCGTAGTGGTTTAGGCAGTGCCATATGGCGGCCTATTCAAAGTAGATTGGAAATAAATATAGAAAAATTGTTTTTTTGTTGTAATCGTTTGCTATCGATTTACCTGTACGGGCTCTTGTATCATCATGATTTTTGAATTTAATGTCAAACTCCTCGTAGAAACTTTGTATCCGCTCCGACGCCACGACGCCACGAGCTTTTCTTTTAGCTGGGGCGCCCTAGTTACACTTTTAATCCGGTTTCGGTAACAGTATCAGTTTTCTAGGGGGCCTTTTTATGCTTTACATACGTAAAGTAGATACATGCAATGGATCATGCTGCAGTTAATCGGCACGATGTGCAATTTTTCAGCTACTGAATGGAGAAATAGTGTTTGGTATGTGTGTAACTTTAATGCGGGGTGTGCTGCGGTCCCGCTGCTGCTACTGCTGCTGTTCCCTGACCACCACTTCTAATATTGCGCTGGCGAGGCTTCTCTTCTTCTTAAAGCGCGTACCTCACCACTCCGTACGTCGTCAGTCAATTTTTCGTAACAATTTTCAAGGCCTTTGGATTAGCTATACCGCAAACACACACACTCACACATTACAGGATCGACTGTTTTTATTGTAAATCGAGTTATATATCATATACAGGCAAAATTTAAAGCCTTTCTGTTTCCATTAAAAACTAAAATTTGTCGAATTGTTTCCGTGTGATTGGCGATGCCAGCAAATTAATTGCCATTCACCCTCACTTCATTTTGTGATTGTCGATAACTATGCTAATACAAAAACTCAACATCGTTATCGCGAAAGGATAATTTTTAAATAAATGTTTAGCCATGTATCTATTTATATATAAATAAATTTGTTTTTTAATTTTTATGTATATGTATAAAACTCTGTCTTAGTTACTACACTACTACTATTTGTGCACCTATTGGGAATCACTTGAACTAGAACTTGAGCTGTCTGTGGACATGACCTCAACATCGTCCTGTGCTGAAGATTCTTTGTGTGCTCGTGTTTCCAGTGCCACAGAGTTGCCAGATGCACCCATCATGTGCAGTTCCCCAAGATTCCAACTGAATTGGTTTTGGAATGCGTTCGGTACTTCATTTCCGCTGCCAGCACCACTGCCGCCAGTACCGCTTAAATTACGTTGGGCGTCTGACTGAATGGTGCTATTTTGATGCGTGACAAGTCCACCGTTAATATTTTGCTCAGATTTACCCAATAATCCGTTGCGCATTTCAATGTCTGTAGGATATGGTCGTCTAAGATCGCCAATGCACCACGTCAATGGAGCGCTGACTGCGTTTGCTGAACTAATGCGGTGAGCGTACTTGATAAGTTCCTCCGATGACACCGGGCGCTTATTGGCCTGATTAATACTTGCCAACTTCTGGCGTGCCTGAAATATGGCTGTAGAAAGTATGAGCTCAGCGTCTTTCAGCGATTTTTGTAGTTTTTGTATTTCGCGATCCTAGTCAGAAATTCAGATATTGGGTCAAACATATATCAGTTGTATCAAATGGGCTTACATGTATTTCAACATTAGCACGTAGTTTGTCCATTGCCTCCTCCACCTTAGCTTGCTCCTCTGCTAACTCCAACATTTTTCTAAACTCCTCATCTTTGGAAACCAACAAGTCGAGTAAGTCCGCCAATTCGGTACTAGATATTTTTTGATGAGCTTGTTCTATTAATTCTTTAGATATCATTTCAATGTCATCAATTAGCAATAGTAATCGCTCCTTAGTACTTAAATGAAACGACATGATTGTTGCCTACAGTATTATTTTTCTTATTGTTTTTAATATTTTGTATTTTTATATCAAAATGCCGAAAGTATTGGCAAGACCAACTGAGGTATCGATGCCATCAACCAGCTTGGAGGATAAGTCGTTATCGATACATTCACGTATTGTGCTAAATCTATCCGCTAAATGTATTACTTGGTCACACATAAAGTGACATAAACATAAACAGCTGTTTGTTGGGCCAAACCTGCCCGAGCAACAGACGCTAAAATCGGAAGAGCGAAAACGAACACACATTAGTTTTTCAAAATTCAAGAGATATATTAGTTTCGTTTAGATAAACTTATTAAATATTATGGGCGTGCAATGATATTTAAATTGTGAACATGTTACAGTTACTAATAGTTATTTTACTAATTTTTCTCTTCATTTACTGGTAAGTGCAGCCGCACCGATGTAAATTCAATCGAAATCTGCGTTTAGTAAATTCTGCTCTTTATTATCTAATTAGGATTTTGCCTACGGGTATAAGCTGGTATTTGATCAAGCGATTTCGGGTTAAAGTTCGTATCGGACGCATTTCACTTCCCTATTTATCACTGAAGAATGTCCACATCAGCAAAAGCGGTTTCTCAGTTGTAAGTGCGAGATAATTGGACCGTGATTGAACGCCCCTATAATTGAAAATTTCTCCTGCTTTTAGCAAATCGAGGAGGTTTGCTTGCGGAGCCGTTTCTTCACCACTGAGGTGACTAAGCTAGTCTCGATTTATGTGCGCGACATACGCATCAATAAGGACATACACAGTAATCGACAGGATGACGTCAACGATGGCTTCTATTACGAGCCGTGCAAGCAGAAGCCCGAGGGCAGGAGTGTACCTGACTTTCGGCAAAGCAAAGTGCCCGCAAGCATTATAACGTTTGCACAGTTTATGGCTGTGCATGTGAATAACATATCAGTGGTGCTAATGAATAATGACTTCGATCCGGGCTGGTTTATACATGCTACAGCCAAGGAGTTGCATCTGGATGGCAGCATTGTACAAAATGCGAGAGTTCTGCTCGTAAATGCAGCGCTGACTGAGGCGCAGGCTAAAATGTTAAGACATTGCAATGCCAGGCGACAGTCCTTGGAGAACTTAAATAAAATTCGCCCGTGCTTGGGTGAAGTGAGCTTCGATGTAGCGCTAGATGCTTCGCTCTTTGCCCACGGACCACTTTCAATGGACGTAAGTGGTGACTGATATTAAGTGTTTACAGACTAATTTGCTACTCCCTTTTTAGTCTCTCAGCTTGGTCATTAACAATTGCAAGTCAGTGATACATGGCGGTCTGTACGAGTTCCTTACCGAGGCCAAACAGCGCACCAATCCAGGCCAGAACCCGAAGACCTTACAGCAGGCATTTAAACCCAATGCAAGCACCTATGACAACGACAACTACGAGAAGTTAGCGCCTATTATTCCAAAGAACTTCAACTTCAGCGTTAAGGCAGCAACATTTTCCGCAGTCAAGGAAAACTCGCAGAATGATTTTAGTGCTAAATTACAGCTTTTTACCGTATGGCAAATTTATCTGCAAATTTCTATAAATAATACTTATTATAGTCGCATTTATTATTTAGATAACGGGCAAATTCAACTCAAAGATTGTGGATGAAAAGACGCTGCTACCCTCGATGTTAGCCAAGTTGGTTTTTCAACATTTGGACATTGATACCAAATACGAGAAACTGCTCTTTGTGGAACAATTTACTATTGACTCAGTGGTTAGTTAGTTGTTCATTAAATATTGGTAATCCAATTTAAGAGAACGTTTTTCTTTTTTCAGCTGGAGAAGGACATATTTAATTTGTATGTTAAGCTCAAGACATTCCAAATTATTTACAATCATAGCGAAATCTATGATTTTGTAAACAACAATTTTCTGGCTCGTCAGCGTGCAACTAGTAGTCATCAATTGCTTCAGTTGGGCCAAAAGCAAATGTCGCTGCCGGATCATTTATGCTTCGATGCACTCACTCCCTTAACATCACCGGCCAAACAGCAACGCGATGGAGGTATTCTGGAGTGGATTATGCAGCGCATTGTGGTCAAAGGCTGTGCTGAACTGTGGAACGTTTCGTTACTCATGAAACTGGAAGATGAGCACATCGCCATGAGCGTTAGTCATACGCGTTTTCTGCTCGAACAGATCGAGGAGAAGCGCAGTTCGCTATATCGCAATAAGTTTCTCAATTTGTTGCTCAATCAGCGGCAATGGAGCATGGAACTAATGGTAGAAACGCTGTGGTCTAATCTGGGCAACTCGAACAACGATACAAACAATCTGAAGAAGACCCATTCACCGGGATCTCCATTCTTCCTGGGCGTCAGCCTGGTCAAGTTGTGCTCCTATGCGAATACCACAAAGCTAGACATCTCCATACACACGTTCCGCACAGAGTATAGCATGCAGTTGGCAGAGTTCATTGTCAAGTCCATGTGGTGCGTTAAGCAGTATGGAGGACTTGGCACAAAGCGTGCCAAGCAGTCGCAACGTCATCTTAGCGGCATCTCTGGGGAGCAGCACGGAACGGCGCTGCGCGTTTCAGTCAAAGTCAAGGATATTACGGCATATTTTGTCAACCATCATAATGTTTACACGCTGCTGAGCTTCTCTGAGATTAACCTGACGCGCGCTCACAACTTTGCCACTCTTAAGCTGGAGGAGTTCCAAATGGCCATCATGCGTTCGATGACTGCATCGTCGCTGTGTCTCACAGACTTTTCAGATGTCTTTGCCAGTTGCAAGATGATACGGCTAGAGCATCAGCCAGCGTTCGAATGCACGCCCGGCAAGCTATCCATTTATATACCCGGCAACACGGAGGCCATGTGGAGTTCAAACTTGCACATGCATCTCTTAACTCTTGTGCGGGATATGAAAGACCTAAAAGCTGAGCTGGCAATGCCTCCATCCAGTAACGCTGACAACCAGACAACGAAACGTTCCCTAATAATTGAGTTGTCCGCGGAGCGCAGCACAATTTTTGAGATAAAACTATCGGAGCGTCATTCAATACAGTTATACGTGGAGAATCTCTTCTTTAGCCACAAGGAACGTAATATTATCTACGCAGAGAAGGTCTTTGTCAGAATCGATGATCAGCATATCTTTACTGTAAAGGAACTGGATATGCAATCACTGTCGCATCTGGAAACGCTTAGCCATGAACGACTCAACTTCCCAGGCTTTGTGCTGCCCACCAACAAGGTGTGGGTAACCACCATTGGCTCCTTCAAGGCGATTTTCCCTTATGATCATGATTTTTATGATGCCATCAACAATGAGTGCGTCACCCACTACAAGTGGCTCAAGCTGGTGCACAACTACAAGAAGAAGCCGTTTACAGTGAATTCGCCCTTACCCAGCGACTGGGTAATAAAGATCAAGGAGTTCCTGCTGGAGATCAGTGACGATCCTTTCGAAGTGAAGCTACGTGATAACTATGTCCTCTTGGTCGATGAATATTTAGAGAGTCTGAAGCGGAAGTCCTTGTTTGATATGAAGATTGCCGAACTGTGCTCGGAACGGTTACTAGTGCCCGCGGGCACTATCGAAAGTTTGTACGCGAATCTGGTGAAGAAGAATTCAGAGATCTACATACAACGCTCGAAGAAGATACGGGAAAGTGGGCCAGTACGTACACGTCTGCTCGCTTGGATTATGACCGATGTGGAAATATTGGCCATGGCGGATACCTCAATACACGGCTATGATAATGTGACGCGCACTATGCGCGAGATCGACTCGGAAACTCCTTGGCCGGAGGAGGGGCTTCAATTTTCAACGCTCTGGTGTCGCGGCGTTAATATCAGCTGCTCCGAATGGAAGTTTATGCTGCGGTAAGTGAGAATGTCTGCATAAAATGAAGACCTTAAGTATATATATTCTTTGCAGAGATTTTCCTCAACCCATGTTCTATGTGAAGAGCATGCGTTTGTATGGCAACCTTTGTGGAGCAGAGCAAATGCCCTCGAAACGCGCTAAGCGCGATGTCTTCGTCGAGGTGGGAGAGCCCTTTAAGACGGATGTGGTGCAGCGTAGCATGCCAACGATTAAATTCTATCATGACTTCGACTGCGAACTGGAGAGCTGTAGCTATGCTTTTGGCCCTTGCTGGGAGCCCGTGATGGCCCAATGTAATTTGAGCTTTGAGAAGATTTCAGCGCCATCCAAGGATCCAAGTCCACCTCTTCCATTTTGGGACAAGATGCGCTTACTACTGCACGGTCGCTTAACCCTGATTGCCAAACAGTTTACGGTGCTGCTGCACGCATCTCTCGATCCGTACAATACAACTGAGGAAATGGAGCTGACGTGGAACAATTGTGGCATTGTCTGGACAAATGCAAAGATTATGTTCAAGGGCGAGCTCAATGTAAGCGTATAGATGAAGTCTTTTAGTGAACCCTTCAATATTTATGGCCACAAATTCTTCTAGGTGACGGTGCGAACTGCGTCTCGCTATGACGATTGTCGACTGCTGCACTTTCCTAATCTGAAGCTGACTTTCAAGCTGAACTGGGTTTGTCTGGCCAATCCTAATGATCACCATGCTGTCATGCCCTGTGCGCCCGACAAGCTGCCAGAATATTCAAGTAACCAGGTGCACGATTCTTTTCGTGCTTTTCGCTCAGTTAACCTCAATATCTGGGCATCGTTCGAAACAAAGCCCAAGGTGGCTGAAGAAGTGGAATTCGATATACCTAGCCTGGTGCTGTACGGCAGCACACTGCGCTGGTTTGAGAGCCTAAAGCTTATTTTGTCAGGCGTGACGCGACCTACCCGACGTGGTCCAGTCTTCAACAACGTGCGACCACGCAAGAAGCAGCTGAGCCGGCACTATAAAAAGGCCAATCTGCAGATGTGCTTGCATAAGTTTCAGGTGCTCTACTGGATGTCCCATGCCCTGCACAAGGGCTTCCAGCTGAACGGACGTCGTGTTTCCTTTAGCTCCGAATACTGTCTGACGCTGAATACCATAGATGATGGGCTAATACATAGGCCACGTGCAGATTGGTCCACGGTTTACATGAACTGTGAGTTGAACGATGCGGAGATCTGGCTGAAGAGCATAGTAACTGAAAAGCTGGACAGCAGCTCTGAGAACTTGGCCAGCGCTGCCGATGCCTTCAAAATTGTGCGTTTTTACTTTTTGAGCGTTGCCAAGGTATCTTATGGCAGGGAGGCATTGATGCCCATAGCAGCCAGCAATGCGGAGGAAGACGCAAAAACCAAGAGCACAACTCCCACACACAAGCTAGTCGTCTACGATCTGAAGGGCGCTTGGACCAAGAGCAATCGGGATGTCGCATTCGCTTTATTTGACTCCTTTATGAAGTCGCAAAAGCTGAAGAACAATCTATCCACAGAGGCTGTCAAAAGCTATCGCAAGGAGGCTGCCAACTCAGCTATGCTAAAGCACAAGCGAAGCGATAGCACAATCACTTTGTCCAGCACCAGCAGTGAGGTGTTGCCAAGTAGGTCTCCAAGTAATATCCATGAAAATCTGCTAAAGAACATTCTTTCCTTGCAGTTGCCAATACGAATGCCGCGCTGAAAAAGGCACCAGGTCAGATTCATGCCACTGCTATGCTGCAGCAACTCATCGCGGAGGCGGATCACAAGTTTAATGTGTACAGCGATGATCACAGTACACAGTCTAGGGAATTGCAGCTGCAGGGGCTGCAGGCATGCTCCGTGCAGGATATTATACATGAAAACTGGTCTATCAGTCTAGTCAACTCTCAGGTACTACTCAAAGGCTGTGAGACATCGGGATATGTGATCATCAGTGCTGCCAAGGCAGAGATATTGCAACGCGAGCATCGACCCGTATGGCGGGATCGTTCGCTCATCTCGAAAACAACGTGGAAGGGGTTGTTAGAATGCATGCAGTACTATGCAACAGTCAGTGCCGGCGACAACGATTCGCTCTTAGAGAAGGAGATCATGTGGCTTACCGTCGACAATATACAGGACAAAGATGAGACGGTGATTAGTAATCACCTGCCCGAGGACATTTCGCATCTGGTGGGCAGCGGGCGCAGTGTGGGTGGTGTTGTTTCCGAAACCGTAGGTGCATTCCTTAGCGACAACTCTGGACAGGCACAGCCGGTGCAGCTACAGCGCATCGTGTCCAAATGTAAATGCGAATTTTTCTACGTCAGCTATGGCGATGCCATCGATCCGAATAGTATTACTGAAGTGCCGCCGCCACCATCCGAGGAGTCCTTGTCGCCATGGGAGAAGCAGGATGATCCCGTGGATGCCTTTACGCTGATGCATCATGATTTAGACGTGTGCACAAATTCGTTACAGTACGCCATGATCCTGGATATAGTCAACAATTTGCTACTCTATGTAGAGCCGCAACGCAAGCAGGCGGCTGAGAAATTAACCCGCATGCGTTTCCAGCTGCAGCTGCACTCCACGGAGGATCAGAAACGGCCCATTCAGCAGAAGCAGACGGTCATACGCAGCTTGCTGATGAAGATACGCTCACTGGAGAAGGACATACATCTAATCAGCAAGGAGCGCATCGAGGAGGGCGACACGCTAGAGCTGCGCGTTGACTTCGAGCGAGTACAACAGCAGATTCGTGAGAGCAAGGAAGAGCTAAACACATACAGCGAGGAGCTGGACATGATGCTGCTGTGCTACAAGGAGACCCAGCTGTCCCAGCTCAGCAAAATCTCCAATGTGCGCTCGGACAAGTCGGTGACAATGGTGCGTGCCAACGAAATCTGCTTCAAGCGTGCGCAGTGGAGACTTACCGAAACGGATGGTCAGATTGGCATTGCAGATTTGGTGCTGAGTGCTTTCCTTTATACTAAAAAATCCAAGAGCGATGATTCCGTCGAGCATCTGCTGGAGCTGGGAAATATACGCATGGAAAATCTGCTGCCACGCGAAATATATCGCGATGTTCTACTGGCCACGGAGATACAGAAAGATATGCCCGTGGACACGCATAAGCGAGTACTCCGCATCTTTTGCCGTGAGAAGCCGCCGGTTGGCGGTATTTCAGTTAAGGATCACTTTGAGATTAATGTAGCGCCCATAACCATAGCGATTACTAAGAAGTTCTATAGCACCATGTTGAAGTTCTGCTTTCCGGATCGCGATGCCTCCGAAACAGAGGTCAGCGATGAACTGGATGATAATGCTTCCACCAGTTCCGCGTCCACAACGAATTTACAGTCCAAGTCTGCATCATCGTCTAAACGTGCCACCAAGAGCAAGAAGAGCGCCAAGGATTCCGAGTTCTATGTGAAAATCGAAAAGGACGACGTCGAAAAGATGAAGGAGCGCGCTGAGAAAAACAAACTATTCATCTATATCAAGATACCCGAGGTGCCTGTGCGTGTCAGCTACAAGGGCAACAAGGAAAAGAATCTTGAGGACATTACCGACTATTCACTAGTGATACCCACGTTGGAGTATCACAATGTCACCTGGACCTGGCTGGATCTCTTGCTGGCCATGAAGTCTGTAAGCAGGCGCGTCATTCTTTCACAGGCAATCAAGCAGAAGCTTCAAATCCATCGGCGTCAGCCGGTGCTATCGGCAGGCGAGCGTGCCACGCCCCAAGAAGAGGATAAAGCCAAAATGCTATTTGGCAATCGTTTACTGGTAAGTGATATTAACTAGAAACTAGAAATATTAACTGACATTAATCGAACTTTCCCACGCAGAATGAGAATCGAAACCAAAGAAAAAGCGGAGGCGTTTTCAAATTTCAATCGAGCGGCAAGAGAACAGATTAACTTCTTTATTTAAATCATATTTAATTTTATATATATTGATATATATTTAAATATGTATGTATATGCATATCGTATTACGTTTGTGAGACCCATTGCAGTCCCGGCCAGGTCAGGTCAGGCCAGGTCAGGCTAGTTGGAATGAAGATATCTTGAGCCTTTTCAATTTACTATCACACACACATACACACTACAAATACAATCACAGCACACACACGCAGCAGAAGTATTACGCTATATAAATCTATAAATATAAATAATGCATGTGTCTGTCTGTCTGTTTAACCATTATCATTAATTTTGTTGTAAACTGCTTTTGTTTAACTTTAGAAAATAAACAGAAAAATCGAAAATTAGTTGAATTTTTAGTTGCATCTTTACATAGCACAATGATTAAGTATTAGAGGACTTTAAAACACTTAAATTAACTAAATATGCACAGGATAACATTTACTTGGTCAGCTGCTTCAATGGGGGCTGCAATGGAATTCAATTTGGTGTCAAGCCGACGATTTCGGTATGGATTCATAGCGTTTACTCACCAGCACAAAGACGCGTTTGGGTAGAGCTCGCTGCACTAGCTCGTCGAGCAGCGCATTCTGGCTGTCATGCTTTTGAGGATCGGCCTTTGTGTTGTACTCCAGTGTCAGAACGGGCAACTCCTGCCAGGCCACTTGCAGCGGATACAGATTGTACACCAACTCCTTCTCATCGTACGCCATTATCGAGACGTCCAGCTATGGCAGAAGGTACATTGAATACACTCAACAAAATTAAATGGAGTATTTTGGCTGACCCACCTGCTTGTGGCCGGAGCATATAAAGTTATCAGATTTGCTAATGGACAACGTGGCTATCAGATGCAGCACATGCATGGTCGGATTCTTGAGCACCACCTTGAAGGCCATCGGCATTTTGACAAACATTTTCTCCTCAATGGTGCAGTAAATGTTCAATGGCGGCTCCACTATATCAAGGCCACTTATTATAAACTTGGATTCGTTTTCCTCCTTGCCGCCTGCTCGACGCCAGCGTATGCAAAAGACGCCAAAACGAGGTATCGTGGGTGCTCCTGTTCCAGCAGCAGCATCCAAAGTATAGACGCCTTTAATGAAACCGCGACAATGACCCGTAGCCTGCACTGCTTCCAGGGCTTTATTGTACACGACACGCATGCTCTTGTGGACATCCTGTCCACTGGAAGGCATCGTGGCACCGTCATCCGCGGCTGCCATACCAGGCTTGCCATCATCGGATTGCAGTGAATTGCTCATGACGCCCGCTGTGGATAGCTGCAGTGCATTGGCATTATTATTGATGATGGTCATCGATGTGGGTATCTTGCCCAAGAGGCTCTTGCTCATAAGATTATTCTGGCCAGCGTTCGATAATTGGGGCGGCGCATCTCCAACTTGACCCGTTGCAAGCTGTGCCTTCTGCTGGCGACTCACAAACTTGTTGCTCACACTCTCCTCGGACTTGGAGCGTTCCAAGTCCCGTGCGGTCATCCACTCCTGCAGCGTGGCATTCGTACGCAGCACAATGACACTCTCCAGCTGATCCCCAGCTCTGTATTTGTTGGTGTACTTCTTACGCTTAAAACTGTAGTTTGATTGCACCAAATTGTGATCCTGCAGAGAAATGTTATTCGCGACGGTGCAACTGTAATTTGAGGCACGCCCACTTACACATATAAAGAAGCTGTCCAATATTTCCACCTCGTCCGCGGCCAAGACCTCCGTATTGGCCCGAAGCAAAAAGTTCTCTCCCCGATAGACCTGACTCAATGGACGGCGATTGAGCGTGTAGAACCGAGCACTGAACTTGAAGTCACCGGCACAGCGCACGGCCAGGGTATCCTCCCGCGACTTGCGCAGCCTCGTCTCGTCCAGATACTCTATCTGCACGGGCGATATGACAGCCAGGCTGTTTGTAACCAGCTGGTTCACGTGCTCAGGCGTTGTATCCGTGCTGTTCGGCGTGGTGCTGTGACTAGCTCCACCAGCACCACCAGCAGCGCTGCGATCCACATCCAGCGTATAGCTGAGTCTCTGCTGCAGCTTGATCTCTGCCTCCACCAAGCTGAAAATGTAGTACGTGGCGGTGTTGCTGCCATGGGCAGGCAGTTCACCCACATCAATTTGGATCTGGGCGTGCAGCTTTTGCCGATTCGATGAAACGTCCGTGGTAAGGAAGACTGCAAGTAAAGAAGAAGTTAAACAGGAACATATTAAATCTTAAGACAAGCTTTACGTCCTTAAACGAACTTTAAGGTGAAAAGTTGTTTGTAAAGCTTATTAAAATTCTCTAAGCTCGTAAAGCTTCTTAAAGTCTACAAAGCTGCTGAATGAAGCTAAGTCTCTATGAACTGACAGACAGCTACATCAAGTGAGCTTAATTGGGAACTTTCTTGGCTGTTACATGCTTTTAGAGAAAAACAATATACCCTGTCTTTTTAGCAAGCTTTCAATTGGTAAATAAGAGTCAACAATGGAAGCTGTAGCTGGCCAAGTTCAATGATGTTGTGTGTAAATAGTGGGCACAGGTGTTTTAGCTACAGCTGTAATATGAAAACGATGTTGGGTAAGGTAAGTAACGCTGTCTGGCGACCTTTTCTAGAATGCATATGGTTTTCCCAGCCAAGAGGAATCCCCATATAAAGAGCTGTTAGCTCGGTCGCGTGCGACAGTTGATTCATAGACTTCATCACGAACTGAATATGTATATTATTCTAGTGCTGCTTCTGCTGGGAAGCTGCTGGGCACTTAGTCTGACGGAAGTTGAGCATAGGCGCGAGCCACGCGTGGTGGGCGGGAAACGCATCGAGGTGAATGCGCAGCCGCATATGGTGAATATCAGACGGCGTGGTAACTTTCAGTGTGGTGGATCTTTGCTGACTCCACGTTGCGTCTTGACCGCCGCCCACTGCCTGCAGACGCTGCACCACAAGCCAACGGACTATGTGGTGCGCGGTGGTGTGACCTATTTGAGAGATATGCGGAATGGACGCGTCGTAAACCGCATACTGCTGCCGAGTGCCTATAATGAAACCACTTTTGATCAGGATGTGGCACTGCTGCAACTGCAGAATCCGTTGCAAGGCGAGCACATTGCGCCCATCCAGCTGGCCAGGCAGCCGCCACAGCCGAACAGCTACGTCCGCGTCTCTGGCTGGGGACTGACCGATGAGCGTTCCGTCCAGCTGCCCAACCAGCTGCACAGTGTGCAGGTGAAGGTGCTGCCCCGTCACAAGTGTCAGCAGCTCTATCAGGGCTACAGGAATCTAACGGACAGCATGTATTGCGCCTCGGGGGCTGGCTATAAGGATGCCTGCAATGCGGACTCCGGTGGACCAGCAGTTGACATGAATGGCCAGCTGGCGGGCATAGTGTCCTGGGGCAAGGCCAATCACTGTGCTCACGAGGACAGTCCCGGAGTGTACACGAGCGTGGCGCACCTGTACGATTGGATAGCGTATAATATGCGCAGATATTGCCATTGACATCTATTTAAGACTTAAGATTAGGCCATTGAGTATTAGAGCTAAAAATAAAGTCAAAACTGTCCAGCTAGCCATACAGATTGTTTTCTTTTTATAAATGGTTTGCTCTAGCATTGGAATTCGTGGTTTGTGTTGACTTCGCGGAGCGCGTCATCACACATTGGCACAAGCCCCACATGGCCGAATCAAACCATTGAAAAGCCAAGCACACGTTTCTTAGCCAGCTATTTGCACAGTTGTACGGCCCGTTTCGCTTATTTTGTGTTGTTGGCCAGACTATAAAACCCAACCCCGGGCCAAGGTAAATTCATACATATCTCAGAACGAGATGCGATTGCGTTGGCTATACTTGGTCTTTCTGCTGCTGCTGCTGGATCAACTAGCAGCGGCACAGCGCCGTCAAGCTCAGAGGACACGCAATGCGGGGGTTGCCCGTGCCAGGAATCAGCAAAATGGGGGTGTTGCAACTCTGAGACGTAGCCGTCCTCAGGCTCGGATCGTAAACAACAGCAACGGCAACAGCAATTCGAATCGACTCAACAATCGCCGGAGGAGAGCAAATCGCTTGAGAAGATTGAACAGATTGAACAATCAGAACAGAAATAGAAGGAATCGTGCAACCAGAAACTCAACTTCTGCTCGCATTGTCGGCGGCGTCCAGCCGCGCATAACAGGTGGCTCCAATACACCGATCAGCTCGATGAAATATCTGGTGCAAGTGCATCGTGGCGACAGTCTGTGTGGCGGCTCTTTAATTACCCCCCAATGGGTCCTGACAGCCGCCCACTGCGTATCGGGTTTTGATGCCTCCTCTTTTTATGTCATCGGCGGCACATCCAAACTGAACGGAACGAATGGTGTGGTGCGCACCGTCACCTCGACCCACGTAGCGCCCTTGTACACCAAAAAAGTGATGAACATGGATGCCGCACTACTGAAGCTCAACGCGACGATGACGGGCACAAATATTGGAACCATTGCATTGGGTCAGCGTATGCCACGGCCGGGCACTAGAGTCAGAATTGGTGGATGGGGCGCCTCCAAGGAGGGTGGCAATGCGGTCACAAACTTGAGAGCGGTGCAGCTAAGAGTCGTCCGTCAGCGCTACTGCAGAGAGGCCTATAAAGGATCGACCCCCATTACCAAGAGAATGTTCTGTGCACAGGCCAGGAATAAAGATTCCTGCACCGGTGACTCGGGCGGCGGTGCAGTGCAAAATAACAAGCTGATGGGCATTGTATCCTTCGGCACAGGCTGTGCCAGGCCCAACTATCCAGGGGTCTATACCCGAGTGGGCAACTTACGCAATTGGATTAACAGAGTCATTGCAAATAATTGAATTAAATAGTGTTGAAAGATTAACTATGTGTCCAATCTTTAAGCGATAAGAGATTAATATGGTAAATGTGGAAGCCTGCTTTTGCCATGGCTAAAGCAGGAGATATCAGAACTTTGGATGAGATCAGATAGAATTGATATACAGATAGAATTGATATATGTTTAGAGAGAAAGAGTTATGTTGTCAGCTCTTAGAATAGTTACTCTTAAGTAATCAACTCTAGAGCTAATAATAACATTTAAAGTCAATAATAACGAACCGCCCAATTGGTAGAAACAATTGTGCAAATGTTGATATATGTTTCAGATTTCATATTTCGGGTTTCAGATTTGTTGATATCTCAGCACAAAGGTATAAAAGCACTTTGCCCACTGGCCTAAAATCAGTTAGTTATTTCTGGCCTAAACACAACATGATTCGATCAGCGCATTTGGCACTGCTCTTGGCCAGTATTTGGTTGGTACGGGGCAATCAGACATCAATCCAGCCGCGCATTATTGGTGGCTACGCCTCTAACATAAAGGATCTCAAATACCTTGTACAGGTGTCTACTGCTAAAGAGATCTGCGGTGGTTCGCTGATCACCACACGGTGGGTCATTACAGCTGCGCATTGTGTGCAGCGAGTGGGCATAGCTGACTTGCGCGTCTATGGCGGCACCTCGGAGCAGGGTGATCAAAATGCCATCCAGCGTTTGGTCGACCTGCTCGCTATACACCCGAAATTTAACAGTGAGACAATGAACATGGATGTGGCCGCCTTGTATCTCAGCCAGGACATGAGTGGTGAGCAAGTGAGTACGATTGCATTGGCCAGAAAGCCGGCTCCACCAGGCAGTCTGGTAAAAGTCTCCGGCTGGGGTTCAGTGGTTCCTAATTCCACGGAAACGGCACGCCACGTACACAGTGTCATCATGCCCGTCTGGTCGCATGCAGCCTGTCGAGCAGCCTATCGTGGCAAGCACTCTATCAACCGCAACATGATCTGCGCAGCAAAGGCCTATAGAAGGGACTCCTGTGACGGTGACTCCGGGGGCCCTATGGTCTACCAAGGACAGCTGGTAGGCATTGTTTCCTTTGGTTTCGAATGCGCCAGCGGCTTACCAGGTGTCTACACCAACGTAGCTAAGATACGAAGATGGTTTATGAGAATCATGACAGAATATCCCTAAGTTTTCGCTCCTAACATTCTGAATAAAGTTAAAGATTTAGTTAAAGATTGATTGATTTAAGTCCAGATGGTATGTTTGTTTAGCTCCACAATACGATCCTAGATATGGATGGAACGCCGATCTGATCATCAAGCTACCTTTGACTCAATAATCTGCCAGATAGTGCAGATCTAAGGATTCTTGGCTGAAGCATGACTGGCTGAGAGGGGTGCTGTGTCCTGGAGGTTTCTTAAAGGCGTCACAAAGCGACACTGCTCCCAAGTCAGCGAAAGATTTCTATTCTATTTCAATTGTAAATCTTTTATCGATTAATCTATTATATCTTCTATTTCTTTTTCGATTGATTAGCTTTGAGTTGAAACTTCTATTGAGTTTCGGGAAGAGTTCTATTGCTATTGCAATTGTAATTATATTATTGTGAAGAGCGCACAATAAGTTCGTATTGTCAAGGTGGAATCCATTGAAATAGCTCATTGCATATAATTATATATTGTTATGGATCATTCAATAGAATGATCTGAAATAGAAGTAGCGTACTGTGTTTAGTTGATGTCTCAGTCTGGACACGCCATGTGCTGGCTAGAGTTGTGCTGGATGCTTTGGCTGCTCCACGCTGCCGATGGCCAACGGATTATTGGTGGCCAGGAGACAAGCATCAGTCAGGTGCCATATTTGGTGTATCTGCGCCAAGCCGGCAGGTTTATCTGTGGTGGCTCTCTTCTCACGCCCAGCTTTGTGCTAAGTGCCGCTCATTGCGTCTACGGCGCCAAGGAGCAGGATTACACTGTCCATGCGGGCGCTAGTAGGCTGGAGGAAAATGCGCCCGTGGTCCGTAATGTGGCCCGCTTTCACATTGCAAGTAGTTATTCACCTAGCAACTTCGATATGGATGTAGCCATGCTGCAATTGGCGCTGCCTGTGCCTCTTGCAGCCGGTCAAGTGGCTACAATTACCCCCTGCCAATCACCAGCGGCAGCCAATGGATACGTCCGGATTAGCGGCTGGGGTGTCGAATTAGAGAACGGTCGCAAGCCGGCAGCCCAAGTGCGCACAGCTGTCGTCCGTGTACTGCCCCGTGTAGAGTGCCAACTGGCTTACGCCGGCCAAGCACTGCTCACCGATTCTATGATCTGTGCCGCTGTGCGTGGCGTTAAGGACGCATGTTCCGGAGATTCGGGTGGTCCCTTGGTCTACCGCGGCGAGGTCTGTGGCATTGTTTCCTGGGGATTCGGTTGTGGGCGCGCTGCCTATCCGGGCGTCTACACCAGTGTGGCCAGCGCTCGTGTAAAAACTTTTATAGATCAAACACTAAGAAAGCTGTAGATTTGAAGCTAGTTCAGAGAACAATTTACTGATTCCTTTAAACCATGCTGGATCTGCATGGATATTTCAAATTTGTGCAACGGTCACACTTATCACTGAAATATTTAACGTTTTTTTAGCTACACTTCATAGGCTTATTGAAAATAAATATGTCAACGATGGCAATTACTGTTCATACTAATCATTATAATATTTGTTCAACAGTGAAGACGATAACGAATTATGAATATTACTAGTAATTGCCTTTGTTCGTTTTTATGGCTGAATGATAAGAAGCGCTCTGCATCCAAAATATCAAGTATCTGAGGTTCAGTTTCCAGGTTAACTAATTTACCGGGTGCAATGAAATTTATAATGATACCAAGGTCAAAAGCTATTTGAACAATAAAACAGACATATAGACAAATATATGAAACCCATTTAAATCCGTTTATCTGGCTCGATATTTAATGGCTCTGTTACACTTTCGATGGGCCGCGCACGATAGAACAACAAAATGGTTTATTAAAAATAATTATTATTTGCACAATAAAACAATGTTACAATTATATTTCCTCAAAAAGAGACTATATAAAATGGAGTGCAAACAAACGCGCGAGCCGACTCGGATCTGGAAACAGTTAGTGTTTAGATCTTACTCTTTCGACTCTATTTGTACAAGTGATTTGTTAGCAAATATTTAACGCAATGCGTGTAAACATCTGTTGGTGCTGAGAAACCAATGCGATTGTTGCCACTACTACCGCCACTGCTGCTGCTGCCTATGCTCCTGCTTCGGATAGCCACTGGCAAGGCCGCCAATGATGTTGGCGCACGCATTGTGGGCGGCATCCCGGTGGATATAAGTAGTGTGCCCTACTTGATCAATCTACGCATCTCTGGAAATTTCATTTGTGGCGGCGCCTTGGTTACACCCACTCATGTGGTGACGGCGGCTCACTGTGTGAAAGGTGTGCCTGCAAGCAGACTTCAAGTGGTGGGTGGGGCGACACTGTTGACGGATGCAACAGGTGTGCGTAGGAATGTGGCCAAAGTTTTTACCCCAAAAGCCTTCAATATGCGCACCCTGCACTCTGATGTGGCTGTGCTGAAGCTGGCGTCGGCGCTGGAAGGTAACAACATTGCCACAATCCCATTATGCAACACCAGCTGGCAACCAGGTGAACTGATAAAGGTCTCCGGGTGGGGCAAAACGAAAGAGGGCAGTAAACGTATCTCCCAGCACGTGCGCAGCGTTGACGTGCCCCTAGTCTCACGGAAGAGCTGCATCAGCCAGTACAAAATGCGAGGCACCATTAGCTCAACCATGTTCTGTGCCTCAGTGCCGGGCGTTAAGGATGCCTGCGAAGGCGACTCTGGTGGCCCAGCCGTCTATCAGAATCAACTATGCGGCATTGTTTCTTGGGGTATGGGCTGTGGCAGACGCAACTATCCTGGTGTTTATACAAGTGTCAAAACTGTTAGGAGTTTTATTGATAAGGCTTTAGGGAAGTAAGCTTACCAAAACAAAAAACCGAATAATAAATGTGGAGGACAAATAAGATATATGGAGCTCATATTCACAGATCAAATTGCTTGCAGCACCACCTCAAACCTTTGCCATATATTGCCAACCAAACAGGCAAATAAATCTACATCGACTTAGCAAAAGCAAAGAATGGCTACCAATTAAACAATAATTTAGTTCACATTCCACTTACCGCTATTGCGCAGCTCTTGTGGAACGCTAATATGCACGCCCACATTCTGTAGATAAACATTATACGGATTGCTAATGGTAGTCACCACTGGATAATATTCATTGACCAGCATTGTTGTAGGGGCTGGAGCATCGCTCAATACATGGCCAAGGTTTGTTTGAGTGCTCAAATGGAAGCTGTAATGAAAGTTCATCGGAGCGTTAAATGAAGCCTGCATGCAAATGCTTACGGCTTCCGGTATGAAGCGATTTTGTGACCTACGTGGGCGCAATATAGCAAATGGTGTTTATCGTCATATTATCATCCAGATCGCGACTGCGCGTGTGATGCCGGAATGGTTGGCGTGCATAATTTGCGCTGCACGTGAGCAAAGCGCCAATTTGATCGGTGCCCATAAGCGCTTCCAGCCTCGCGATTCGCAGTTGTGTATTCTCATTGAATTGATGTGCCTCTGTACTGCACATGAGCTGATAATAACAGCCAGGCTCCAAGCGCATATTCTTCTCATATGTCTTTGGCTCCAAGTGCTCCTGTTCGAGAGGCTGTTGTTGTGTACGCAACTGCAGCAGACTGGGGAAACATATATACTTAAGCGCCTCCAGTTTGTAGGTTATTTGTGGATTACTGGCATCGGCGAGGAGCACATGAAAACTGCGAATGCGCAGCGGCACGTCGGTAAGAACGCTGCAAAAAATATGACAATACAATAAGCTTACAAATATATATATATATTTATTTTTTCCAACTGACCGCACTATCAGATTGAGCTGAAGCACATCGCTATTGTTTAGTTGAACTTGTTGAAATGTGGCGCAGAGCTCCAGCACATCGCTGACTTTATCTAAATCGATTTGTATAGGTGATTTCACGCTTGCCAGCGCGTTGCTCCACAACGCTTGAATGTCGGGAGTCATTTGAGTTTGTGGCACAGGCGGCACACTTTGAAACACTTGCCAAAGATTCTCTAGCAGCAGAACGCGCTCTTTTTGCTCTCCATGATGACGCAGAGAGAGCGCTTCAATGCTGCAGGAAATGTAATCGGCCACAGAGGCGGAAAGCAACGCACAGCGTAGCGTTTTTAGCAGCACATCACTAAAAATGGTTGTCCATTTCTCCTGGCGGTAGTCAGGTAGCATGAGACTGTAGAGACTAAAATGGGGAACGTACTGATAAACTTTTCAAAAATTCGAATAACAGTCGCTTACGTTAACGCCTTGGCATGATCACCACTGCGAAGATACTCCTCGGCCATGTCAATGGCAAGTTTCTTACGGAATCTCAAGCACTTGTAGATCTTAAACTGTGCCATTGCCTGACTGAGAAGCGCTATAATTGCCGATGAATGATTGTAGTTTCGCTCCAACTCGCAGAGCTGCACATTTGCCTGCTGTTCGGCAACTGGATCGCCCGTCTTGACTGCACGTGTACCAAAAAACTCAGTGTACAAACTCTGATTGGGCGCCGCATTTGCTGGGCTCGTACCCAAGAGCGAGGCGCTTGCCTGTTGAGCGGCTTCACGCCGCTTTATCACATATTCGGCGGCCTTCTGGTAATATATACCTGGATGCTGTGTCTGCAACGCAGGCAAACCATTTTTGATTGCCTCACAGAAGAGCTCTGCGAAGACAGAGTGTCTGTAAAAAGCAATTGGATAGTACTTATATCTTAATTCATAAAGTTAATATGATATGCCCAGCTTACTGCGTACTCAGCCAGGCGTGATGCTCAAAGGCTAAATCCTTGAAACCCAAGCAGTTTTTGTATTTATCCACATGTATAATGAACTGATTGATGGAATCCCTGGGCGTTTTTAACTTAAACATAAGCCGGCACATTTTATAGTTGAGAAAGCCAGCAATCGTTTTGATCTCCATGCAATTGGCATCTGTAATCCGTATCTCATCCAAGTTACCGTAAGCTTGAAAATAGTGCCTGCAAGCAGAGCCACCATTATTAACTGGAAATTCGTGTAGTTGCACTTTCCACTTACTTTTGTGCAGTACTAAAGTCCTGCCGCATCTCTGCCACAAAGCCCAGTTTATATTGATGGCGTATCTTGAGTGTTGTATGGGCAGCCGAGAGTTGGTCGCGATGCGTACGTATACGTTTCGACATGAGTGCATAGTAAGACTGGGCCATATCCAAGAACGCGGACTCCAGACGCATCGTATATCCCATTAGATGCTCCGTGTGGGGTAATATGAACAGCATTTTGCTCGTAATTCCACATGCAGTAGTAAGACTAGCGGCACGCTCAGCAGCCAGCATATCCTCGCCTGGAGGCAGTGGTGCTGATTTCTGGAGCAGTACCAGGCAAAGCCTTGTGTTACGTTCTTGCAGCGCATTCTTCAGGCCCTGCACAATAGCCGCGCACTGCACCTGTTTCTCTGTCCACTGGCTGTCGTTCCATTCAATGTCTTGGAAGAGCACCACCACGGATGGCAGTACATGCAAATGCTTTAACATCCAATTACGCTTAAGTATTCCTTTCGGATGGTACCACTCGTAGGAAGCGCGTTTCGGCTTTGCAACAGGGAACTCATAGTTGGGAGGCAGTAGCTTGTATTGCACGGCAGCCCGATCCCTGTCTCTGTCCACTGGCTTCCGTTGAAGGGTGCCGCTGAATGCATCCCAAATTGATTTGTGAACACTCTGATGCGCGATATCCAACCCGCAGAAGCCTATTAGCGGTTGTGGTATTACGAGCAGCTCTGAGGGTAGAGTTGTGCCATCAATCGTCATAGTTTAGTATGTGTAATAGATATAATTTGCTTCTCCGCACACTGCTGACAAACTCTGCTTCAAGGCCTGACGTTGGTTGTTAACTGGGAGTGGATTTTGCGTTCTCAATGCCTTTAGAGCATTAGACACACGCAGTACAACAATTTGTGTGTATGATGAATCTATTTTCGCCAAAAATTCCAGCAAATTGTAGGGTACTAAATGTAAATAAACGCCGCCCCAGAAAATGCAGTTTTCAATCAGCTGTAGTTGTACGTAAGCTTGCTATCGTCATCGAGCATCGATAATTGCAAATACATGCATCTCTGATCCTAGCTGTCACACGCACGAACTGTCAGTGAGCTGTCTTCGGCTTCTTTATACGTGTCGCACTACGTACTTTCACATTCGTTTTGTTATTTTTGCTCTAACCACAGGTAATGCGCGCGTGTGGTAAAATAATGGTAGTCAAATTTAAACATAGCCTTGTTTCATTTTTATATTTCAGTGCTACTACGCCACAAAAACAAATAAAATGGCTCCACCACAGAGAATGCGCGTTGCCAATGAAAAGGCCAGCAAATATGTGACAATGCGTGGCAATGTACCCAAATCCTCGGTAGGTATTAAAATCTTGAACTATATTTTCATAAGTTTTGATAAAAATTGCAATCACTGCCACAACTGCAAAAGAACAATAAGAGATAATGGCACCTGCATGCGCGCCATATAAAAACAAATCCAATAGGAAAAGTGCCACGCCGTCATTGATTTTATTGTTGTTGCAGTGCGCATATGTGCATTAGTGTGTGTGTGTGTGAGAGTTGAATTAAGTTGTTATCGCTGTTTCTAGATTTGCCTAGCTGTTGCTTCAGCGATCTCTCTAATTAATGTTTGTTTTTATTTTTGTTTCAGAAAACGAAAGAAGGCCAATACCCAGTTGGACCCTGGCTTTTGGCACTATTTATCTTTGTTGTGTGCGGATCAGCTATTTTCCAAATCATCCAGTCCATTCGGGCTGCGTAAACCTGAACAGATACAAATACAAAATTTAATAAAATAACGCTAAGCTGAGCACACAAACAAACGACAAACACACACACACAACTGCTCCGACGTCTTCTCTCAAAAACCCTTTAGTTACAACTATCCCGACAATTATGTGCAACGTTTGTAGAGATAAAGCTCGAACGACAACTTGGCTTTTTAGTTAACAGAATTTTTAATGAACGATGTATATCTATGTACATGCAAAATTTAAGTCCATATTTTGTATTCTTTATTAATAATTAAGCTTAAACCCCGAATTCTATGTAAAAGCATTCCCGCACATCTACAAATACTTATACATATGCTGATTGTGCTAAAATAGAATGCACAAGCTGTAAAAACATTATTTTAAAATGCTTTTGCGGCGAATTTAATAGTTCAAGTTTAAATGTTGTTTTCGGCAACGAGGACGATTAGAAAAAAATAACTATGAGTACATACAATGATGAATATATGATAATTTTTTACCTAAAACATATTAAACTTGTGTTTTCATTTTATTACAATATACAACTAAAAACTGCTCAACTGCTTTACATTAGTTTCAGCTTTTGTGCATCCCTGGTGCCTGTCTCGTTTGTTCTGTACACATTATGATCGAACTGTTATACTTTTGCCTGACAACATTTTAGGTACAATGAGTTAGCAATATTAGTTATGGAAAATTTAAGAAAGAATTAAAGAAAAATTAGTTAATTAACTTATTGATTTAAAATCAAAATTTCGCGAACAGCAACAACGTCAAGCAATCGTAACGTGTGTGCGCCTCAAAGTAGTTAAACAGCTGCTTAGTTTGGACGCAGCTTCTGTCCGTATACGTAAATACGTTCAAAGATTACTTAAAATGAAATTAAAACTCCATTTATAAAACTACACAAACTTAATGCGACGCATTTATACTACGGCCTATGCACACATTATGTCGAAAAATAAGGGAAAAGGTAAAGGAACTAGCAAAGCCGGTACGACAACCACACCGCCTGTCTCAAATACGCCGGTCACACTGGACAAGGGTGGCAACATTGCCATAAAAATTCTGGCAAAGCCTGGCGCTAAACAGAATGGCATCACAGACATTGGACTGGAAGGTGTTGGCGTACAGATTGCAGCACCACCCAGCGAGGGAGAAGCCAACGCTGAACTGGTAAAATTCCTGTCCAAAGTACTGGGACTCCGCAAGAGCGACGTGTCGCTCGACAAAGGCTCCCGTTCACGCAACAAAATTATACTCGTTAGCAAAGGAGTCACCACAGTGGAGGCCATAGAACAATCACTGCGGAAGGAATGTGAATCATGATTAATTGAACCAACTCTTAAATAAATGATCAATCTACGTAGTTTGTATGCTTTATTATCGATGCGATCATCCAATCTTATTACATATTCCATTTAATAGCTAACGCATATGTAGTCTTTGTATTTCTTTCTTTCATTACATAAATTACTTGGATTCTAAATTAGAAATTTCTTATAAACGACAACTGCTCTTACATAGTGAATGTGTAAATCCTATCATTACATATTTTCTTGATTTTTTTTGAATGAGTTAAGCGTATTCCTGTCGCCTATAACGCGACACAACGTAAATACAAATTACAAATGTCAACGAAACATTAAATAACTCGGTTGTCAAGTCCAACACAAGAAGCGGTTCCGACAAAGGAAATGAAATGTGATCAACTTTTAAGTAATTTTGTATCAAATGGTGTGAATAAATGGTTTTGGTGGGGATGGATGAATGGTTTGGGGGTTGAATGGTTGTTTAATCGACCTCCTCCATGTGAGATGCATCCTCGGTGTCCTCAACTAGAGATGGAGCATCGCCAGCGCTTTGGGCATCCTCAGTGGTCATGGGCTCATCCTCATCGATGCCAAGACCCAGCTTGATCATGCGATAGATGCGGCTGGCATGCACCTGAGGGCTGTCCAGCGAGAAGCCAGACGACAAAAGCGATGTCTCGAACAACAGAATAACCAGATCCTTGACGGCCTTGTCATTCTTATCGGCATCGGCCTTCTGGCGCAAGGTCTCCACAATTGGATGATCAGGATTGATCTCCAAGTGCTTCTTGCCAGCCATGTAGCCCATGGTCGAGGTGTCACGCAAGGCCTGAGCCTTCATGATGCGCTCCATGTTAGCAGACCAGCCGAACTGCGAAGTAACAATGCAGCAAGGTGAATCGACCAGACGGTTGGAGACGACAACCTTCTCGACTTTGTTGTCCAGAATTGATTTCATCAGCTTGCACAAGCTCTCGAATTTGGCCTTATCCTCCTCGCGCTTCTTCTTCTCAGCCTCATCCTCGGGCAACTCAAGACCCTCCTTGGTGACGGAAACGAGCTGCTTGCCCTTGTATTCCTTCAGATGCTGAATGACGTATTCATCAATGGGTTCCGTCATGTAGACCACTTCAAAGCCACGGGCCTTGACACGCTCAACGAAGGCCGAGTTGCTGACCTGATCCTTGGACTCGCCAGTGATGAAGTAGATGTGCTTCTGGCTCTCCTTCATCCTCGACACGTAGTCGGACAATGAGCAGAAATCATCACCAGAGGCGGAAGTGTGGAAGCGCAAGAAATCGGCTAACTTAGCACGGTTGTTGCTGTCCTCATGAACGCCCAATTTCAGGTTCTTGCTGAACTGGTCGTAGAACTTCTTGTAGTTTTCCTTGTCCTCTGTTAGCTCTTCAATTAGTTCCATTGTCTTCTTGACTAGATTCTTACGGATAACCTTAAGCACCTTGTTCTGCTGCAACATCTCACGAGAAATGTTTAGTGGCAAATCTTCAGAGTCAACCACACCCTTGATAAAGTTCAAGTATTCTGGAATCAGATCCTCGCAGTTGTCCATAATGAAGACACGGCGCACGTACAGCTTAATGTTGTTGCGCTTCTTTTGGTTTTCGAACAGATCGAAGGGTGTACGACGTGGGATGAATAGCAGAGCACGGAACTCCAGCTGACCCTCAACAGAGAAGTGCTTAACAGCCAAATGATCTTCCCAGTCGTTGGTCAACGACTTGTAGAACTCTCCGTATTCCTCCTGGGAGATATCATCGGGATTGCGTGTCCAAATGGGCTTTGTCTTGTTTAGTTCCTCATCTTCGGTGTACTTCTCCTTGATGGTCTTCTTTTTCTTGGCATCCTTGTCCTTCTTGTCGGCATCTTCATCCTCGCCAACATCCTCAATCTTGGGCTCATCGGTATCCATCTCCTTCTTCTCATCACCTTCCTTCTTCTCATCATCAGCTTCATCGTCGCTGACCTCCTTCTCACGCTCCTTCTCCACCAACAACTTGATGGGGTAGCCAATGAATTGGGAGTGCTTGTTGACAATCTCCTTGATCTTGCTCTCTTCAAGGTAATCGGTCTGATCCTCCTTGATGTACAGCACAATCTTGGTACCACGGCCCAATGGCTCAGAGTTATCAGCACGAACGGTGAAGGAGCCACCGGCAGAGGACTCCCAGATGTACTGTTCATCATCGTTGTTCTTCGAAGTGACGGTCACCTTATCGGCCACCAGATATGCCGAATAGAAGCCAACACCAAACTGGCCAATCATGGAAATATCGGCGCCAGCCTGCAATGCCTCCATGAATGCCTTAGTGCCCGACTTGGCAATTGTGCCCAAGTTGTTGACCAAATCGGACTTAGTCATACCAATACCGGTATCAATGATGGTCAGTGTACCAGCGGTCTTGTTTGGTATCAGCTTGATGTACAGCTCCTTGCCGGAGTCAAGCTTGCTGGGATCCGTCAGCGATTCATAGCGGATCTTGTCGAGCGCATCAGACGCATTGGAAATCAATTCACGCAAGAAGATTTCTTTGTTTGAGTAGAACGTGTTAATGATCAACGACATAAGCTGAGCAATCTCAGCCTGGAATGCGAAAGTCTCCGTTTCTTCAGGCATCTGCGATAAATAGAAAGGTTCAATAAAATTAATTAAAAATGTTTTAAATTGTGTACCAATAAAGTAATAAACTAGATCTTTTTCTCTCACGGTCATTTACTTTAACCCCTATTAGAGCTTTACACATGCTCTCTCACTCACACATCCTTGTTACCAAGCATGTGCAACATAAGCGATAGCAGCCTATGGGGTATGTTTGTTAATGTGTATGTACGCATTAGTAACTTCGAGAAGCGTTTCCTTGCTGATAAATAAAATTGCCCAAATGTTCTAGAAAGTCACTCATAAATATAAAACGCCTGTATAACTACTCTTGTAGCATTAGGTAAACCCATTATCTCTTTGTACGCAAAGTTCTAGAATATTTTTGGGGCATAGATTACGGGAATACATACATAGGGACAATGTGAGAATGAAACAAAGGGAAAATGCAAACACGTGCAATTCCAGCGCGTACCTAATTGCATACATTTGCATGTGTAAATTGATGTACTAGATCCTCATATGTAAGTAATCTGTATATAATATATATTATATCTATTGTGCAGTCCTCCAGAAATTTCGACGGTTTACTTCAACCGGCAAAATCTGAAAGCGTGAGTCAACTAAAAAACGCTCATCAAATTTTAACGCTGCGTTAGTAAGCACGTTGAACTTTGTGAATCGCAAACATGCCAATTATAAATGAAAAATTATTCAGTTGGCCGTAATTTCTAGACCTTTCTGCAATCGATAGAGCAGGAATGGTGTCAAGAGTTTTTCCTTCGCACATACACATATACTTTTGCCAAAATTCATTGACCGAGATGTAGTTACATTTGGTAGTTTTCCGTATTTATATAATAGAAATGAATTATAAAATTATTATGCTTACCTTGTATGTTTTTGCTTCACAGAATTAACTTTGAAAACAATACTTTATACTTTTCTTTGGGCAGAAAAAGAAATTCACTTTTTTATGCTTTGCTTTGCCTTCGAGCAGACGCTTCGATGCTCACCGCACGAATTTTGTTTCAATACTGACAAGCCGGCATCAGCTTACTACTGCTTTTATAGGGGGTGAACAAAATGCTACGAAACTTCTAGACCTTTCTAGAAAATTCTCGTCATCAGGGCTACCTCTTCCGGTTGTCAACGCAGTGTTGCGTTGAATAAACTGACAGTGTTGTAAGCCAATGTTTCTGTAAAGTTCTAGAAGCTATATTTTTCTAGAAACTATATTTATACAAATAAAAATTCAAATAATATAAAAAATCGTTAGGAATGTTATATATTATTAATATGTCTATTATTATTTTAGCTATTATTGTTAAAAAGCTAATTAAAAATGTTCGTAAAGAATAATATAAATATCAATATAACATTAACAATAATAATTTCGATGACATAAATAAATAAGATATTTACAGATATTTACATTTATTCCAGATTTTCATATTTATAAAATTTGGACATTTTTGGTATATTTTTTGACTTAACTCAATTCTGGGTGACCAAACTTCGTATAAGCAAAAAGTGTGCCTACACTTTATTTGTACATATTTTAGTACCAAATTAGTGAAGCATTTTGTTTATGCCGAGATTCATAAAAAGCAAATAGGTTAATTTTATGTTAATATGGGTGGCACTCGATGCGTATTCCGCGACTGTCAAGTTTCATCGCAGCGCAACCCCAAAATGCATTTCTTCAAATTGCCGGTTCGCGATCCAGATCGCCTAGAGACTTGGCTAAAGAATTGCGGCAACGCTAACATTTTAAATGTTGCAAGAGAGAAGTTATCAAATCGCGCTGTTTGCGCTCGTCACTTTCGCTATGAATGTTTTATGAACTATAAATTGGATCGACTTATACCAAATCAGACGCCCACTTTGGCACGCATCAGTAAGGATCTGGCCTGGGACATGGAGCACCTCGACGAGAATGGGAAGCCAACAATGGTGAAGCTATCCATGCCTACATTGGAGCATTTGATACCTCCCGATAACTTCGAATGTCCACTTGGTTTCACCGACGACGCACGATTTGGGCGCAAATACGTAGCGAGAAGACGAACGCCACCAAAGCCTTTGATCCTCGAACCTAATAAAAGACAAAAACTTGTGAATGAACAAATGAACAAAAGTGAAGCTTCTATAATCGTTGACAGTGGAAAAGAAATTGATATGGAGTCTGCAACAGAGTCTAAGAAAACAGAAGATATTCATGAAGACTACCAGCTTAAATATGAGCAATTGAGAGCAAATTTTGAGCAGATCTCAAAGGATAATGCAGATTTAAAGCAAACAGTAAAGAAACTAGAAGCTCAAACGGAAGCATTAAAAAGCAATATCTCAACATCCTTCTCTTCCGCTGCACCACAATTGACCAAACCACAGTTGTATAACGGAATTAAAAAGTATCTGGGTCCAACAATGGCTGCACTCGTTCGCATGGAAATGTTTGGCGGCGCCGAGCGTCCATGGAAAGAGGATGAACGGGAGTTTTCCAAAGAGCTGTTACAGCTGGGCGAGCACATCTACGCACATTGCTGCGATGAATGGCGATTTCGATTGCCTTCGTTACGTATGGCACGCAGTTGGTTGGAAGACAAACATGCAGAGGAAACAGAGGAAGGAGAGCAGTTATAGGGCAAGAAGCAAAATGTAATCTTTTAATATGACTAACTTAGCAGCCGCAAATGTGCCTTCCACTAATATTGACAGCTATCTTAATTAGGTGTATATAAAAAACGTATTGCTATTTAGCTGCCTTAGTTTTGGCATCAATGCCAAAAATTTAAATTGTGGCACAAGTTCTCAAGAACTTTTAATTTATTTACCTGCCTCAATCTTTATGACTTTTTTAATCCATGCACAAGGCTTTTATGTAAATCATGATGGTTCGTATTATTAAAATGCGATTCGGAAAGTTAAGACACGTCAAAGCAATTTCGGTCTCTTTACCGAACAGACATACCAAACGCAGATCTCAAGATGCAGTCGTCTTTAAAAATTGTAGCCGTAAGTAAAGAAAGATGTATTTTGGAAAAAATATATTAATCATATCTTTTGTAATAGTTATTAATGTTGTTTGCAACATTACCAATGTTGCATTGTCAAACATGCTCTGATTGTTCAGTGACCGATGGAGTTTATGCATGCCTTGATGAGGTTTCGTACGGCATCTGTTTCAATCTGGGAGCCGTTGATACTAACACAATTCGTTCTTGTAAAGATGGCTATTACTGTAACGTTGATGGTTCATTTTGTTCTCTTCAAGAAACTTCTGCTGTTAGTTTAGCTACAATCGCTTTTTTTACAATTTCAAGTATCATATCCTTCTGTTGCAGCCATCCTGTGTAACTTCTACCACACCATCCCCAAGCTCGACCCCAGTTTTGTCCACTTGCTCGGATTGTTCGTTGACCGACGGTGTCTATGCCTGCGTGGATGAAACTAGCTATGGAGTCTGTTACAATCTCGGTTTTGTCGATCAAAGTGCTATTCGATCGTGTGATGATGGCTTTTACTGCAATGTGGATGGAACATTTTGTTCATCACAGGATACATCTTCAGTAAATTTTGTTAAGATCTTTTATGTTTAACTTTTTCAATTTTTGGACTTTTTTTCAGCCGTCATGTGTATTGACAACAACTCCAGAATCGACAACAGGTAAACCTGACTCGACAACAACTTCACAACCCGCTTCTACGACAACAGCTTCTCCACCAGCTTCTACGACCGCGCAGCCTACAGACTCGACAACAGCTAAACCAACGGACTCGACAACAGCTTCACCACCCGCTTCTACGACAACAGCTCCTCCACCAGCTTCTACGACCGCGCAGCCTACAGACTCGACAACAGCTAAACCAACGGACTCGACAACAGCTTCACCACCTGCTTCTACGACCGCGCAGCCTACAGACTCGACAACAGCTAAACCACCCGCTTCTACGACAACAGTTCCTCCACCAGCTTCTACGACAACAGCTCCTCCACCAGCTTCTACGACCGCGCAGCCTACAGACTCGACAACAGCTAAACCAACGGACTCGACAACAGCTTCACCACCCGCTTCTACGACAACAGCTGCTCCACCAGCTTCTACGACCGCGCAGCCTACAGACTCGACAACAGCTAAACCACCCGCTTCTACGACAACAGTTCCTCCTCCAGCTTCTACGACAACAGCTCCTCCACCAGCTTCTACGACCGCGCAGCCTACAGACTCGACAACAGCTAAACCAACGGACTCGACAACAGCTTCACCACCCGCTTCTACGACAACAGCTGCTCCACCAGCTTCTACGACCGCGCAGCCTACAGACTCGACAACAGCTAAACCACCCGCTTCTACGACAACAGTTCCTCCACCAGCTTCTACGACAACAGCTCCTCCACCAGCTTCTACGACTGCGCAGCCAACAGACTCGACAACAGCTAAACCAACGGACTCGACAACAGCTTCACCACCTGCTTCTACGACCGCGCAGCCTACAGACTCGACAACAGCTAAACCACCCGCTTCTACGACAACAGTTCCTCCACCAGCTTCTACGACAACAGCTCCTCCACCAGCTTCTACGACCGCGCAGCCTACAGACTCGACAACAGCTAAACCAACGGACTCGACAACAGCTTCACCACCTGCTTCTACGACCGCGCAGCCTACAGACTCGACAACAGCTAAACCACCCGCTTCTACGACAACAGTTCCTCCACCAGCTTCTACGACAACAGCTCCTCCACCAGCTTCTACGACCGCGCAGCCTACAGACTCGACAACAGCTAAACCACCCGCTTCTACGACAACAGCTCCTTCACCAGCTTCTACGACAACAGCTCCTCCACCAGCTTCTACGACAACAGCTCCTCCACCAGCTTCTACGACCGCGCAGCCTACAGACTCGACAACAGCTATACCAACGGACTCGACAACAGCTCCTCCACCAGCTTCTACGACCGCGCAGCCTACAGACTCGACAACAGCTATACCAACGGACTCGACAACAGCTCCTCCACCAGCTTCTACGACCGCACAGTCTACAGAACCTTCTATTGCATTGTCTACAGAATCAACAACCACAAGTGTCCCAGAAATCGATGCCGATGCATACTGTTTGAGTCTCAACAAAGAAGGGTATTTCAGAGTCGAGAGTGATCCCACCTGCAAGGAGTAAGATGCGTACCTGTGGCTGCATATTGTCCAATATATTTATTTATTATACGTCTTACAGCTATGTGAACTGTTTCAAATTATCGGGAGATACCCTTGGTTGGCTTTTTCATTGCAACACTGACGAATATTTTAACTCAGAGACAACTCAGTGTGAAACGGAACGACCTGCTGACTGCTAAAAAGCTGAATTATGTTTCTAAAAAGATAAAAAATAAAAGTGTATAAATGTGTAACTTTTTATATTAATTATATTATTATATAAGACACATACATTTAATAAATTTTCAAACTAAAGCGAACTATAATTTACGAGGCTTTCTAAGAGACCGCTCAACGAAGGAATGATCCTAAGTGCTTGCACATTTGTATCCTTTAATCATGTATTAGTATTATTATTATTAATATATATTTATATATATAAATAAAACGACTAGAATTTCCCTTTAATTTGTATGTTTATGAAGTATTATCAACGAGGACGAACTCAAATTAACAAGTCTGATTAAAACATTTGAGACTCAGATATAGGTTAGAAATATTATATATATATATTTATATAATTGTAGTTTTGAAATGCTTATGTGCAAAAGTCTGGTTTCGGGGATGTACAGAATTCGCCATTAAACCAGGTTTCTGATGGACAATTCTTTTCACGGCCATTCCACTCGCCATTCACATTCCTGCACTCGGCAAACCTATAAGAAAAATTAGGCACATGTATATGTAAATATATATATATATATGTATATTCTTAATCATATATGTATATTAAGTTCGATGCTTACGTAGCGCATGTAGGGTCCATTTCATTTGTAAACTGTCCATCTTTTTGGGTTTCCTTGCATAAAGTGACTATATCTCGAGGTGTATTATCAGGTGTACAATTCACTTCACCAGTTGTTGTCGGATAGCATATATATTTACCGCCAGTGCAATGATAATCTTTGGGACAGTCTATGTAGTCCTTCGTTGGAACGCCTGAACAATGAGTATATTATGAATTGATTTTTGTATATATAGATGAGCTATCTCCGTTTACCATCTATGCAAATCGAAAATGTAGTTTCACTGTGGCATGCAGCCCGAACTTCAGTCTGGCAGACATCGCACTGAGCCTGCAAATTGCAAGGCAATGCTAAGGAAACTATAAGGAAAGCTGCCTAAAAAATATAGAGCAATAAAGGGTATGTCCTATGAATCAGATGAGCGACCTGACAATACTTACGATCTTTGACAACTGAAACATTTTTGGAGCATGTGCAGTGGAGCAACTAATATGAAAAACTGACCAAAATAGATGGATCACTTGAATTATATGCTCATCTATATGCACAGATAAGCAAAATAACCTTGAGTTAGAATACATAATAATGAAATTTTGGACTGCAATAAACATTGACAGAGCCATAACCAGAAGAGTATGAGATATATTTTAGTTGATCTGAGATAAACAGTAAAATTCGGAGAAAAACAACCTTATCTTTATAGTCTAATTCTTTATTTTTTACATAAGCAAGATGTTTCAGATTAGGTACAGAAATCTGGCTTTACGCTGTCGCAGCCTGTTCCATTAAAGTAGGGTTTTTTTGTAGAACATTCATAAATTTCGCCTTGTAGTAGACCAGTTGCACCATTTTTAAAACAATAAATAAAACTAGAAAAGGATAATTTATAGATTACATCATTGAGAATTGTGCTGCTTCTGCTGCTTACGTTTTACAGGTGGGATCATCCTTGTTTACATAGTTATCTGGCTTGCCGGTAGCTGTGCAATATGCATCGAGATCTACAACAGGCTTACAGATGGGATCATAGTGACTTTCCGGGTAACATATATATTTTTCACCCGTGCAAACGTAATTGGTCGGACAGGTGATCACCTTGTTCGATGCCTTACCTATGAGTAGAATGGATTTCTTTAGGCATTAGTTAAATATTCCCTGTACATTCATATTTACCATTGACGCAAATTGAATAAGTATTCTCACTATGACAGGCTGCCCTGCCTACCTGGCAAACATCGCACTCGCCATTCAGATATTGCACCAATACCTATTCATAGATGAACTATATATATATTTCTTGGAAGAGCTTTGCGAACAGATCTAGTTACCAGAGTTATAATTAGTCGAACCCACATTTTGTGTTTGTCGCTCACAATTCACTTTTCTAACTAAAATACTCTGGGTAAAATTTAGACACTTTATATACTCTTTTATCGCTGATAATCCTATATCATATCTTGACTTAGTTTATGAACTATTTACGTTTGGTTTTATTTAGGCTCTTTTAATAATACATCTACATTTTTATTAAAATAACAGATTTTGTTAGTAAAAATTTGTCTCACATAGATAGGACTTTTCTCTGGGAGCTCATCAGCTAAAACTGGAAATAAAATAGATCTTTCATTCGGATTGTTTCGATTTAAGTAAAATCATGTTTTTGTTATCCTAGTCTTGTCTGTTTCTGTATATAGTTGGGTGTATTCTGATGCTTTACTTCTAAAATCCATAGAGCTTATTTTATATCTACAAAGAATGGTAGTTAACTGTTGAAATAATTAATTAACATGTAATATGTAAAGTTACCAGAGTTAGGAACAGTTTTCATCCACATTTGCGATCGCACCTCTGTCAATTCTTAAACTAAAATGCTGAGCAAAAAAATATAATCTTATCATATAGCACAGAGACTTGAAAATATTTTATTTATTTTTAACTTTCTGTTTCTTGTTTATTGCGTATTTAGCCAATGTCAATAAATTAAAGAATAATAATTTATGCTTTGTGTGTAGTTATTCCTTTAAACACTAAGCTTAGTCTTACAAAAATATATATATATATATAAGTGTATTCACAAATTGAAGGCGCATTCGTTAGCTGTCAGCTGTAGTATACAAAATGTGTAGGAATATATTCGAGTGTTTCGAGTTTTGAATGTATGAAATGCATAATAAATACAATAATAGTTAATCTTGTGGACGTAATATGGACATACATTTCGGTATTGGTATACATATACATATAAGTACATGGGTATATGTCTATGGATATATAATTTATGCTACTAGATAATTATGAATTCGCACAGTTGCCGTTTAGTCTTCGTTTAAATATATGTATATATAAATTGTATATCTATTATCTAAACTATATCTAAATGTAAAACACAACATATATATAATTATAGATGCTACGTATATAAATTGCAGACCTGTTTGTATGTAGCTTAAGGCAAATCATAGCATTATAAGAAGCACTTAGTAAATTTCTCTTCTGTTAAGCTAAGGCATAAATTCGTTACTTTCTAAAACGAAATAATACTTCGTCATCAGCAAATGCAGTTTGTTTTTGTTTATCTGTTTGTTTTGTTTGTGTTCCAGAAGCTCTAAACGCAGCCATATTCATACCAAATGCTGTTGCTTTTATCCTCGTTTCGCTTGCGCAGCGCTTTATCGTCCTGATTGGTGCTGCCGGCGACGCTGCCGCCACTACCTGTGGCCTGCAGAAGTGGACTCTGATCGTTGGTTGTGTTGTTGGCTGCACTGCCAATAGTTGTATTGATACGATTGTACATGAGAAACGTGGCTGGTTGATTGTCGCTCTTCAGTGGTGTTTGTGGCTCAGCACCAGTTGTGGCGGCATTGGCTGCTGTAGCATTGTTGCTGGGCGTAGGCGTTGAACTCGCCTGTGGCTGTTGTACGTTGGCGCTGGAGCCGTCGGGCAGCTTCTCATCGATCAAATAAACGGTACGTCGTGAACCTGCAGTACCGAGGGTTAAGCTGCTGCCAGTTACGTCGGGCGGTTCAAGGCTGCTGCAAGCAAAATTCATTTAGCAAACGGAAAAAGATATTCACAAAACACAAACATATATAGACATAGCTTTACATCGAAGGATTGGGGAATGTGGGATATTGTTTCTTATTTTTTATTGGGATTTAATGTATGTTAAACATTTAAAAGCGCATACCCGTGCACGCTATTTCTACGTGAATTACTCAAATCCGTACGTTTCTGTGCCTGCAGGCTACTTCGCACAGTGCCACCGCGTTGTATGGAGCTATCCAGTAAATCCCTATAGAGTACATATACAATACATAAACATTGTGCGCGAGTGTGTGTGCAAAGTTGATGATGTTGTTGTTGTGTATATACATGTAAATAGAACAAGAACCATAAACCAAAACTAAGTACATCATTTAACCATTAAAGCAAATGCATTCGGCAAGCCAAGGCTAGAATATGATTTTCTTCCGTTTAGCAATTTAGTAAATAGTTCAGTACTATACTGCCAAAGGAATATATGCAATAATTGTCTTTCCACAAAGACCATAGCAAAAGCTAATAGTCCGTATAATCGTTTACTTACCGCTGCAGACTCTGACGTAGTGGCATATTTCGCTGTAGCAGATGCGTATCGGAGGCAATCGATAAGGGCTCCTCGTTGCTATTATCCGATTCATTTCCGCCTGATTCAGAGCCGATGACAAACTGTGAATTAGTGCGTGCATCATCCACCCACGAGCGACGATTCTGAAATTAACGAATGTTTAGTTACAGACTTAAAACAATTAGGTCATTTTTTACCCGACTTGGCACCTTATTCATCAAATCAGAACTGGCTTTCTTTACACGTCTAACGAGGCTGCTGGCAAATGGTTTTCTGTGGAATATTTTGATTAGGCAATGCTCCGGTTAAATAAACCAGCTATCGACATACTTCTTTTGCACTGTGGTCTCCGATTTCTTATAGTGCTCCATTATCTTCTCCTCAAGCTTTTCCTTTTGACGCTTTAGGCTGTGCACACGTTCTGTGTAGTTCTTTTCTTCCTCATGAAAGTGCTTCTTGTCCTCCAATGAAATGGCCAGCAATTCTTGGTATTGCGACAGCAGCTGTGACACATTGTCCATTAAGGCTTTGCGTTCCGAGTCCAAGTCTGCATTGTTTTGTATAAGCATCTGGAAGAGGGAAAGCTAGCATTAGTCCAATATAAAATGGGTAAGCATATATTAGAACTCACCTCGCAACGTTGCTGAACCTTCGAGTATTCGATCTGGAGTAGACGCACCTGATCCTGTTTGGCATTCAGCTCACCAGTCAACTCGGTGTTTTGTAATTTAAGACTGCTGTGCTCCACGCGTATCATTTTGTATTGTTCCTGGATGTTCTTGTACTCGTTTTTGAACCGATCGCTGGTGGCGAAGAGGTTGCGGAAGTCATCAGTCAGTTTGGAGTGCTCAGTGCGCAGTATGGCAAGATCTTCGTGGCAGGTTTTCATGCTACTGGTCTGTGTGACCAGTTCTTCGATGCGCTGCTCCTGCGATTGGATTGTCTCACGTGCATCACGCGTCTCTTGGCGTAGATCACGCACAGCCGCCTTTAACTGTTCCTTGTCCTTATTAAGTGATTCATATTCGGCAGAGAGTTGATCGTGGAGACACTGAAGTGTCACTTGATCTTGCAGCGCATGCTTGTGTTCCTGCCGCAGCGCATCAATTTCCTTCAGCAACGTATCCTTCTCGGCGGCCAGCTGCGAGTTCGCCAATTGCAGCGCCACATGCTGCGTATTGAGTGAAGTGATCTGCGAGCCCAATGCTGCTACATCTACGCTTAATCGCGCATTCTCCGTTTGCAACTGCGTATTGCTGTCCTGTAAGCGTGTCACTTCCGCTGAGTCACGCGACGGCCTTAGATGCAGTTTGTGCTCGAAGCGCAACTCCTGCGCTGTGGGCGCATGAGGCGCGGCCGACAACTCGATATTCTTTTCGACGGTAAAGATTTCCTGGCGATGACAGAGTACACACATATCCGACTTGACGCCCGCCTCCTGCTGCTGCTCACGGTTTACATTAAGCATAATTTCCCGCACCGTTTTAAAGGTTTCTGGATTGCGCACCAGCTTCTCCACCACATGCTCAACATTTAATTCGGACGGCTCACCATCAACCTCGTTGACATCCAGTCCGAGTTTTTCCAGATTATGACGCACCTTCTTGGTGACTAGCGTCCCATTAACCAAGTCGTTGCGTAACGTACTTATCATTTCTTGGTCAATGTTACGCTGCGAGCTTAGCTCTTGATTCTGTTTTTCCAGTTCGACAAGCTTCAGTTGAACTTGCTCTGCCTCCTCCTGTACTTTGGCGAGCCTCATTATATCTTTAGCTTGGGTGTCTAGCCTATTGATGCTTTCGTCCAGTTGCACAGACTTTTGTTCACTGCTCTCCTTAAGTTTTGTCACTTCTTTAAGCAAGCTGGCATTCTCGCGCTCGTAAGTACAAACCTTGGCCTCAATCTCGTAAAGTTTCTGTTTGGTCTGCTCGAACTGATGTGTTTTCTCAACATACTGTTCTAACTCCTTGGTCTTAGCTTCTGCAAGCCGTTCCAAATCATCGGCTCGACGCTGAATGCTCTCATTAAGCGTTTGAATGCGCTGTTTTTCTTTATTTAGCGTCTCCACGTACTGTTCCGCATCCGAGAGTTTCTGGCGATCCGCTTCGCGCTCTAGACTTTGGCGATCGTAGCTCTTCTGTCGATTATCGACGGCGTCCTGCAGCTTTTTGTTTTCTTCCAAGGCGTTCTTAAACACGCTCTCTAGTTCCACATTCTGTTGCGTCAATCTTTGTATGTTCTCCTGCATTTGCTCGATTTTCAATGACAATTTCTTCTTTTCCTTTTCAAGCTCCAGCATTTTGCTGGTGGATTCATGAAAGCTGTTCTCTTTCAACTGTTCCAGGGCTGCAGTCAATCGTCGGTTCTCCAGTTCTAACTTTAGAGCACGTGTTTGTGCATTGTTTGTCAGTTGCTCGGACAAGCTGTTGTCCCCGGAATTGCACTCATCCTCATTGTCGGAGAAAGATTTGTCGATTTCCTGCGTGGAATTGAGATTCTTTGCTACCAGCTGCAGCTGTGCATTTTCTTCGAGAAGCTCTTCTAGCTTGGATCGATCCACATCACGTTCAAGTGCCATGTCATTGATTTTCTGCTTGTACTTAATGATCTCCGACTCCAAAGTGATGGCATGTTCCGAACGCTTGCGTGAACGTTGCAGCTGCTCCTCCAGCATTTCTCTACGAAATTAATTGATATGTAAGTAATTTTCATTTATGTATGTATTGTGCTGCATATACTTAGATTCAAGCAGCACACGATTATCCTCGCGCAGCTCTTCCACGCGCGATTTGTAAAAATCAGAGTCACCAAGCTTTTCACGATATTTCTGCACCTCAATCTCTAGACGATCGGCACGTTCGGCACGCTCCCGTAATATATCCACCTCATCCCGATAGGCAGACGCACGCTTGGCCTCGGTAAACCATTCCTGGCTCTGAAATAGAAACAAAGAGCATATTAGTTAGTTTATACTTCAACAATTCAAAGCAACTGACTTCCTGGCGTAGCTTATCGAAACGTTGCTTTTTGTCATCTAGCTCTTCACGTAGCTCCAGCAGATTCTCCGATTTTTCTTCACTGCAATCGGAAAACAATTTAGTTACTCTTTAGATAATTAGATTGATCAACTTACAGTTCTTGGCGCAATTTACGATTCTTAGATCTAAGATCAGCGCACTCCACAGCCAAATGATTACTTTCTGAATTGGAAGATGATGAGGGCGTTGACGTGGCTGTACCACTAGAAGGAGAACGCGGGACACTGACACCTTGTCCGCATTCGGCGCCATCAGTGGCATTTAGCTCTGGCTCCACGCACACCGTTTCGATCCACTTCAAGTACATGTGATCGCGTTCCTTAGTTAAGCGGATAATGTGTCCATACATATTCTCGGCCGACAGACGCTCTATTGAATCCTCGGTGAGCACCAGGCTGTGGCTATCAGTCACTTGTTTGATAAGCGCCACAATGCCATGCTGCGTCTCTAGATCCAGTTCCTTAATGCGCGCTATGAAGAGCTCTTTGTTGGGACATTGCACCGCTGCGCCCAGTAATAACGTTAGCAGAGTTTTCATCTGCTCCAAGCCATGCTTGCTCTCCGGATAATAGCCTAGCATATACGCATCAGGCAGCACCAGTATTGTCTGTCCCAGCTCCTCCTCGAACAGTGCCTTTAGATTGCGCACTATGCATTCAAAGTTTTTGGCGCGAGCAATGCTCAGCGAATGGCCGCTTAGTTCGCTAAGCAGCTCGCTCGGATTGTTTTGTGGTTCCGGATCGATCTGCAACCAAACGCTGTGTATTATGTGGCCATCCAGCAGCGATGTGTAACCAGCGAGCAGCTCGGCACGTGGCAGGCAGGATTCCAACTGAAAGTAAAATATCAATCATTAGAATGCAATGACAACCGATTGTTACTAAAGCCATAAAAAAAACTAGTTCCAATATATTGACAAAAATACCAATAGGGTAATTTATTTTTTAAGTAAAAATCAGCATTCTCGACTTAAAGATCGCCTACGATGTACGAATTACCTATACTCTATTTAAGATATACGTAAATATATGTACACATACATTTAAATAGAATAATAATTAGTGCTTAATAGCATATTAATATTCCCTGTTTCAGTAAGTTAATTTGTCAAGGGTATAAAAGCCGGTCGAGCAAAACTCAGTTCTCGCAATTGGCAAACAAAAGGCTGCCGACGGCCCGCTGCTAATGACAACATTAAAAAAGTTGTTTTTGTACCGTAAACGGTAGCAATAGCCAAAGCCACAGTTACAATGACCTTGGGGCTAAGCGTCGGAAATCTATGTGGCTATAAATATGTATGTACGCATGTATGCTTCTACATGTATGTATTTACATACATATGTGCGGGCGCATGTAAATTGAAGTCTTGATTATTTGTGTATGGCAATCACGTTTTCATTCAGCTGCCCTCTTATGAGCATGTCGAGCATGTTCATCCACTCACCCAAGAGACGAGCGCTCCATTTATGAATTCGTCAATTTCCATTGGTGTTGCGGTTGCCGTGCCAGCCATTGTTGTTGTTGCTGCTGTTTTTCCAGTGTATGTATGTGTGTGTGTGTGTGCCTGCGTGCGTGTGCTTATGAGCTGCACCTGCACCTGTCGTTAATGCAATAATTGCAACGGCGACACCAACGGCAGCGGCGGCTTTGTCTTTGTTTCTAATTCAATTGCCGCCGTGACAGCTTCACAGCTTCCAAATCATTTTACATGCAAACACACACACACTCACACACGCTTTGTATTGAAACAGTTTGCCAATAACAATAACAGAAAATTCGATTAAAACTTAGATTTTTGTTTTTAATATTAGATATATATTGCAGATAAACGTTCAGGTTGAGTTATTTAATAATAACAAGTGGCAATCTAATGTATTTTTTATTTTTGGCGAAACACCTGCGCTGCGCTTTCTGTAAATTGGGGATGTAAGAAATAACAGCTAGAGATGTGCTTGATATATCGATACAGGTGTATGTGATAGTACCGATGATATCGATATAAGCAAATTTTATGAAATGAATATTGTAAGAAATTGACAATATCGATCGAGCTAAATTTAAATTAGCCAAGCTTTAATTTTTGGCAAAATGTCTCTATGATAATTATCGATTGCTTATCGAAACAGTAATTGTATCGATCAGCAGGCAGCTGTTTAATATTTTTCCCCTACTGGCAACGCTGCAAGTTAGTTGCCGTTGACATTTCTTAGCGCCCAAAGCTTATTTGTGTGTAGGAATGCCTGGCTATACTGGCGAACGGATTATTTAACGCGTCCGTAAAAATGGCTTCGATTGCGCACCCAAAATTGCAAATTACGAAAATTGCACTGTTAAATTAGTTAGTTATATTTAAAAAACGCATTCGAAACCTATTGAAAACGAAAAAAATATATATATAAAACGACCGTTTGAGTGCGTGAAGTTAAAAGCGGCTTGCCTATATATAGATACTTCTATATATATGCACAATTAATTGCAAATAGGTTAAAATATTTAAGTATACGATATGGGCAATCAACCGGGTAAACTGCAGACGCCACAGAGTGGACGGCCCAAAAAGAATGTGCATTGGAAATCTGCAGGCAAGTTAAACGGATTTGCCCGTTCCAAATTCCATTAAAATTCGAAAATATATTCCCGAATTTCCACACACTGAAAATCTTCTCTAATTGGCTGTGAGAGATCGCACACACATAGTAGTAGTCCACATAGTTGGTGGGAGCGCTAGAAATATTCCTATTTTTAGCCACGCGCACATTCAAGTGGTTGCCGCGGCCGTCCATTGACGCGACGCCGTCCGTCGGCCCGTTTTTCTGTTTTGTATACCCATTGAACATCGATCATAAATGGGTATAATGACGGACTTCAGCTTATTTATCAGGCGAATAAAGATATATTTCCAGATCTTATAGTACATAAACCAGAGAGGAATAAAAATAATTTTAATTTAAAAATTTTAGATTACTCCTGATTAGTGTCTCAGAACTGATGATTAAAGTAAAGTTTAGTTCATTACAGTTTATTCATCAGTTCGTTATTGTTCACAGGGTATCTACTAGCCGAGCACTTTTGTGTAGCTGAAATTTACTAGAGTATGACAAATCATGGGTCTATATGATATATACCTGTTTATCAGTTAATATCTGTCTATAGGGTATTGGCTAGTCGAGCACTCCCAGCTCTTAGAATCGCGTATTTTCTGTTTTTCTTGAATCGTTGGCCTAAAATTTTTAAAAAGCCACAAAGTAATGTTTTCGAAATAGTTTCTTTTGAATACTGCGCAAGCGCTTGAGTTTGAGCTTTTAGAATGTATATTGTGAATTATTTACCTGTGATTAATTTGCGCTCTTCTTTGGTAGAACGGCCCTCTCCGCCGGGTCGTCCCATATTGACGCCGCTGGCGCTCTCCGAGCAGCAGCCCGATGTGGTTAATCTGCGCTGGGAACGCCCGCTGCTGGACGGCGGCTCGCCCATTGTGGGCTACACGGTGGAACAGCGACGTGTTGGCTCGCCCCATTGGGTGCGTGCCACGCCCACGCCCATCTCTGGCTGTGAGATTCAGATCAGCGGCCTGGAGCCGGGCTGGCGTTACGAGTTTCGCTGCTTTGCCGAGAACATTGTGGGTCGCTCGAATCCCAGCGAACTGTCCGATCCGCTGACGGTGACCCTGCAAAGGAACGCAATCAGTGTGCCACGCTTTGTGGAGGAGCTGACGGACATGAATGCCGTGGAGGACGAACGCATTGAGTTCCGCGTGCGCATTCTGGGCGAGCCGCCGCCGGAGATCAACTGGTTCAAGGACGGCTACGAGATCTTCAGCAGTCGCCGCACCAAAATTGTCAACGAGCACGACTGTAGTGTGCTCATCATACACCAGGTGGCGCTGACCGACGAGGGCGAGATCAAGTGCTCGGCCACGAATCGGGCGGGTCATGTGGTCACCAAGAGTCGTCTACAGGTGCAGGCACCACCCAAGATTCGGCTACCGCGCACCTACGAGGATGGCCTCATTGTGGAGGCGGAGGAAGTGCTACGCTTAAAGGTGGGCGTCGCCGGACAGCCACCACCGGCCATCACCTGGCTGCACGAGGGCGAGGTCATAGTGCCCGGCAATCGCTTCGAGGTCACCAACACCGAGAAGAACTCGCTGCTGAAGATCGACAATGTGCAGCGCGCAGATCGAGGCGAGTACATGGTGCGCGCCTGGAACAAGCTGGGCGAGGACATCAGTTCCTTTCTGGTCACCGTGACGGCCAGGCCGAATGCGCCGGGTACTCCACGTCTCAACATGTCCTTTGGCAAGTCGGCCACGCTGTCGTGGACAGCGCCGCTAGACGATGGCGGCTGCAAGATTGGCAACTACATTGTGGAATACTTTCGCATTGGCTGGAACGTTTGGCTAAAGGCAGCCACCACCCGTGCGCTGAGCACCACGTTGCACGATCTGATCGAGGGCTCCGAGTACAAGTTTCGCGTGAAGGCCGAGAATCCCTATGGCTTGAGTGAGCCCTCGCAGGAGTCGGAGCTCCTCTTCATACCAGATCCCAAGCGTGGCATCACCAAGCCCAAGTCGGCCACCAAAATCGCTGGCGACGAACGCAATGGGAATGGGGCCACGCACAAGGAGAAAGACAATGACATATCGAAGCCTGTGCCACCGCGCCGTAAGACGCTCTCACCCCCACGTCCACAAGCGGATGCAGCGACCAGTATGTCCGCTTCGCCCAAGCAGTCGCCTCGTGGCTCGCGCAAGCCCACGCCACAGCTGGTGGACAGCGAGCAGCTGCGTCATGAGATGTCCTACGGCACCTCCGACCAGGCGCTGAAGATGAGCGTGCGCAAGAGCCCATCGTTGAGTAGCGCCGACTCGGCTGCAGTGCAAGTCACTAAGCCCGACTCCAACCCCAGGCTTAATTTGACGCTGGTGACCACAACGGCGCTGGCGGACAAGCCGGAGACACAGTCCAAGCCACCCAAGTCGCCCACAGCTGCAGTGCCGCTAAAGCTCTTTAATGCCAAGCCGGCGGCTAGTCCAAAGGACAAGTCTCCTGGTCGCCCAGCACAGAAGCCACAGCCACTGCCGCAGCCACCGATAGCAGCGCTTGCAGCGCTGGCATCCCTGGAGCCTGCCTTGGATTCGTCCCAGCGCCTGCCAGCACCGCTGCGCAAGAGTCCTACGCCGCCGGAGCCCATCAAGTCGACGCCCGCTCTGCAGCGCAGTGCTGAGCCCGTCCAGCTGGGCGTCAATCAGAATGTGAGACGCTTCTCGGGTCACTCCTTGAGCCCGGCCAAGCATGTGCCCGCCTTGGCCATAGCTATAGCTACCAGCGCCCACATTGGCGAGCAGCTGCCCACTATAGAGATCAGTGCCCCGCCTCCTGCCCAGCCAGAGCCACTTGTGCCGGAAACTCCTACGTCGGAGTCGACGCCACCGGTGCCCAAGATGCGTCCACCGAAGCCAGCGGATAAACACGACGAAGTCCATACGAGCAATGAGTTCATGCTGGTGGTCTTCGATAAGAACAGCAAGGTCAAGGATAAGGACAGTAAGTAGTGCGGATCCTTCCAAGAACTCGCATTGACACTTGCTTTCTCTCACTCAGAGCAAGATTCCTTTGAGCTGGAACTGGAGGACGCCATACAGCCGCCGCCGATCTCCATCTCTGCACCGGATTTGGCCTTCTTGGAGTTTACCAATTTACACACGACCTTCCCGTTGCGCCGCTCAGTCAGCTCCACCGAGCTACTCTACGAGCGCGCCATGGCGCGTTTCTACGAAGCCGTGGAGTTGGAGCAAGCCTCCAAGTCGAAGGTGAAGCCTGCCAAAGCTCAGGAGCCAGCTGCCTTGCCCGTAGCCGGCGCGACTACGTTCCGCAAGCGTCTGGGCTCCATGACGGAGGCGGAGCGCGCTTCCTTCGAGCGCCGCAGCGAGTTGAGGCGTCAGTCGGCGGACATGGTGTCCATGGGACGTAAATGGGATTCACGGGAGAACGTTAACATCGTTGATCTAAAGAATTTGACGCGCACCACTACGGAACATCTGCTCAATCTGCAGGCGAGAGACATTGACAGTCGTGAGCAGGACTTGGAGGAGTATGACGAGGATCGCACGGAGAGCACGGCCGATGACAGCGAGGAGCTGGACATGGATGAGGATCAGCAGCAGCAGCAGGGCTTCGATCTGGGCACCGATTACACCGAGAGCACCGCCACCTCCGACCAGGACTCCATTGAGCAATTCAAAATGCAGCTAATGGCCCGCACGCACTCGCCCAGTCCACGTGATCTGGAAACGTATCATCCGCGCAACATGGGTGCCGGCACGTTCACTCCATACCGTGCGCCCACGCCGGAGCAGGCGGCCGTGGTGCTCAATCGGCCAATGCCTCTACCTAGTCCAGACTTTGTGCCAAAGCCCATACTGAAACGTTCTTCCAATGAGCACGTGGAGCTGACTGTTAGCCAGCCCAGTAGCCCAGATGTCCAGCAGCAGGAGCTGGGAAATGGCACTATCAGCAGTTCCTCCACTCCTGCCGCAGCAGCCAGCAGCCTGAAGCAGGATCTGGCCAAGGGTATCAAGTCGTTCTTCAGTCGGGACAAACGCTCGGCCACTGAGAAGAACACCGAAGCCAATGAGGAGATCTCGAATCCGCTGGAGAAGACCAACGCTGCCGTCATTGCTGCGGAGCTGGAGACGAAACGCAAGGTGAAGGAGGAGGAGGAGCTGCGTCGCCAAGAGCAGGAACGACTGATGCAAGAGGAGGCACACGCAGCCGTGGATCACTACAGCGATCTGGTGCGCCAGGTGAGCAGCACCCACAAGTACCATAAGCCGCTCTACCTCGATCGAGATGAGCTGAAGCGAGCCGCTGCCCAGGCCGGGGAGGACGATGACGACGACGATGGCGCTGCAGCGGCGCATCAGCAGCGCCGAGCAGCATCAGCTGCTGATCAGGATCAGCTGCTGCTGGCTCCACCCACCGTCAGTCGAGAGCGTCGTCTGTCCATTTCAGAGCGGGAGCAGCTCGTGCATGTGCGTGATGCAGCCAGCAGACACGCCATGCACAAGGCACCCGAAACACCTGCGCCGGAGGATCGTCAGGATGAGGAGCCGGAATTTCCCACTGTGCTGGTGGTGCCGCCACCCAAGTCCAAGAACAAAAAAGACGCCGAGGAGTGCAGCGAGAGCGTGATGAGCGAAATAGTCGAGGCACGCCCCGATGCACGTGGACGCACGCGCCTAGTGAAGGTGAAGCGTGTGATCAAGCGTCGAGTGCCCTCCAGCACGCGCTCCCGCGATGCCTCGCTGAGCAGGCCACAGCAGCCGGTGGCAGCCGTTGGTAACTCTGCATGCCTGGAGCACAGCTCCCAAGCGTCACTGCTGCTGTCCGCTGCGGATCGTGAGCTGCTGGAGAAGGCAGCCAGCTTGGCGCTGCTGCAGTCCCGTTCCGAGGAGCAGGCGCATGAGAAGGTGCGCTCCGCTTTGAGCTACTCCACGGATCTGGTGCTCTTCCTGGTTGCCTGCTATGTTTATCTGTTCAAGGACGCACGCCTCGTCCTGCCCATACTGGCGCTGATGATCTATCGCCAGCTGGGCGAGGCAGTGCGCGGCTACATGCCCAGCTGGCTGCGACGCAAAGGCAACGATGGCGATGCCTAAGTCAGCCGAATCGCAGCTGCTCCACTCCCTCCCCCAGCTCGTCTTGCGTTTATCAGTTAAGTTAGCTCTTATCAATCTATCGACTTGTATTTTAAGCTTAAGCCCCAACAACTTCGGATCTGCTACGAATTTCTTATGAATAACCCCGTATACGTATACGTTTACTCGTCATATATAGTTAACCGATCTTAGACTTGCTGCAGTTACAATAGTCTCAACTAATTTTGTCTGTTTTGTCCGATCGAAGAGCTTTGTTCACATTTGAGGCAAAATTTCCTTGACCTACGCTTCATGTTCTCCTATAGGGCATTTGGGGTATTTAAAGGTCTATTTTAATTACACACATTTATTATGCTAGGCTGATACGTTATCTAGCTCTCTTCCTCTTCTACTCCTGTCATAGGTCTTAGAGAACTTGAGCTTAATAAAAATTGTTTGTAGCCTAAAAAAGTTCTGTGCGAACCTTTCTTATACCTAGCCCACTCTGTTTATATAAAGACTTTAGCCTATTCTCCTTTTATAGATTTTAGACACACTTTTTAGCCATTTCTGATTGTCTAATACTGTTTCTAACTATTTTTCTATTTAACTTTCTAATAAGCTTTATGGGAACTAGGAATTTGAAGGAAATTTATTTCTCTTAGTTCAGCTTGAAATAGTTTTTCTTCCACGATGCTACAAGTTCGATGGTTAAAAATATTTCTACTTTTATATTATATCTCTATATTTTAGATTATATTGGATTAGCTCTTCTGAATTATCTGAATCTTATACTATTTTAAAAGGAGCATTTTAAGCTGTGAGGAATTTGCCTCTGTTTTAAAGAAAGTTGAATTTTCTTAGCTACTCTAGGAGAAGTCTGCTAAAGTCCTACTACATTTTGAATCAGTTTAATATATAGTCATATTACAGCTAAGTGCCTGCTAAGAATCGGTTTTCTATATATATTAAAATCACTATACTTAAGCTTACTTTGTTATCTGTTGTGGTACGCTCCTTCCCGCTCGGTGTTTAGGCCTAATATATTATATTTTGTGTTTGTTTACGACTTATTTTGTCGGTCTTTCTGGATTGTTGGTCAATTATTTGAGAAATAAAGCACACAAAAACAAGAATTTAGTCAAGTTCCGGTGGCACGTCAGAGCCATATCCAACTATAAACAGATCGAATCGGCTGACTTGCCTTATCGTTCGGTGTGTCAACAGCAGCTGCTGCGACAAATTGCGTGGAATATTCTTTGGGCTTATCTGATCTATGCAAACAGATGTTGTGCATAAAAGGTAGGCGCTGCATGGCCAGCAGCACATTCCCTCCAATATTCCCACAATGTCTGCCACATACGCCTGGATCTTGTTGATCTGCTTGGGCTTTGGCCTGGGCAATGCTGCTATTCGACCCGCTCAGGAAGCCGCCGCCGCTGGACCACCGCCAGATCTGGCACAGGATCTCATGGATGTATATGGCCAAATACAGTTTAAGCCCATGCAGAAGCTGTTTGTGCGCTATCTGCTGAATGATGGACAGTTCCAGGCTTTCGTGCGCATCTTGAACAGCAATGCGGGCTTCACTGCCTACTGGCGCCTGCTCGCCCAGCCAGAGGTGATGCTCTTCCGGCAGTGGGTGGATCAACAGCTGTTGGCCTCCGCTGGCAAGTTCAAGCTGGAAGAAGTGGAAGTGTGCACAACGCTGATGAATCGCTATCCGTACTTATCTGGCACCGTCTTCGGCTGGCAGGGATTCCTCAACGAACTGGAAATGTACTTTCCACGTTATGCCATCACCGCCCACGTCCAGGTAAAGGTGCAGCAGATGGGCATCTTCGCGCAGTTCTATCAGCGATTGAGCGCCCTCAAGGTCGTCTACGAACGTTGGCTGGCCCTGCCCAACACCCAAACGGTGCTCAACCAGCTCCAAGCAGAGGGCATCGACACTGCGCAGCTGGACACGATTGTGCGCGAGCTGTTCGGCTGGCAGGCAACGAATACAACGACTGCAACACCTACGCCCGCGCCAACTGTTCCAGCTGACGCTGTAGTGCTGCCAGAAGCTTCGCTAATCCTTTAATGCCCAGTAGCTACTGCTAGAGGATCAGCTCTGAATTGGCATAATAAATATGTAATCTTATTTATATATAAATATATGTGAGCAAGTGTATTCGAACCTTTTATTTATCTCAATTAATAGACTGAGTATAAACTGATTTAAAGTTAAGGGAAGTCCAATGACAGTACTTGACTTGATGAGAATCGCATAGAAGATCACTAAGTACGACTCGCTGTCAATGCTCTTACTCAGCTCATGAGGACATCTTGCAGAGATAAGGGTCAAATATCGTAGACTCCATGGGGTCTTCAAAAGGAAACTTCATTTTCAATTTTAGAACAAACGTACAGTCTGAATGAACAGCTATATATACATAGATATATTTGTATAATCCTTTGAACTAACATAATTAACCGATTGCATTTATTTAGCCGAAGGCTATTTTAAAACTTCAGCTTGCCCAGCGACTCGGAGACTTTGCTGGCATTCGCTGGTGGTTTCTTTTTGTTTTTAATGGGCGTGGCAACCGGTTTGGGTTTCTTAACGACCATATCCTTGTGGAGCACCTTAAGCGTAGCATCTGCTTTCTCCTGCTTGGCCTTAACAGTCTCCTTGAGCTGAGGAAGTTGGAGCAATTGAAAACTTGGGAATTTCGAATCTCTGGGTGGTTCGCTTGGCTCACCTGCTTGAGCTTGCCCTGCACTTCCTTGGGCTTCTTTTTGCCCTTGTTGTTGGTCACCTTGAAGACGTTTTTGGCCTTCTTTGATTTATTTAGAGCTGGCTTGGCAGATGCTTTGCCAGCAGCAGCAGCTCCTCCAGCTCCCGCGCCCGCTCCCTTCTTGGCATTGGCCTTGTTGCGACCCATGGCGACTTGGCTGTAAATACAAAAGAGACACGAATTGTTTTGTTTTCTATAAACATTTATAACTTTATTGTTCACTTAGTCAAACACATTTCACTTTTGTGGCCGCCACATGCTGCTCCTCCTCTGCCTCCTCTGTGGAACAGGGACGTTGGCGGGGCAGTTGCTTAGGCGTGGTTAAGAGCGTTCGGCTTAGTCTAAAGGAGACTCTATACATATCCTTGTTGGGCGCCACATTGCGTACAAAGCTTATGGCCTGAAGTGTGTCACCTAAAGCTGCGCCCAGGTTAGTTTCCACCAGCTGCTGCACCAGCGCCTTGGTGTTCTCTCCCTTGGCAAAGGAATAGACATGCACTAGCGGAAAGTTGGGCTCCTCCGGCAGCTCCTCTGCCGTATATAAGCCACGAAATGCATCCAGAAATTCAACAGCCATTGCAGGTAGATTCATGGTTATATGAATGTTATAAGGCTCAGCTGTGGCTGGAGCGCGCCAACGCTCTAGCAAATCCTCCCGCAGCTCCTTCAGCATGAACTCTCGACCATCCTTATTAAACATTTTGATATGTGCCAAGCATTTGTTGCGCTTGGCATTGTGCTGCAGCCACTGGTAGCTGACGGGATTCAGGTCATTGGCCAGCACCTTGCAACGCTTCTTGGCCGCTGGCACACTGAAGGGACCAACGCCAGCGAACACATCATAGAGCACATCATTAGGCTTTAGCATGTTAACAATCCTCTCGTGCTCCGTGGACAGACGTGGGTTCCAGTAGACTTTGGAGAAATCGAATTCAAAAGGCACGCCGTTCTCTTTGGTCTCCACCTGGTAGTCCGCCTCACCGCAAATGAGCTCTAGCTGAAAATTGCGATAGGTATTGTCAATGGAGGCCGCCTTGTTGACTACGGTGCGACAATTGGGCAGCTTATCGCGCAGCACCTCGCCGATGAGCTGTTTGTATGGCAGCAGATGATCACGCAGATTCAAGTGCACAATGTGACCAATGCGGGAGAAGGAAGAGAGTCCCTCTTCGTTCTCTGGCAGCACGCTCTTTAATATTTCATTGGCGCTCCAATTCTCGTAGCTCAACTCGAGTTCTGCATGACTGAAATTATCTTGCGTCACCTGCTGCTGCTCCAGCTCGAGGATGGGTAGTGATTCCCAATTCTTAACAGGCAATGGATGCAGCAGTATTTCACGTTGATTCTCCACCGCCCGTACTGGCTGCAGATGCTCCATTTTAAGTAGTAGCTTCTTTACCAGCGGAATCACACGCTGCGCTTGAGATTCGGGCACTCGCAGTCGAGGGATTTGCACATGTTTTTGAAAGTCCGCGCGCTGCAGCACACGCATGCCACGCACGGAGGCAGGCGGCGATAGATCCGTGCAGTCCATGTTGCGATAATAGTGGCGTAAACGTTTGCTTATTAACAGCAAATGTTCGATTTTTGCAGGGGGTGGAGGCCTGGTGACCACGGAAAACATTAAAAAAAAAACGTGCATGCAATCAAGGCAGTCTCATTGAGTTGGTTTTACACGTTTTGGGAATATTTAACTTAACGGCAGCCAAAACCAATCAAGCAATATAGCTTCAGGAGACACAAATAAACTTTCAGTTTATCTTAAAAACACAATTATCTACGTTAATTACCTTAATTCTTAGATATTACAAAGCTAGCGAAAACCAACGAACTGGATGTTTGCTTCACGTCGAACTAGTTCCAGACTTCCCCTTACTTTTGAAATTGGTCTGGCAACGCCGCTGTTAACAGCTGTTTACAGTTTAGAAAATGAGCGGCGCGCAAGGAAAAGCAGTTGAAATTAAACCAAAAATTAAATATTTAAGGTATGTCATGAATGATAAATAGGGAAAGTACATAATAAAAGTATCTATAGTGCTTCAGAGCTTATAGCCCAACGGCATGCTGAAGTTGAATCGCCAAGAAACGGGCTTAAACGCACCAGCATTGAACACAGTGCTGAGGAAAAGGAGGAGTTAAAAAATGCTTATGGTAAAATTGCTTTTTAATTTAAGAAAGACTTAAAAGATAAACATTCGTTTATGTTACAGCTAATTTGCGTCTGCAATTATCTGCTAGACGTATCGAGCGTCAGGCGGGCCGAGCTATAGCCATATGGAGAGACGATCAACAGGCTGCTGAAGTTGTACGGAAAGATGGAAAGTTCGACAGCTTTGGCTACAGCCAGCAGGGCAAACTCTATTTGGAATATTACGAAGCTCTATTTCTGCTAGAATTAGTATGTATATCAGTATAATAGTATATCGTAATATTTGTTAAACATCATTTCTATTACCGCAACAGAATCGCCTTCAATTAGAGTACTACGAAATGATTGTATCCATCGAGCAGGCCTACGTTTTGTTACTTGGCGAAGAGGCTAGTGAAAGGTATAACAATTATTTGGTCTACTCTGCTTTGTCACGCGCGGGCTACATAGTTGTCAGGCATCAGGCAGGCTGCCGAACACCCTCAAGCAACGTGGTCACAAGCGAAGATTGCATTTGGGCTCTATTGGAGGCTTCTCTAAATAATAAGCCTGTGCCCCTGTACATTAAAGTCTCCCAATATTACAATGCCACGCAGGAGCGTATGGTGCAGCTCAAGCAGCAAATCAGAAATCAAACTACAGAGACAATTACAGACGAGAGCAGCACTAATAATGAGCCAAGTACCTTCAAATTTGACACTCGAAAACGCAGAGCGAAATCAGAGCCAACAGAGGAGCTGCCGAGCAAAAGAGCAAGCACAACAAGGAACAGCCTTATAGATAACCTAAAAGCTGAGACAAGCTATACGAAATTTCAGCAAACTTTCGAAAAATTGGATATAGTGCAGCTGCACAACGAGGACTACCAATGCGATTTCGATACAACAACCCGTAATTTTGAGATCAGCTTCGATTTACATCTGCATAACGAAGGCTTTCGACGAAGTGCACCGAAGACGCCCACCTTCAGTGTGATTATTCTACAGCACGACGAACCATTTCCCACCCACGTTGAGATGCTTCACTGTCAGCGCCAGCAGCTGCAAGCAGAGCAGCGAGCGCCGCTGCTCGTCATATCCGTTAGCGAATCAAAACACATCCAAGCGTTTCTTTATTATATCAGCTAATGATTGCTCAGCGAAATGTAATTTGTATCTGTATCTATATAATAATAATTGCTAATTTATGTGCGTGTCCAAAAAAGCGCTATAATTATTCAAATGACGTGCGGAGCCAAAAACCATTCTATCAGAAATTTGTCATATCGGCTTGGCCCTTCTCAATGTGTTGGATTTGATTGTAAAGAAATGAAATATGTTTAATTAACCATGGAAAAGTTTGTATTAAGCGCCAAGTACTAAAAACCAAGTAAATGCCACTTACGAGCATTAAGGTAAACCCAGTGCCGGATCAATGTCCCGGTATGATTATGCACCTTGATGGAGATCGCAATGATAATGCTGTCTTTGAGAAAGTGCTGCACAACATGGAGACAATCGCCCAAAACCACGACCCAAAATTCTTTGCTCCCGGTTAGGTAACATTCGCACATTTCGATAGCTCTGGCAAATCCATCAAAAATTATAACTTGAAATTCAAAAATTACGTTTAACAGATTTTGCCGTTTTCTCTGTTTTTTTTTTTTGGACTTTTCATATACGCGATAAGCAAAACAAAAAAATAAATAAATAAAAGCTCGCATAGCAAAGCTGCATGGCACTAGCTTTCCGAAACCGTTAGCGAAAGCTTTACGCTCAGTCGCTCCCGACACACGCAGCATTAAGGGTGGAAATTCGACATAACGGAAAAGACGCGACCAAGTATTCAAGCAAAAGCAATAACAAAACAAAATTTGTGCGAATTAGCAACAACAACACGTCCAAGCAGCGCGACTCTCAAACGAAAAGCATTTCGCGATTTATTTAATAACAACACAAGGCCTGAAGCAGCGTCGCATATACCTCATATATATAGTCATGGTGAGTCGGTGTGTGTGCGTACGTGTGTATGTGTGTGTACTAGTTTACTTCTCTAAAAACAATTTATGGCTTTCACTTTGATTTGCGATACCAGAAGCAAAACAAAACGCAAGCGAATTGTTGCTGAGAGAGATTAGGCGTAGGGCAATCCTCGGTTCAAATGACCTTCGGACCTTCCACTCAAAGCTCTGGCTGCATTCCCACACACTTGACCTTGTGTATGCACATGAATTTTGCACTTGCAGGCAAACAAACATTTGTTAGCAAATAAACTTTCCTATGCATCTATTTCGTTTGGTTTGGGCTTGCGCGACAGCTGTTCGGCTATAAATAACATAATAGAACAGAACAGAACAGAACAGATGAGAAGTGAACATAACAGACGAATACCGGTAACCAGTGTGCCTGTGAAATTCCCACAAAAACAACAATAGAAGAAGCAGCCGTAAAAACAAACAAGCAGAGAACAGTTAGGCGAGGACGAAAGCGGAGATCGAATACTCTAGCGGCGAGAGCGAGACAGATTGAAGTGCGAGTTTTTTGCTTAGAAAACTGCGATATTAGAATAATTTTATATAACTTTATATGCATACATGTATGTGCAGGAACATTATAAATAAGCTATTATGCCTGATTATGCCTATGCAATGTCTTAGCACGATTATAGCTTGAAATATGAATTCGATTCTTGATAATGTTCAATAATCTATGTAGGCGATCATATGTACATTTTACATAACAAAATCAAACGATCTACTCTTGCGAGGGCATGCGAATAACTGAGCCGCAAATTAGCATCTCAAATGACCAAAAACGAAGAAGAAGAAACAAAACAAAATTTCACATTCCAATCCAGTCGAGTTTGATGACGTCAAAGTGCACAGATTTGCATAAGTCGAACGACAGGTGGAGCTGGTCACAGGAATTTCTGGCTGGGCTTGATTCATTAGCGAGCGCTTCGCTTGCCAATGTGTTTATTGAAGAGCCGAGAATTGGTCGAGTCATCGCACCATTATGAGTTGATGGCGACTCCATGCCGGACTTTTGCCACTAGTTTGTTGGCAAAGCTGGCTTTAGTTTTAAATATTGTTTAAGCACCGGCGACGACACAAAGTCGCGACGCATGGAATTTTTGTAGGCAAAATAAAAACAACACGTTGTTAGTGGAGCTATAATAAAAATTCCTTCAGTTCCGTTTGTGAGCCATTAAAAAGTGTTGAATGGCTGAGAACCTGAACAACTGTTTGTCCTATCAAATATTTACAATGTCTTGCATGCTGACCAAATCGTTGAAGTATCCTTGCAAATGTCATTCATAGGTCACTGAACCAAATTCAAATCGAAATCTTAACAAGTTACGTAAATGATATGCCATTGAAAAGCCTCAACAACATCATCATCATCGTCATTTTCCCACACGTAGCTGAAAAAGAAATATGTGAAATTATGTGAAAAGACGTGAAAAGAACTCGTGCGAGCTGAAGAGAGCGAGAAGAAAATTTATGCGCCACAAAACACAATAAGCTTAAAAATTTATGAGGAAAAACAACCTGCACAATATCATCTAAAAAGAAGAGCCCAAAATTCATTCAAGTTGTTGTTTTTTCTATTCTATATATATATAAAATTTCTGCTAAATTCTAAACGAAATTTGTTCATAAGGTGCGACAATGCGGAACAGTCGAATCGACTACCAAGGGGAGGGCCATATATAATATACATGACGAAGCAAAGGTAGCAAAGATATATATATATTTATATATATATATATATATATATATATATATATATATATATATATATCTGCTAGCTATACACCCACATAAAACTATATAAACAGCGGCAACAGTAAAACTTAATTATATTTGTTTATCAATTCTGATTTGTTTGGTTTAATCTGAACAATAAATGGATATATAAAACAAGTGCTGTATAAAGTCGATGAGTTATACGCGCTGCGGGGCGTTAATTGAACCGCTAACTAGATGCTATATGGGCACAATAGCTCCCAACTAAACAGCATCCACCACGCTCAGTCCCTCGTACTCGCACTCGCTCAACTATATAGTTATAGACGTTCAAGATCAATGTCAATTGGTAAACACACGCAATACACATGCTATATATACATATATAACTATTACATATAGAGTATACTTGTATATATAGCACATTTTGAAGGCTGTACTAATTGTGTGTATTTCAAAGTTGGCGTCAAACAATTTTGTTTGATTATGCTCGCTCAGCAAGGGAACAAGAGTATATAGGCTTTGCATGCAAAGCTGTAGAGTTGGCATTTTGTCTATATATATATATCTTATTAAGGTATAGCTCTATAAATTTCATTTTGTGTTCCACTGGATTTAGCGAGTATTATGCAGTCGTTTGCGATTGGCCTTTGGCGCAATGCCAATAAAATTAATAACTATATGTTAACTGCGAAAAGCTCTTTTAATAACACTAAACTAGATGCCATATGTATGCTAGATAATATATACTATTGTCTATAATACATGAGCCAAGTCTTATCTACTTCTGTATAACTTTGTATATCATTTAAATAGTATACATTGCATTAGCTTTAACAGATCTCTCAATTTTCTTTATGCAAAGTTTTTTTTGCTGTTATTCTACTCTTGATTCCTAGCCTAGCTAGATTTACAACATGAAAAATATTATTTAAGACAAAATAAAAAAAAAAATCAAAAAAAAAAATTTTTAAATTTATATTTAAAGTTTTGAAATAATTTGAGGTCTTTTGATCTTAAGCAGAAAATAAATTTATTAAGTGAAAATTTATTTAAATAATTAAATTATTATTTTAAATACTTTAAATATGCAAAAAAAAATTAGCTTAGATTGCGATTTTTAAAAATAAAATTTCCAAGGAAAATGCTAGGCGCTTAAAAAAATCATAATTTATTCAATATATATTTATCAAATTTCAATTGCAAATTGAATGGCAAATTGTAACATTCTGAAATGAAAGTTATCAAATTTGAATTCTTTTTCTGCAATGTAAGAGAAATAGAGTAGAAATTGCAATTGATTAAGTATACGCAACATATGCCCCCTTTACTGACCTTACCTATTTGCGTGTAGTTGTTTATGTGTCACCAAATGGCCATGAAGAAGGAGGCCCAAGAGAAACAGAAAGCGGAGCAACGGCGAAGGGCCCAAGCCGTCGTAAGTAGCCCCACGAGATATAGACACAAACTATATATCACGATCTCTCTATATTGATGTATATGGCATGCGATGTGGCGGCTGCTCAAATAAACCTCAAACCAAAACCAAAACCAAAATCAAAAATTAAAATGATTTCTAAATAAAAGATAATATTGTTGAACCTCTGCTCGAACTAACTCGACTAAGGCTTTCGTCCAACCAGTGTACACTAACCTGGCTAATTGTAATTGCTCGTCGTTGGCTCTATGTGTCCTACTAATAAATCCCGCTATTGCTGCTCTCTTACAGTCTGATATACCCATCATTTGGATTCTGGGCGGCCCCGGCTGCGGCAAGGGCACGCAATGCGCCAAGATCGTGGAGAAATACGGCTTTACCCACTTGAGCAGCGGCGATTTGCTGAGGGATGAGGTGAGTCTTGGAGTGAACAGCATGAGATTGATATGCTAACCCTTCTTGACTTGCTCTGCCAGGTCGCCTCTGGCTCTGAGAAGGGGCGCGAGCTGCAGAAGATTATGACCAGCGGAGGTTTGGTGCCCAATGCGGAGGTTCTGGGGCTGCTGAATGCGGCCGTCATCCGCGCTAAGGGCACCTCGAAGGGTTTCTTGATCGATGGCTATCCACGCGAGAAGAGCCAGGGCATTGCATTCGAGGCACAAATTGCGCCCGCCGACTTGGCACTCTACTTCGACTGCTCCGAGGAAACCATGCTCAAGCGCATCCTGGCCCGCGCAGCCGCTGCCACTGTGAAGCGCGCCGACGACAACGAGGCGACCATCCGCTCCCGTTTGCATACCTTCAAGTGCAACACGAGCGACATTCTCGAGCTATACAATGAGAAGACACTGACGGTAAGCAGCTGACATTATATATATACATAGTACAATTATATATCTTCCCACTCTGCAGATCAATGCTGAGCGCGATGTTGAAATCATTTTCATGGAGGTCGTAGAGGCCATCGACTGCATGCTGCAAAAGAAGGAGCGAGCAGCCAAAGTATGTTAACCCAGTAGGGCACAAGGCAACTTTTCTAGCTCAACAATTGCACCAATGAAAGCAAAGCACCAAAACATATATGTATATATACATATATAGAGCTATATTTATCGATTTATTACCTGCTTATGCCAGGCCAAGAGCTTTAACTGCTTTCAACTATGATCAAGCCCAAACGAACCAAAAGCAATTCAAATTCTCAGTAAATTACAGAGTTAAACGTAAATGTAAACAGAATAAATGTATAAAGTTACTTTATATAACAATTGAACTTTTTAGTATATCTCATTAATTAATAAAATGCAAATGTGTTTCTTTGCTGTTGTTTTTTAAGCTAAAGTTCGAATCACGTTTTGACTAATTAGCCCGTTAAATGTAAGTTTTAATAGAAAACTCAAGGGCAGAGTCGATAGACATATATATATATATATAGAAGACATTCAATTACCTTGATTTGTGAACAGTTCTCCATGTGATATTTAGGAAATGCTTAAATTTTAAAATAACCTGTTTTCCGATCTAAAAATATATAATGCATCTATCAAGTTGGGCTCTTAAAGGATGTAGCTCACGTCAATCCAAAGACAAATTAAATTGGCAGCAGATTGATATCGATCTACGTCATCTCTTGAACTAATCCCGATACAGTTCTAGCATGGAATTCAACTGACATAATTTATGACAGCGCACATAAATGAATGTATATATATAGAAACAAAACTGAAAGTCAGATTGATTTTGTTGTTCTTTGGAATCATCTGGCTGCTTCATCGCGGAACTGCGTCATCTCTCAGCTGAAGTGGGCACAGTTGGAGTGGACTTTGAAGTTCTGACTGAAGATCTTTCAGTGAGCAGCTCGGCTCTCAAGTGCTGGGTAAATAAATGAACTGTATGTAAAACAGTTCAATCAAAAGTCAAATAAAAAAGCGTTATGTAAAGCTCGGCGACTTAAACAGTTAGTTGGAGAAATTATCATATCAGCAACGTAAAAGTTTTTTCTTATCTCTTGCGATCTGCGATCTGTGATTTTTCGGGAATTCCGTTTGCTTCAGCATGATCAGCATGACTAAAATAAACAAGCAGACAAGTCGGGAGTCTACGACTTTAAAATACGCTTCAGTGACAATCGATTTGTTCAATATTATAACTTGATTATAACTGAAGGTAATCATCATCTTCATTATGACGTTTCTAGACGCACTGCTATATGACTGCTCTGCACCGAATCAGCATTGCAACTAAATGAGATCAGCTGCAAGCGCGGCCTTTTATAGCTAACAAAATATCACTCAAACGCCCTTTGCTAATTTAGGTTTTCTGCTCATCGGCATGCTCGCTCTTTTATAGCTAACGAAATGCAATTATGTTAGTTCTTAAGCTCTTTTATAGCGGCTAAGTTAGTTCTTATTCTCATCAGCAGGCTCGCCGTTTTATAGCTAAAATAATGCTCCTCAAGCGCCCTTTGCTAATTTAGCGCGCATACACATGAGCAGGCTCTCTTATTAATAAATAATGAAATGTCACTCAAGCGTTACAGACTATGTTAGTTCTTATGCTCATCTGCCGCCTCTCCTTACTTTAGCAAACATAATGTCACTTAAGCGTACTTTGCTTATTTAGTTTTTCTGCTCATCAGCAGACCCGCTCTTTTATAGTTAATCAAATGTCACTCAAGCGTTATTTGCTATGTTAGTTCTTATTTTCATCTGCAGTCTCTCCTTATTATAGCAAAAGAAATGCCACTTAGGCGCCCTTTGCTAGTTTAGTTCTTCTGCTCATCAGCTCGCTATTGAGCATATTTGGTATTTACATTTGCATTGAGTATTTATGAATTGAGCAATTGAGACATGTCTCTCTTCTGACTGTTGCATAAATATGCACAAAACCAATATACCCTATTCTCCTTTAACTTTAAGTAGCTAAAAATATACAAAAAATGTTTTTTTTGTTATTGTTGTTTAAAATGTTTTCAACTTTTTTATTTTTTTTTATAGCAAATTTTTGGTTGCTTTCTTTTTGTTGAGTGAGCTCGAGTTGACCGCAGATCGGCGGCTGTGCTTTGACTTAAAAGTAGAATAAATAATAGGTATTTAAATAGTTATAAACTAAAACAAATTCATGCCACAATTTGGAAATTAGCTAAGTGAGAATTGGAGTATTTACAAAATATCACACGTTCTATATACGTTCAATTATAAAGCTAGACGATTCAGTCAAAGTTCTGATCACAGGGCACAAGAGCTCTAGATGAGATTGTCATCCCGATAGATGTGATGCTGGGGATGCTGCGGCTGCGGCTGCGTCTGCGTCTGCGTCTGCGTCTGCGGCTGCTGCAGATGTCTGTGGCTGCCAATTTTACTCTCGATCCAGTTCAGGTAGTGGGTGACACGCGTAAAGCCGCCGGGCACGCTGGTGCGCTCGCAGCCGCCGCCAGCCTCGCCATCAGCTGGGCCAAAGCTCGTGATGCCCACCAGCGTGTGGGTGCCCTTCAGGACTAGTGGCCCACCCGAGTCGCCGGTGCAGACTGTCTCATCCTTCAGGCCCTTCGCGCAGAGCACACCCGATGTGACGACATCGTACTCCTCGGCGCACTCGGCATTGGAGATCACTTTCAGCTCGGTGTACTGCATGGCATCCGAGTTGGTCATCTCGGACATGGCGCCCCAGCCGCTGGCCACCACGCTCTGGCCCGTGAACTGCTCCGCGCGCTGTCTGCTGGGCAGAGCGGCGGGTCGTATGCGCGACGTGAAGGCCACATCCTGCGGCAGCTTGACCAGGGCAATGTCATTGGACGCCGTCTCCGGATTGAAGCGCTCGTGAACGATAAACTTATTCGTGCGCAGCACGAGGCCATTCAGCTGCTCGGTGGCCTCAACGCTGCGGGTGCCCAGGTACACATCGAAGTGGGTGACGCCCATGGTGCAGTGGCCAGCTGTGAGCACCCAGCGATTGTCCAGCAACGTGCCGCCACAGAGGATGCGCTTGCGCCACAGCTGCTTGCCAATGAGCATCACTTGGTAGGGAAACTTCTCAATGTTGCCAAACTTGGCCTGGCCAATGGCATAGCCGGCGCAGCAGTCCAGCTGCCACATGATAAACAGGCTGACAAGCAGCGCACTGACACTCAATGTTTCTCGGCTCAAATCCATTTTCTTGTTCTCACTTATGTTTTGGGGTTTGTTATTTTGGTCTTTTTATTGTCACTAATACGCGTCGTATACGTAATATGATTCACGCTTTGCTTCTGCACGCCTCAAACGTTCGTCTCAGTTTAAATTCATTCTGACGATGTCGTGATATTTTATACGTGATACTACAAGACAACAACAACAGCAACAGCAACAGCAACAGCAGCTTGTTTTTGCCGGTTAGCCGTCTGAGCGGCTCAGCTCAAGCCGCCAGCTCTGCTCGCTGCTGTGCGGCTTGTTATGACAACAAACATCTCGTTAGAATCTTGTTTTCAAGACGTTGTCATATCAGAGCAAAGCTCTTATCTCTCAGGCCTAGCCTCAGCTGGACTAATTTCCAATGGGGGTTTGTCTAAAAACTAAATTTCGAGGAAAATATGGACTTAAGCAAGAGAGAGAGAGTGAGAGAGAGCGAGCTAGAGCCAGAGCTAGAACTGGACTTTGGAACAGGTCTTACAGCTGTTGCTAGCCTAGCCACACGGCTCTTCGTGACAAATTTGGCTTAAATTATGCGAAATTTGGAATTCTTTAAGAAACGTTTTCATATACAAAAATATGACTGTTGGGTTTGTTTTTGTTTTTGATTTGTATAGCTGCCCTCTCTCTCTCTCTCGCTCTCTCTATCTACGTACATGTCTTTCTCTCTCTTTCGCTCTTCCACAAGCTGCCGTTGCGCACTTTTTTCGTGTTAAAAAGTCAATGGGGACTCCGTTTAGTATTATTATTTTTTTTTATTACTATTAATTTACGTCTCAGGCTGAGTCGCAGCTAATTTCGTTTGCTACTTTCATGCGAATTTAAGTGGAACTCAAAGATGAATCAATATTTGCTTTTATAAACAAATAAATATGTATGTAAATTAAGTTCTAGTTTGGTTTTTTTTTATTGTTTTGAGTTTTCCAGTTTGTTGCGTAGCTGCGCAGATTAAAAATAAAATAAATAAAAACAAACAATAAAAACAAAATACAATAATTAAACTGAAATTTAAGTTAATTGATTTGGCGCCGACTTGGAATGTTGTTAATGAAAGGCGTCGCCGTCTATAGCATTAATTAAATGTACTAAATAAACAAATATATAAAAATAAATATACGAAAATATTACAGGCAAATGCCTTTTGTCGAATGTACGAAAAACCCCTTCAACTAATTCACACTTCTGCTAAGCAGATTAGTGGGAGACTTAAGTGGGGAAACACTAGCTGTGTACAATTTATAGTTATATATACATTTTATGATATTATTAATATTATTGTTGTTATTATTTCACTCAGAAATGTGAGAATTGATGTAAAAGACTGAGGCAGGCATGCCGAACACCATAAACTAAAGTTCAGTTGCAAATAAAACCAGTATTTAAAATAATTTTTCCTACTTTGTTAGTTATCGTATATTCAGTAGAATATAAGGATTCAATGTGCAAAATTTTAGTGAAAACCGTTGAGTAACACAAAAGTTAATCAAGTAAACGTAAAGTGATATTGGCTGAGCCTTTTCTCTATGCATGTGCACGCATACCGACATGCAAATGAGTCTATTCCAATTGGAAGTCTATTAATAGACTTACATTGTAATTGTATTGCATACGAATGTGCTGCACAGTTAGATCGACAGTTTTCGCGCGAAGCGACTGAGTTAGAGTGGTGGTGTGTGTTGAGTTGCTGGCAAAAGTGTTTGTTCGGCAGACTCAGGTTCGAGTTATTGATCAAATGCATAAGAGTAAAGTATGTGAAAGAGCAGCTGAGCAAACTTTGTAGGCTATCTGCTAGTCGAGCAGTTCTGAGTGAGGTGCGCTCTTAATGGTTTTCTTTTATTCAATTTGCATAAAATTGTTTGACGATATAAATATTCAAAGTAAATGCTAAAGCCACATTAGAAAATATGCAAAATACTTTTGGTCTAGCTCTAGCCCAGAATCCAGTATTTGACATTTCACTTCCCGTTCTTTAGAAACAGCCGCCAATTTGTTTCTTCGGCACATCATAAAAACATTTATACATACTATAATATATATATATATATATATATATATATTTATATATATATATATATATATATATATATATATAAATGTATGTGATTGGTAGACATTATTCATTTTCGGCAGCTTAAACTGGTTGATCGAGCTGCAATAAAAAATATTTACATTCAAGTCTTAGCGATTTAAACCAATTTAAATGAATTGCCTTAGCCGATGCAAAATTCCACAGACAGAAGCCAAAAGATTTATCTGAAATGTCGTTTTCAAATTTTATGTAAATGTATGCAAATCGCTTGGCAGGGAAACACCCGACAGAAATTTGTAAACTCTTTCTTTTTTATTTTATTATTTTGTTGTTGTTGATTACTGTTTTTGTCAACGGTCGATGGCTGGCGCCTTGAATGTTGTTTACCTTGCCAGAGAAAGCAGTTGGCCTTGACAGCGAAATTTTAGGGACTGCCAATTGGGGATCGAACAAATGAAGTTCTACGCCTAGCTCCGAACTCTCTCGCAAACATGGAGACCTGTCTTGACATTGAAGGTGCATTCACCTCATCGCTTCGATTGCAATTAATTTGCTTGTGGCCAGCCAGCCACGCCCACCAAAATGAGCAGAACAAATCGAACGTTGACGTCAGCTCAAAGCCATCGATTCGTTATTAGATATAAGCTAAACAAATTAATGAAATATGTGAGTGTGAATGTGAATGCGTAGAACCAGTAGTCGACAGAGATAGCAATTTAACTGCTCTCTGCTCCCTGCACCGCAGCTTAAATGCTTTCTAGATAAAACAATACACAAACATAAAATAGAATGTTTAAGCTCAAACTAGATCCGGTTAGGTTAGTTTCGGTTTATGCACAAAACTAAAAATTCTAAACACAAAAAAGAGAGAAAAAAGAGGGAAAGAAGAAAGAAACGGCAACAAACAAGTCGAAAGAAATCTAAAGAGCTTGGAAATTCCCACAATACAAAACCAAAGTAAAAAGTAAAATACTGGGCCAACAGCCAATAGCCAATAGCTAACTCCCATGACGATCCGCTTTACAAACAAATTATTTACTTTATCATTAGTCAAAGCTGATCGGGCCTCAAGGCAAAGAAATTGATTGGCGCCAGACGGCTGCATTATTTTTGTGTTTCTTTTACTTTTGTTTAGCGTCTGGTATTTCCCAAGACATGTGCGAATTTGCTTATCAAGTCACTTTTTTTCTTTTTTTAAAGAAAGTCGTTAAAACAAATAATTTAAATTAATTTGCCAGACGATATTTAAATTTTGATTTTTGATTTAAGCTCTCAAAACTTGTTTTTTTCTTATTCTTGTTCTAGAAAACCGCATTTTCGTTAGAATAACGCACAAGGTGTATTAAGTTTATTTAACGCATTTTGTGGAATGTTTTGTGTACGCCTTTTGTTCTCGTTTATTTGATTTTTGTGGCGTCGACGGCAATTTGGCGCCACTTAAATTGACATCGATAATTAATTATCGATCGCAATGAATATGTAAATTCGAATTTGCATTTAAATTAGAACTGTCAAAACACACGCACTGTCGGTCGACAATAGAAAAACAACAACATAATTAGTGGAGTCTGACTGAAGCCGAAAATTGAGCAATTAAATTAATCAATTTGTAAACAAAACGAAATAAGGAAAATTCTGAACAAACATATTAAAATTTAAGACTTGGGCGTTCATTAAATCATTAGCGCAAATGTCTTGTCTTGTTTACAAATCAATATCTAAGAAACTTCCTCGAGCTACAAAGAGCTGGCTACAACGTCATCAGCAGCTCACCTTTGCTCAGGTGTCGCATGTCACTGAACTTCGCTTAAAACAGAAACGTATTTTTTCGGAAACTGGATTTTGAAATTTATGGTAATAAACCGAAAATCGTACTTCAAATGCAACGGTTGTCAACATGTCCTGTGAATTTCATGCTTGTTTGTCATTCTTATCAAGTGCAACGGACTTGCAAGAAATATTTATTGTTATTGAACATTAAAAATTTATTTAAATTTACTTCCCAAACGTTTTGAAAGGTTGCCACCTTTTTGAAATGATCAACATATCGATATATTCACAAAACTATGCCAACTATCGGCACGAGTGTATTCGATTATCTAGAACAGCCGGCGTAAACAACGCGTCTTGGATTATATTGTTAAGAAATTATCAACAAAAATGAAAGAAACTGATTTAAAACGTGCTTATAACAATGTCTTGGCTCAAGCCATATCAACATCACAGAAGTTCCTGTTTGCTGGCAATCTATTTGGCGATATTTTCGTACTAAGGTAAAATGATTGAGATAAGAGCCTTTTTCTTTGACTTTTAAACATTTTTTTTCAGTTTAAATGAGTTGAATAAGGCAACAGAGGAGCCGCCGAGCAAGCTGAAGGTGTTTCCGCAAGGCAGTGATGTGGACATCAACTGTCTTGCGTTTCATCGCGATTTTCTAATAGTTGGTGCTATTGGACTCATATACGGGATCCAATGGAACGAAGAGGATGAAACGTTGAGCACAAAACGTGTCTGGGAAATCAAAATACCCATGCAAGTGGATGCAGTAGAGGTGCCAGATGTGAACTCGTTTTACCTATGCTCTGAAACGGAGACATTGTATGCTGGCTGCGGAGACGGTGTCGTATATCAAATTGATCTGGAGGATGGACGCATACAGCGCGAATACCGCGGGCACACAGATTATGTGCACTGCGTTGTCGGCCATCCGGATGGACGTATCTACTCTAGTGGGGAGGACGGCACTGTGCACTTCTGGTCGGACAAGCAAAAGGAACCAACAGCAATCTTAGAGCCGCACAAGAATCCACAACTACTACGTCCAGATTGGGGCAAATGGATTGGCGCCGTGTCCGTCAATGATGACTGGCTGGTCTGTGGCGGCGGTCCTCGTCCAGCCATTTGGCACTTACGCTCAATGGAATGCACTCGCACCTTTGAATATCCCGGTCGCGTGCATGTCTGTGAATTTGTAGACGACTCAGTGCTCATCGGAGGCGAGCACAATCACGTACAGTTCTATACGCTCAATGGAACATTGCAGGCCAACATTCCCGTCGAGCACACCGCCAGCTACTCGTCAGTGTGGCAAACGAATCCCTTCAATTTCATGTCCATTGCTGGCTTCAGCAACAAGTTGCACATATTGAAAGACTTTCGCTTTCTGGACAGCAAAATAGATATGTACGGAAATGTGCAGGACGAGATGGAAGACGAAGATCAAGAGGATAACGATGAAGATGAAGGCGAGGATGATTCGTTTTAGCTTAATACCTCGAACACCACTAATTGTATAATATTTAAAATAGACACATTTTCTTTTTCGTGACTGATAAATGGCCACATTCAAATGTTTTCTTTGAATATAGCGTGAACTTTATTTGACGTTTTGAACCTAAGCACTAAGGAAATTAAAACTTATGCCAACTTAATTACATACTTAAAAGAATTAATTTGTACCTGAAACATTTTTCCTAGGCAGTCGTCTGGTTCACTCCTCGCCGCCACCCAATGGTATAAATGCGGGTAGCTGGCCTAGTTTAGGTCTCTGACGCAATCCACTGCTGCTGGATGATGCATCTGCATCCAACTCAGCCTCATCTATCTGCTCATCATCCTTTTCCTGACTTGCCGCTTCCACCTGAAACTTATCATTTTCGCAAACGAAATAGCGCGAGCTACTGGGCAATTCATCTGCTGCAGTCTCAATAGCTGGAACGGAGTGTGATTTGGATTTGGGTTTGGGTTTAGGTTTAGGTGCACATCGCACTGCAGCTAATTTTGTTTGCTGTTTCATTTGCTTGCAGTAAATGCAGTTGGTTAGCTCGCACTTGCCTCTACGCGCATATTCCGGGCACACAAACTCATGTCGCATATTGCACTTGAAGTATTAGAGGAGTGAATAAGAATCGACCAAGCTGTGGAGTAAAACTTACATCAGCGGCTCGCGCGCAATAGCCACGTAGAAAGTCAATGCATATCTCGGCCTTACGGCTCAGTTTCTTATGCAGATACGGACAATCTTCACGCACACAAACGCCACGTAAAAAGTAGCGACACACAGGCATTTTCTCAAGCGTCACATTATGCGAAAGCAGACACTCTTTCTTGGTGCACCCACCTCGTAGAAAACTGCAAACAAACCATGAGAAGGAGTTCAAGTTCATATCTAGATAGTTGATCGTACTTACCTTGGACAGATGGCCACCTGTCGTTTGTCGTGCAGTCGCCGACACTTTCCACGACTATGAGCCGCACACTTTCCCAGTCTTTGATATATTGCACATGGCACATTTGTCTTCACCAGCGAGCGATTCAGCACCTGAAGACTACGCTGCTTGGCAGTCATTAAATGGGCACGCGACACATGATTGCTGGTGCGTATGAAAACATTTTGTGCCTTCGGCGAGGATACATATGTCAAGCCGCCGATATCAATACGCCGACGCAAGCTTTTGTTTACAATCAACTGCGAGCTATGAGCGGGCACACGGGTCAAACGGCAGCCAGAAGGATCCAACACGAATTTGGTGCCACGCACAAACAACGTACGACCAACCGAGCTAGTTGCCTTCTGCAGCTGAGCTGGCACTGAGTTTTTCGCTGAGACGTTGGGATCTAGTTTGGTCAGCTTGTTCTTGGCTGTCTTCTTGTACATTACGCCATGTATGCTCACCATGCTGAGCGATTTGTTGACGCTGGGCCTTAACACATGCGATTTTTTTAAGCTGCAAGTAAAGCTAGTTATTAAAACTACTTCTTCTGAGGGTGCTGAACCTATGAATGAAACTTACCTCAATTTTTTGCCAGTAATTGTATCATTGGTGCGTCTCAGTGCATAGCGCGCCACAAAGTCTTTAGTTCTCCGTTTCTTGACCAAGGGTGTACTACGGTGTGCTGTTAGGGATATAGCTCGCACTAGTTTGTATTTGGTACGCTTTGCAGCAGTTACTACTGTAGTTGTGGGCTTGGCAGTTGCGAGTAATGCTGGTTTTACTAAGGGTGCACTTTGTCTAACGAGTTTTCGCTTGGTTATGCTTACCAAGGGCGGTTGCACACGTCGTTGAAAGGGTGGCGTCTTTACAGGCTGTTTGCGCACTAGGCAAGTGCTTGCTTTACTTATGATTTTCGCGGGAGGAGGCGGCGCCAATTCTAAAGCAACAGTTTGCTGATAATATGTTACTTGTTGTGGTTGTTGTATCTGTTGAGGTTGTTGCTGTTGTAGATGTGGCTGATGCGATTGTTGTTGAAGCTGTTGCATCTGCAGCAGCTGATATTCGCGCTGTCGCTGCAGAAAATACGGATTTATATGTATGGCTGGTCGCTCCCATGTTTCAGGCGCATGACTTTGACGGCCTTGAGGCTGCAGCGCACTCGCCACTTGACTATGAAAATTGGGATTTATATACACTTTTCGTCCCACGGGTGGAATGTTCTCTTCAGCACTTATGTGTGGCAGCATTTTTCTGTTGTTTTGTTATCACAATTTGTTAGAAAGACTTGTTCGTTTCTAAGATGACTTTAATTGCGTGGCTTAGTGCTAATTTGTTTTTGTATTATTTTTCATAAACTTTTGTAACAAAGCCACCGCAGCTACGTAACTATCGCTACGCGTCGATGGTTGATACGTATGCTTGTGAATGGCTGAAGTAAATCGAAACGCGTGTCAAAGAATATATCGATACTGGGAAAGAACAAGAGCAATAAGAAACGTTTGTACAAACAATTAGTTAAAAATGGGTAAAGAGCGTGGACGAGGACGAGGACGAGGACGTCGTAATTTTCAATCTAAACCATATAACAAGAACAACTGGCGTGGACAAAAAAAGGAGCATTTAAGCCATAGCAATGGCAACGGCCAATCACAGTCACGCAACAGGTGAAGTTTAATATATTAAAAGTTTCTAACTACTTACCGGCTTACCTTACAGAGCACCACAGCAGAAGTGTACGCTGCTCGAGAATCAGGTGGGTATAACGGAATTCACAAATGCAGAAATATCTGGTTTTACGGGCATTCTGAAATCTCGATTCTCCGACTTCCATGTGAACGAAATTGACACTGAGGGACACGTGCTACAGCTAAATGACCTAAATGTTCCAAAGATGGAAATTGAACGTTCGTAGCTGTACTTAAGGAGAATTATTTTGAAATCTTAACCATTTACCATTTTCAGCTGTGGATCCTGCTGTATTGGACGAATGGCGGGAAAAGCTGGCAACAGTTATTGACAACGAAGTGTGGCAACAAATAGCCGACTTGTCAACAGTCAAATATGATAATAAAACTGAGCAGAAAGTGGACGTGAATGTTACCAGCCTTACTAAGGAGCAACGTACTCTAATACATCACCTTGTGAAACAGCTTTACAAGAACAAATTGGTGTCCAAAACAATTGACCAGCCGGCAGATCAACAGGTGGAAGAGCAGAAAATAATACGCATAGCAAAGCCCAAGCCAGGACGCTGTAAGTTACCTGTCGTAAACTTGAATTAAATCTAAAAGTTAGTCTCTTACATGTAGCTGACAACCGCTGGAACTTTCCACATGATTTTGTTAGCTTCCTGGTACATAAAGTGAATATGGATACGAGTGAGGTGGCTTCAACGATAGCAAATCGCTTAACGTGAGTTCCGAGGCAGCAGTCTAAGTGCGTTCCAGATCCATATCATATAATTATTGCTTATTTATCAACAGTCTGCATCCATCGCAGGTGAATTATTGTGGCACCAAAGATAAGCGCGCTAAAACCACGCAACGCTTTTGTGTTAAACGTCGCACTCCAGAGGCTATTGCGAATGCAGCGCGAGGCATGGGCAATGTCTATATTGGAAACTTTATCTTCCGGCCCGAAACTTTGAAGTTAGGCGATCTGCAGGGAAATCGATTTCGAATTGCACTGCGTCACATTACACAGCCTAGAGATCACATTGAGCTCGCATTGCAGTCACTTAAAGAGCGCGGATTTATCAACTATTATGGCCTCCAGCGGTTTGGAAACAGCGCCAGTGTACCCACCCATGAGGTGGGTGTGGCGTTGCTCAAGCGCGACTACAAGTTGGCATGTGAGTTAATATTAAAGCCTCGTGACAATGACGTGGAGTTTATGCGTGCAATACGCGAGGCTTGGTGGGAGAATCGGGATTCAGCTGCTGCTGCAGCCAAGTTCTATGGAAATAAGTTTATCGAAAAGAAACTCTTGGATGGCCTAGCCACATATGGCGAAAATGATTATGCAGCAGCTTTACGTCGCATACCACGTAATATGCTACTTTTATACCCTCATGCCTATCAGAGCCTGATATTCAATCGCATCGCTTCGCGACGTATCAAAGAGTTTGGACTGAAACTTATTCCTGGAGACTTAGTTTACGTTGAGGAAGAGAGCGGTCAGAAAGTTGATGCCCCAGACGAGACTGTGCTTCCTGCTGAAACTGACGAAATCATGGATGATGTTTTGGAAGGCGAAGGTGACAATTCACTAGAAGAGGAGGAGGAATCAATCTTCAAACGTAAAGTACGGCCACTTACCGATGAGGATATAGCCGGAGGCAAATATAAACTATCAGATGTTGTACTCCCTCTGCCTGGCTACGATATAACATATCCCAGCAATGAGAGTGGCGCTTGGTATGAAGAAATGCTCGCGGAAGTCGGATTAAGTTCGGAGCAGTTGCGACACAAGGAAAAAACGTATGCTCTAGGTGGTGCCTACCGTAAACTACTCATAAAAACCGATGATTTGAAATGGAGTTTTCGTCGGTATAGAACACATGAGGACACACTGATAGCCTCTGACTGGGAGCAGTTAAAAAACATTGAAATTACACCAGAGCCCGCTGAGTCAGAGAGCAACTATACGGCTCTGCTGCTAGAGTTTACATTGCCAACAGCTGTTTACGCAACAATGCTTTTGCGTGAGCTATTTAAACAGGATACCTCAACAGCCACACAAATGCAGCTAGAACAGGAGCAGATCATTAAGAAACTGGCACAAGAAGTTCCCACAATTGAAACCAAGGCGCAGCCGCAGCCAATTTGAAAAAACCTTCAGTTACTAAAGCAACAAATCGATAAGAAAAATCAATTTACGCGCGTTCTTTATTAGTGTGTGTGTGTGTGTTACATCAAACCAACCACAACAATAACAATGCGCACGTGAGTGCACGTTCGCGCTCTCTCACGGTTACGCGCGCTCTCTCTCCCGCTGTTACTCTCTTTGTTCTTTTGTCTGACGCTTTGTATGTGTGAGTCTGGCCAGGACTAAAGTTAAAGTCCTATTCTGTGACCATTAGTACGCTGACAAGCGAGAGCTTTGGACGCGCTGCGCAGCATTTAACGTCGCCGTGTTTGTGCGTGTGCCTACCATTAATGTTGTAAAAGAAGAGTAACAATAACAAATAACATACGAAGTTAACCAGAAAGTAGCTGTAAATTTGTTTTGACCGTTACAAGTAATCGAAGCCAAAGGAAAGCGTAAGGTGAATCATACAAACTTCATATACATTTATTAAATATACTCGCACACACACTTAACAATTTAGGCGCGTACTTTTAAAAAGAAAACATTTATTTCCAATAAATAAATAGAGTTTACATTTTTGCAGAGATTAATAAGCAGTTGAACAGTATTTAAACAATTGAACTATATATACATTACTTTGCATTGGCTTTGCATGCTTATCGATTTTTGTGCGTGCCTTTGCCCAAATCAATCGATAATGTGGTGTTAATGCGCTACAGCTACTACACACACATCAACTCTAGAAAGGTGGGCGACGGGCATGTTGCATGAAGTATTAGTGGTTCATATTAGCTGATAGAGCGGCAGTTGGTGGGGTGTTGTGAGGGACCGGGGTGGGCCTGGTGCATTAGTATGCCTTTATGTGTAACCATGCAGGACAGTGTCATCGAAATTAATAAACTAAATGCTTGCTTGGCGTCGTCTACTCACACACCCAAACACCCACCCACCCAAACCAGCCAGACATGGTTATTGGACATGTTATTGCTTGCGCGCGCACTCTTTGACCAACAGTGAGACGAAACGTTTCAACTGCGTCATAGTTGGAGTTGCTTTACGTCGTCGATTTTTGCGTCCAGCCCAAGAGTAAAATAAAAGACTTACAATCCGACTTACTTAAGACTTATTTAAATAAATATATCATCGATTTGCTCATCGTTTAGGGCACGCAGATTGCATTTGCACAAATAGGCCAAAACCTTTTTCTCAGCCTTAATACGATTGGCGCCCAAGCCCTGCAGCAAAGCTTCAATGCGTTTCATGGCGTCGTCACTAGACGAAGTTGCAGGCGCTGGTGGTGGTGTTGCTAGTGGTGGTTGCAAAACAATTGCAGATGCATGCTGTTCGTCCATTGCCTCCTGCAGCGCATCGTCCTCATCATTTTCGATGACCTGCTCGGTGCTTTGTGCGCGCCAATTAACAGTTGGAGGTGCAGTTATATTTGCAATTTGTCGTTCACTACTGTGATGGCTGCTGCTGCTGGAGTGTTGTTTGTGTTGTCCAATGAACTGTAGCTTTGGCAACCAGGTCCAATCGGAGTGCTCTTTCAACAGCTCCCGGCGTAACTTCTCCCGAATGAAATTCCAACGCGTTATACAGGTGCTGACTAACAATTCGAAAGCGTTTTAACATATCGTTCCATATAAATTTCAAACAACACTAACTAACCATCAGTTTTGAGGGATGTTGCGATGCTGCACCACAATTCTGTTTTCTTTTTTTTACTAGAATCGTACGGTGCCTTACGCAGTTCACGTTCATACAAACTTGGATTGGCACGCACCAATTCTATAAGTCGATTATCAAATTCAGCACACGTGGACATAGTAAACAAGAAAAATAAACAAACAAATTTTCGCTACTACTTGCACAGAGTGCATCAAAACAAATATATTTGGATAGTTCGATAGGCGTTTCGATAGCATCGCACATACAGTGTTGCGCAACGTTCACCTGATACTTAATTTTTGCGCGCCACTTATCGATTTTATTATTGATTTTGTATTTTATTTTCATTGTATGTACCAAATAGGAGACAACAGTTGCGTTCAGCTAACGCTTTACGGCCGAAAAATGGCCGCCGAGAACTATCATCTGAAATGGGACTCGCATTTGTCCTATTTGAATACTTCCATAGCCACGCTCTACAAGTAAGTACATTAATACTGCTGGGAGCTAGTAGTTGACTAATGCATTTATCTTAACAACTTGCAGGAATGAGAAGTTTGCCGACGTTATGCTATACAGTTCGTATAGCAACAGTGGCATCAATTCAGATATACCCACAGTGGGCATATCAGCGCACAAATTTATTTTGAGCTCCTGCAGCCAGTTCTTTGCCACCATGTTCGAGACAGCGCCAATTACAGCGCCCAATGGCGTTCTCTACATAGTGCTTCCGCCTGATCTGAGTCATCGTGCCATACAAATCCTTGTGCAGTATATGTACAGTGGAGAGGCAACGGTCTCCAATGATATATTAAATGAAGTGCTGCGTGGTGGAGAAATCTTAAAGATACGCGGTCTTTGCCGCACAAGCACGTCTAGTGGGGCCAGCAGTAGCGCGCACCACCTCCATCATCAGCGCGAGCCCGGCGCCTTGTATGTATCGAATGGCACACGATCTTCATTAGCGCCGCCACCGCCACCACCGCCCATGTCATCCGCACAGCTTCCCGGTGATATGTACAGCAACAAGGCCAGCAGCAGCAGCAACAGCAGCTCGGCTCGTTACTCTTTGGATCACCTGCATACGCACCCACATCCACATACGCATTCGCATCAGCATCATCATCATCAACAGCAGCAGCAATTTCGCGGCTTGGGCGCTTCCGTAATGCCAAAGGACAGTCCGGTGATTGTGAAGTCACCTAAAATGGCCAGTCACACGGGTCTCCTCAGCGTGGCGAGCAGTAGCAAGCTGATTGCTGGTGGCATCTCTGTCAATAAGGAGGTGGCCATTGATCCTGAGGACAAGTGCTGCTATGCGGCAGCCAGCCAAGTTGAAAGTCTACCACAGTCAGCAGCAGCAGTAACAACTACAGTAGCTGCCCAGCCACCACAACAAATGTCCATTTGTACAGAAGTTGGCTGTAGCAGTTGCCCTCTGGCTGCACCGTCCACCGAACCAGCGGACTCCACATTACGCCGCACGGACTATGCAGAACGGGAACGTCTGGGAGAGGAGCCACTATGCGACCGAGATAGGGACGATGTGGGCATGGTCTACGAGCGGCGTCTGCGCCGCGAGAGATCTTGTGAGCGAGGTAAAGTTTTGTCACTCTAAAAGAGCAACACTTGTATAACTACTTATATTTGTGTCAATTTGTAGCCCCACCCCACGAATACTTTGGACATGATGCCCCGCACTATGAGCACGTGGTGAAGTCCTATGAAGTAACGACTGCACCACGCCTGGCCACGCCGCCACATCCACATAGTTTTCTGACCATAAAACAGGAGCCAACCGATTGGTCAACCGGTAATCAATCAACAGTGCTGCCCAACGACAACCACGAGCTGAGCCAGGAGGCGCAGCTGTCGCCCAAGCAGCCGCTGGACTTTAAGATGAGCGCCGTCAAGCTGGAGGCAAACACCACGCCACAGGACGATGCAGAGGAGCATACGTTGCGTGATTACAACAATTTCAAGCTGCTCGTTTGTGAGATCTGCCAGAAGTCGTTCGAAGATACCAAAATGTTGGTGCGTCACCTGGGCACCCATGCCGCCGAGCCAACGGGCAATGTAATGAGCAGCAGTGTGAGCGGCACTGGCAGCAGCAGCAGCTCCACAGCCAACAGCAATCTGGCGCTGAGAGCATTGAAGACCTACGTGCCAAAGAAGCGACGCAGAGTGTCGGTGAGTGCCGTTGGAGCCATTGGTGTATTGGACAAGCCCTTAACTCTTCCCATCCCTCATTCGCATGCACAGCAACAGGAGAACAACATGGATCATGTGACACTGCTCTGCGATCTCTGCTCCACGTAAGATCAAATGGCAATCTATCTAAATGCCGATATATAGCAGTTCATTTTGTTGCAGTTCCTTTGAAACGCCTGCGGAATGGGTCCGTCATATGAACAGCCAACACACGGAAATCGAGCTGGCCATGTTCAATAGCAAAAAGGATGGCGAACAGAAGGGGTGTGTGTCCTAAAGCCCTGCCTAATCGAGCACTTGTTGAACTCTCTGTTCACTCTGTTCACAGCAGCAGCAGCAGCAACAACAACAACAACAACTCTTCTACTGCCTCCGTTAGCCAAATGCAACACACAGTCGTCAGTTCGGCAGTCGCCAACTCGCCAGGAGCAGCAGCATCGGCTGTGGTGCATAAAAAGTACTTGAATGCCAGCCGACTAGGTGGTGGCCAAGGCCAAGCCCTCAGCAGCAGAGGAAATGGCGCCACAACCGGATCACCAGGACTGGCCAACAGCTCAACCGCATGAGCGCAGGCACAAGCAGAGCCCCAACAACAACTACAACTAGAACAACAACAAGACCACCAGCAGTCAGGCCACGAGTGAGAGAAGCAATAAGATGAACATTTTTTGAAAAAATCAAGTCGTTCCAGTAATCAAAAAACCAAAAATTATAAAAATTATTTATACGAAACAGCAAGAACCGTGATCAAAATGCAGCAAACACAGCATATTTTATAGAGAAACGAAAAAAAAAGCAAAAAATAATAATGAAATTAACTAAAAGAAACAACTACAACTTAAAACGAAACTGTAAACGAAACTTAGGATCGGAATCGTCAGGCAACGATGCAAAACAAAAACAAACAAAAAACATACGATTAAAACTTTAACTCTGTAGTATTTTAAAGTCTATTGTAGTTTTAAACTTTATTCCCCACTCGCGCACCGAATCAGGCGCAAATATAACGAATCCCAAACATTTGAAACAATTTACAAAAATCGTATATCAAATGCTATATTCAAGGCAAACATTTTTATTTAGTGATAGAACTAACAACTTCAACAACAATTATCTAACTAATTTTGGTGGAATTATTGTCAGAAATCTTTTTGAGTCCAATGAATGTTTTTTGAATTTCAAACTAAAAAGCAGCTTTCAATTATTTTTGAATTCAAATAATAATAGCTAAAACTTATTCGAATGTTTTTTATATGTCGAACTTTGTGTTTTTTGCTGCAGATATATTTTTTATATTTTTATAAACACTTCTTTGAGTAGAGTTTTTAAGCATTTTGTAAATAGGATAAGTTAATTTTTTTGAAAGGCCGCCGAAGCGAACATTTTTGAAAAATTACAAACCAAAAAAAAAGAAAAAACAAACTACTTATGTATCTAAATGTGTGTACTTAGTAGTTGGCAATTCAATTAAAATCTAAAAGTTGTAAAGCGGAATTTCCCCAATATACAAACATTAATATATATATATATATATATATATATATATATATATATATATATAAACCAAAATACATAAATATGTATATATACATATTTACAAATCATCGTGATTCTTAACTAAGTAAATGGATACGTGTATGTGTATGCGATTACAAACACAAACACACTCACACACATATAAAGAAATACACCTACATACTTAAATACGAAAATGGTGTACAACTAAAAATCGAACATGTAGCAAACGCGATTTATTCGCATAATAAACAAGAAATCGTTTTTAAATAAGCACAAAGCAAAAACTTGAGAGAGAGAGAGAGAGAGAGTGAGAGAGAGTTGGACATATATGGAATGCGAAGAGCGTAACAGCTTGCGCGCTCCATGTTGAATGCTAAGCGTTAAGAGCAGCCGCTACGCTCACGAGCGTCACAACGAGCAAATTGGCGCTCACTGTCGTTTGCTGCCTCAGCGGCCTCAACTAGAAGGAACATGACATATGACAGCTAAAAGCTGAGAGCAAGAGTTCGACTCTGCCATTTTAATATTCAATGACATTTAAGTAAGAGCAAATGACGCCTTTTTATTTAGTTGCCTTTAACACTCGCAAGCAAGCGAAGCCTTTGCCTGGATAAAGAATACATTTTAATTGCTTTGCAAAACGACTTTCTTTGGCCGTATCAGACTTCAACCAGTAATTATGAGTGCTGGCAAGCATTTGACTAAAGGTAGGCCGCTTATTAGTAGGAAAAATCACTCACTGGCTGCGTGCTCTGTTGACAGAAACATGTTTGACGTATCCAGAAATGTTGTTAGACATTCTTATCGTAATTTTATATTTGGAGAATGACTAATCACAATTGAAATGCCAATACTGTAGGTTCTCCACGGCCGGCGTTGCCTGATGATGGCGTGCCACGCCTTTATTCCATGCGCTTTTGCCCGTACGCCCAACGGGCTCATCTGGCTCTGAATGCCAAGAAGTTGCCACATCACACAATTTACATTAATCTGACGGAGAAGCCCGAGTGGCTAGTGGACTATAGTCCTCTGCTCAAGGTGCCCGCCTTGCATTTGGTTGCTGAACGTGATCAGCCGGCTCTGATTGAGTCGCTCATCATTGTGGAATACCTGGACGAGAAGTATCCGGAGAATCCACTGCTCGCCAAGGATCCATTGCAGCGAGCCCAGGACAAGATCTTGGTAGAGCGCTTCGGAGCAGTGACCAGTAACTTCATGAAAATTCTAGTGCACAATGCCGAACCTGATGAACTCTGGAGTGCTTTTGATGTATTCGAGGAGGAGCTGGGCAAGCGTGGCACGTCCTACTTCTCGGGCAGCAAGCCAGGCTACGTGGACTACATGATTTGGCCCTGGTTTGAGCGTCTGCCTGTGCTCCAATTTGTGCTCGAGGATCGTTATATCTTTGGTGCTGACACGTTGCGCTTCGCCAAGCTCAACGCCTGGGTTAAGCTCATGCTGAATGATGACTTGGTAAAGTCGTTCATTGTCCAGCCCGAGCAACATGTGGAGTTCTGGCGAACCCGTAAAGCCGGCAATGCCAACTACGATATGCTTGCTTAAGTTCTAATTTGTCTCGTTGTTACACACGTTTTGATCTATTCAGATCGGAGTTATATTTGGCTAAATACAAATAAACAATGCAATATTTTAGACTAAGTCTAATGTTTGTGGAATATAGAATAGCAAGACAGAATAAGAATATCTATGAATATTACTTAGTCAAGCTGCACTGCGCTGGTTTTATGTGTGTCACACGCCACAATGTCTCAGAGGTTATCGTTCAGACACAGCCCGCCAAGTTCAACCAGGTAATGCACACCTTTCGGCGAAGGGCACTTGGGCAGAAAACCTTATAAAGCGCTGATTAAATGAGTTCTAAGCACCAGTTGCGTCTAGCATCAAGCATCACACACCATGAGCAGCGGCAGACACTTGGCAAAAGGTGAGCAGCTCGAGAATCGATTATAGTTGGTCAACAAATTTATCCTGTAGGCTCTGGGACGCCCGATGTGCCAGCGGATGGCATTCTGAGGCTTTACTCTATGCGGTTTTGTCCATTTGCCCAGCGTGTGCACCTGGTGCTAGATGCCAAACAGATACCCTATCACAGCATTTACATAAATCTCACAGAGAAACCAGACTGGCTGTTCGAAAAGAATCCCCAGGGCAAGGTCCCAGCGCTGGAGCTGGTGCGTGAGCCAGGTCCGCCCGTGCTGACCGAATCGCTGCTCATATGCGAATACCTGGACGAGCAGTATCCACTGCGTCCGCTCTATCCACGTGATCCGCTGAAAAAGGTACAGGAGAAGCTGCTCATCGAACGCTTTGGTGCCGTTCTCGGCGCCTTCTTCAAGGCCTCCGATGGCGGAGAGCTGGAGCCCTTCTGGTCTGGCCTAGATATATACGAGCAGGAGCTGAGCAGGCGTGGCACGCTCTTCTTTGGCGGCGAACAGACGGGCATATTGGACTACATGATCTGGCCCTGGTGCGAGCGACTCGAGCTGCTAAAGCTGCAGCGCGGCGAGGACTACAACTATGATGAGCAACGTTTTCCACATCTGGTGAGTGCCTAAGTCTAGCATCTACTGCGCTCAAGCCTCATCATTGCTTTGCAGACGGAGTGGCTGAAGCGCATGAAACGCGATGCTGCTGTGATGGCCTTCTATATGGAAGCCGAGGTACAGGCCGAGTTTTTGCGCACGCGCAGCGCTGGCAAGCCAAACTATAATCTGTTGGTCAAGGATGCCTAAGCTTTGTCCAGATTTGGGCTGCAATAAATATGCTTGAGTTAAACTCGAACTGTTTATAGTTTATATCTGGGCTAAGGTCGGTTGAGCTGCAGCTGTAAAATGTGCTTAGATGAGTCAGGCCTGCCTGAAGGCTGCATTCCGTTTGTTCCCAGGTCTCGGCTCGTTGGTCGTTAGCGACTCGAAGAGAAGCAGCATAGCGCAAACGTTCCTGTAAGAAAGAGATCAAGGGAATATTAATAATACTTAGGCGCATTATATCCAAGACATATTCCGATCAGATATCAAGAGTAATTTTTTATTTAGCCTGTATCATTCCAAAAATTTGTTCCTGCAATTTCAATCTACAGTAACCGGGAAAGCCACATCATAGTTGGGCGCGCCAGCCTGTCGTGTGACCATGAATTGGGCATGCACCTGGCTATCCAGCGCGATTTCCTTGATGGCCTCATCATTGGCCATCAGATCAGTCCAGTTCAAGAGTTTAGCAAAGCGCGTTTTATCCAGTTCGTACCGCTCCGGCAATACATGCTTGAGAGCTGGGAAGCGTTCGAACCAGGGCCAAATCATATAGTCCACCATTCCAATTTGTGTGCCTCCAAAGTAGGGTGTTCCGCGTTTGGTCAACTCCACTTCGAACACGTCCAAGGCATTCTCAAATTTGGGCAATGCATCCTCTGGTGGATCTATGGTGAACAACAGAGGATACACGGCTTTAATAGTCGGTGTCAAGCGCTCAATGAGTATCTTATCCTGAGCCTTTCGCAACGGATCTGCGGGGAACAGTTGATGCACAGGGTACTGCTCATCCAAATACTCGGCGATGACAAGAGACTCCACAATAGTTGGTTGGCCAGACACCGCGGTCAACTGAACAGCCGGCACCTTGCCCAGGGGACTGAAGTCGGTGTACCACTCGGGTTTCTCGCTCAGGTCGATGTAGATCTTGTGATGCGGAATATGCTTGGCAGCCAGCACCAACGAAGCGCGCTGCGAGTAGGGACAGAAGCGCATGAGGAAGAGACGCAAGACCCCATCATTGGGCAGCTCCGGCTTGGGCGAACCTGTTTGTGACACAGACACAAGACAAAGCAGAATGGTGAATGGGCTGTGACGTCATTGGAAACTACTATTTCTATCTGCCTCATAAATGTAGAGATATCTGGAGTACAGCGTGAAGCCGGCGTGTCTAGACTAAGGTGACATTGCAACTCACCTTTCTTGAAGTGCTTCAGCACGTCCATAATTCCAATGCTCTCACTTACGTGTTCAGCTGATATTTTAAGACAATGTTAGTAAACAATTTATAATATACGACTGAATTTTTTCTCTCCGCTTTCGTTACGAAGCTTTTCTGCCTAACAGCAGAATGCTATGTCAGCAGACTGTTATGCTCACAGTCTGTTAACTTGAACGTCAAGCACTGCTTATCGATATACTAACATTATCGATATCGGCTTAACAGCAAATTCAAATGCAAAACATTCGTTACACTTTAAACATAATTTATATTTCCATTAATTTCTTTTCGTATTTCTTTTATATGACAAACTTATACAATTATTTTGAATTTTAACTAAAATTTAACTACCACAGATAGGTTGCAATTATATATTAATATATATATATATAAATATATATATATATATATTAGATACATACATAAAAACATACATAAATTTATATAGATTTTCGTATCGTGTGTATACATATACATAATAAATGTTTTACTTGTAAATTATGGTCGCTGATATAACTGTAAATAATTATATTAGATGTAACTCTAAACAGATGTAGTTAGACAATTTCTACATTTCTATAACGTTGAGATTTACATGAATAATTATATATATATATAATTATAGATTATAAGCATGTACGTACGTATTTTATGTATGAGCGCATTTATAATTTTAATTGAGGTCCAGATACGACCGCTTAACTAAATACATAACTCTTGCACTAGGCTAAAAAACTAGACAAAATGATAACTAATTAACAATTAAGGTAAACATTTATTGGAAATCTTGCAATGTGTGTGTGTTTTTGTGATTTTACGTTTTCGCACTTGCACGGCTTAGACCGTCGTATCCGGCGGCGGCGCAATGGGCTGTTTGGACTCGGAAACATCCAGTCGTGTAGCCGTCGCATTCGCTGGACCGTCCGGCTGATCCGGGGCAATGTCAATGCGATGAGCCTTGCGCCAAACCACCAAATCCATGAGGAAGGCAAAAAACATAATGCCAGCCGTAATGCCTGCAGTGGACAGAGAATTGCAGTGACTCTTACTTGGTAGAGCTTAGAAGACTTACCCAAAAAGTATTGCCGGAAGGTGTCCGCATCGTAGAGCGAACAGGCGCCATGTTTGCCGCAAACCGATTTCCAGATGAGACACGCTGAGTCCACCACAGCACCATAGATAATCGGACAAGGAACATTACCAAATAGGCCAATGGCTGACTGGATGACGCCCATGGCCATGGCTTTATCTAGTTAGAAATGTTTAAAATTGATTAAATATGCTGCTTCAAGCAGTGCAACCATTCATGAGACTTGCATAGAAAGGCGTTTGATTGCTCTGCGCCCCGAGGATAGGCAACAAATATTGGACTTACCTTTAGGATGTGTACAGCGCATGACGAGCAGCATGCTGCCCACCTCTGAGGTGGAATGCATAAATACGCAAATGGCAAAAATCAATATAAAGTAGATGAAGTTCTTGCAGTTATTATCACAGTAGCCGGTGACTGCCTCAGCGTCTGAGAAGTGAAGAAAATGTTCAAAATTAGATCTGAGCGCCACACGAAGTTGTTTTGAGTAAATTCACCATTTGGAATGCAAGCACAATCGGTGTAGAGTGTGCGGTTGTCGCTGAAGCGCAGCTGGGAGCTGCTGCAGCCGGCGTGGCAGGCCGAGATGTACATCTTGCCATCGGTGCCGCAAATGGGCGCGAAGTTCTCCTTATCACAGGTACAGTTGAGCACGGCGCTGCAGGCGGGCTTAATCATGGCGGGACTACAAAGGGGAATGGAAATCATTATGTGCCGCTGCTGTTGCTGCTGCTGCTGCTGCTGCACCCACCTGTTGGCATCGCCCGCCTTATAGCCAGCAAAGTCGTTGGTGCTGCAGCCAATGAACATGAGTATAATCATTCCGGCGGAGTAGACGAGCGCTGTGAATGCGATCCAGGCGGCGACACCTCGAGCCGTTGGCTTGCGCTTCAATATGAATAGACCTGAGATTACGATGCCAATGCCCATGACGAGGATGCCGCAGAAGGCGGCTATCATGTTGGCATCGTAGGTGGCCAGCCGGAACTGCGTCTCCAGATACTTGGGCAGAAATGTGTAAAGTCCCGCAATGGGCAGCAGATGAAAGACGCACGAGGCGGTGCGGAACATGAGTATATCATTGCTTAGCTGACGACGTACCGTCTTGGGAAAGTCTAGAGAGGATTACATAGTGTTAGCTAAGGTTATGTGAATCGTAATCCTGTTTACCCTTCAGCTTGGGCTTCTCCTCCGGCTCGGGAGCGGCGGCGGCAGCAACTGCGGCCGCTGCCTGCGTTTGCTGCTTGCCGCGCAGCTGCTTGGGAAACGAGAACATGGCAAAGGAGGCGAGCAGCATGAGGCTGCCAATGGCAACGGGTCCCAGCCACCAGGCGCCAATCCAGCGTGGATCGCTGGCATCGAAGCCCGGATTGGTAAAGTTCACATACCAGCGCGTGCAGAAGCTGCCCACAATGAAGCCAGAGGCGGGGCCCAGGATGCGCATGCCAATCGTAACGGCCATGTACATGGGCGACTGCTTGCTGCCCACATTGTCATCGATGTAGGGTATGCCCAGTGTCGCCACAGCCGTCTGCCCAATGCCCGAGCTGAGCAGGCTGCCAAAGAAGATGCAGAGCACGATCACGGTGATCTTGGAGTGGGATGCCTGTTCCAGCTGGCGCTGCTCGTTGCATTCGCTGCCAGCCAGTGTGCCGTTGCCGCCCAGCGTGCAGAGATTCGGATCTGTGGCATTGCTCCACAGAGTGGACAGGGAGCCAGCTGCCGGCGACTGCGGCTGCAGGAACACGCTCGACTGCATCAGCTGCTCGCCGAAAATGAAATGTGGCAGGGCGCAGGCGAACGCCGCGATGGAGAACAGCACCATGCCACAGGCAATCCAGCGTGGACGATGGCCACGCCCCGCGAAATAGGTGAGCAGCATCGCCGTGCTGATCTGGCCCATCTCGCTGGCGCTGAGCAGAAAGCCCGTTGTCTTCGACTTGATCTGGAAGAGCTTCTCAATGGTGGTGATCACAGAGACAAAGTACGTCATGTACATGCCCTGCAGTATATAGGCCAGCAGGAACACCACCATGAACACGTGCGTCGAGGCAAAGCGACGCGCCCAACGTGGCCGGCAGCCGAAGAGTCCACAGTTGGAGCCCTCGTCGCCGCCGCCATTCAAATCGGAGTCGAAGTCCGATTCCTCGGATTCACTGCCGCGTGCACCACCGCCACCAGCAGCGCCGCCGGGTGGCAGCTTGTAGCTGCCAGTCAGCGGTGCTTGCTCGTGCGCATACTTTTCGCGCAGACTGTGCCCGTTGCCATTGTTGTTGCTCAAGAGCCCGTTCTTTAGATTGTTAATGTCCTCCGAGGCCTTCCACTCGTTGTTGTTGCTCGGCGTGCTCTCGTACAGCATGGTTGTGGGCGTAGTGGGTGTGGCAGCGCTTACATCGCCGCCATTCGTGTTGTTGTGCTGCGCGAGTAGCGGCGTAAAAGCCTGCGTCGAGTCACGCCTACCGCCTCCATTCTGATGATAGCCATTGCCGTTGCCGTTGCCATTGCCATTGCCGTTATTTTGCTGCTGTTGCTGGTGGGCGTGGCCATTGCTTGGCTTTGACTGCTTCTGTTGACCATTGACTGCTGCTGCTGCTGCAGCCGCTGCCAGCGCTGGCGGCGCCTCCACATCGCCTTGACTTTTCATCATGCTGCACGTTGCGTATACGTAATGTGTGTCGTTGACTGTTGCCGCTGCCGCTGCCGCTGCTGTTGCCACAACTGATCGTTAATTAAGCGCTTTATTTGCTTGCAGCTCTACGTCTGCTTCTTCTTCTTTAGGCTTCTTTTAGTGCTGCTGGGATATTTGTGGTTCCATTTTACCAAAGCAAGTGGCGGCTGCAGCTACATTGGAAGTGCATCAACTGTCTAAAATGCAATTCTGTTGCTCCCTTTTGTGTAGCGTAGTGTAGTGTGTGTTGTGTTGTTGTGCGTGGCCAGCAACGAGGTAGTTTCGGTTGTTGTGCGCGTTGTTTGTTGTCAGTTACTTCAGTGTTGCAATATGGCAGTGTTGTCTGGAGAAGAGTTGAGAAATAAATTATAAAAAATTAATTGAAATGCATCACAAGAATGTAGTTATGTAACATATGTTATATATTTTACAATATATTGTTCCTTCTAAAGACTGATTCTGTCAACACTCAAGCATGCATGAGAATCGCATAGAAAGGCGCTTGGCATACACGCGCCTTTTGGCTAGGCAACATAATATTTCAAGCTGACTACATATAAAAAAATCTCGAATACGCTTGAAGAATATGTGTGCCACCTGTCCTTGTTATGCACTTGAATAATCTGAACTCAATTTCATATTTTTTAATTACAATGTATTCGGGAATCGATTATAAAGCATGCAATTCCATAAGCAACAAATTCCGCGTGTTCGCTGTGGGGCGTTAAAAGTCAAACTAAGCGAAGACAATTCAAAGGCAGACTGCAGCGGGGGAACAAAATAAAAAATATATAACAAAAAATATAAATAAATAAAATTGTAGCACAAAAAACCAATTAAAAGCAAATGCTGGAAGAAGGCGGCAGCAGCAGCAGCAGCAGCAGCAGCAACTGTCGCTGCGACTGAGACAGCGGCTTATCAGCTCAGGCACATACACACACACAGAGACATACATGTGAGACATACATGAACGCGTCAACAAAACGCAGCGTACAGATACAGCTACAGATACCGTTATATATATATATATATATATATATGTGCATATAAAGTCCCACACTTTGTACAGTTCGTATCATAAAAAAAACAAGCAAAATTGAAACCAAAAGTTGCAGCACAATTTTTTTTTTTTGCCGAAAAACTTTTTTTTGATAAGCTTTCAAGGTTAATTGATTAAAAACTTTTTATAGCTTCTATTAATAAAACATAGTATATTTGCAAAGGAATTCCCAATAGAAATAATTGACAGTTTTGCAAAACTTAATTGTTTCAAATGTATTAGATAAAGATATGCTAGATTTGAGATGTGCTATAAAAATGTGCTATAAAGATATGCTATAATAAAAACATTTAAATGAGAGCAGCTGAAGTTTGGCATAGAAATTGCATTGCAAATTGCAGCGAAAGCAATAAAATGTAAGGATATACTATATATATAGTATATATACCATCTATATATCTATATATATATGCATATATACTTTCTAAATGGCAAGTCTTTCAGTCTTTCCAAGCACAAATTTTTGTTAGAGCAAATATTAAGAACTGAGCAAATCATTTTGAAAATTTTACTATTATTTATTTTACTATAATATGTATAATAAATGGGTGTCAAACTTGCTTTAGTCTTTTGGAATTTCCAGCAGAGAATATTGAAATGTTAGAAAAGTGAATTACTCTATTCTAATTCTGCTTATCTTTAGTCTTTTGGAATTTCCAGCAGAGAATATTGAAATGTTAGAAAAGTGAATTACTCTATTCTAAGTCTGCTTATCTAGGCAGATATCTTATATAAAGATATGATGCTATATCAGCTATAAATGTAGGCAGATAATTAAAAAAAAAATAGAAAAAGTTCTCAAATATTTTTAAACATAAAAATCAATTGATTAGTATGCAATTAGATACGCCAGTCAACTTCAAGTTATATATAATATATATATATAATAATTTAATAAATTTTAAAAGTTGTTTGTGAGCAAAGACAAATATTAAAACAGTTTGTATAAATCGCATTTGGTTCGTATCTCGCGCTAGCTTTTATTTTATTTCTTTCTCTTTCTTTCTTTTTTTCCTATTTTTGTTTTGTTTGCTGTCGACAATTTCAATGTCAGCCAAAAAAATATTCGCATTTTTTTTTGGCTCTTTTAGAGAGTCTCAACTGCTTTTATGGCCCCACTTCCATGCGGCTTGTGCATATAGTATTTGGAATAGCTATTATAATATGTATAAAAAGCTATGACACAATAAAGTTCTGCTAACCCTCTCGCCTCTTGCCACCCGCTCTCTCCCTCTCACACACACACACTTTCTCTGCCTTTCTCTTTCGCTCGTTTGCAGTTGCGCAGCAAACGCAGTCGCTGCAGTCGAAATCTTATCAAAAGAGCTGAGCAAACCGAGTACTGATAATGAAAGTGAAACTTGCTACACTCGAGTGCGAACGAGATGGCAACTAGATGAAATGCAATCATAAATGGAATGCACAGATACATATGCCATAGACCGTGTACTCATAATATCTAAAGAGCTCATTATATGGCTATATATATATATACGTGCAGGCCTTGCTGTTAGAATTTGATATCTGTTTGTCAGCTATAGGGTATATGCTTAGTCGTTCAGTTAAGAGTTTCTAATCAATTGCGCATTTTATGCAGATTTGTTTTGCGTTCTGCGAATTTCAATTATTACTTAAAAGAATTTTGCAATGTTTTATTTTTGTTTAGATTTAGACTTAAAATGTAGCCTGCTAGAACACTTTGGGAATTTTAAATGAAAATAGTTTTTGCTTATGTTAAGTCTATTGATGCATAACATAGATTGTAATGTTAATAATAACATTGCAGTCATTGCATTTTCAGTTGTTAAAACAGATTTAAGATTTAAGGCTGTGACTGCTGGAACGCTTTGGGAATTCGAAATAAATTTATGTTATGCTTAAGCTGTAAGTTGGAACTCTAACTGCAATTTGTTGATTACACTTGATAGCAAACATTTAAAGTGATACGAATGCCCCATTCGTTGCAGTTGCAGTTGCAGTTGCAGTTGGCAAATATGCAAAGCAGATTGCGTTGCCTCTTCTGCAGTTGGCCTATGCACTTGGCCAAGAAGGGCTGACTGGTTGGCTAGTTGGTTGGTTGGTTGGTTGGCTGCCCAGTTACCAGTTCCGCAGTTGAGAGAGAGAATGCTGCCCAAGTGCCTGACCATTGAGGACAGGTAAAGCACATTGAACTCATCCTGGTCAGTGAACGAGCCGCTAGCTGCCAGCTCTACACTCTCTATGCCTGTGTGCGTGTGTGCGTGTGTGTGTTTGTCCATTATTGTTTTAAATTTGGTTTAATTTGTTTGTTAATTGCTGCTCAATTTGTATCTCTGCTTACATAAAAGTGACACTTGCTATGGATACTAGATACTCGAATCTGCCTCTTGATTTGCTGATGATTTGCTCGTGTCAATCATAATCAATGCAATTAAAGCCTTGGCGAAACCTAGGGTTACCATTTCAATTGAGCTGGGTGATAAATATTGATGCCTAGAATCGATATGTCGCTGGGAAATACGCTAACCGGCGTGCTGCAGTTGAAGGCGGTTGCCGTCGACGGCGTCTGAGCTTGTGGCAAGCTCGGTGCGTGTCGTTTTTCCGGTTTTTGCGGCTGCGGCAGCGGCAGTTGCTGGTGGCAGGGGCGGGGCAGTTGGAGCAGCCAAGTGCTTGCCACATCTTCCGTCTTCCGTCTTGGCCAAGACGACGTAACTGCTGCTGCTGTTGTTGCTGACTAAGTTATTACGCGATCTTGTTTGGCTCAGGTGCATGTGTGTGCGTGTGTGTGTGTGTGTGTCTGTGTGTGCATTTGAATTGCGCAAGCGCAACTATTGCAAATTGCATGCCAAGCAGCTCAGTTGCGGCTGCTGCTGCCGCTGCTGCTCAGTTGCTGCATGCCGACATGCAACAAACCAGACACACAGGCAACAGCGACAACAGTTGCTGACAAGCAGCAGCAGCAGCAGCAGCAGGCGGCAACAAGTGCCAGCAACAAAAGCCTGCAACAGTAGAAAGCTACAACAATTGCTTTGTTGCTGCTGCTGCTGCTGCTGCTTAGAAGCCGCATTGAAAGTAAATTGCAGACGGGCACAAAGCAAAAGCCACAACAGAGTCAAAGTCAGAAGTTGAAGTCAGAATTGTTGCTGGCAGCGCAAGTTCGACTCGGAGTAGAAGTTGGAGTCCCAGTGCCGGCCATTATCATGCTGCCATCTTCATAATGAGCTAAGCTAAAAAAAAGTGGTTTAGCCACATTTCACTTTTAGCATAGAAATCATTTAGAACTTGTCTGCAACTGTTGCTTTATGTGGCCATTTATTATTAGCCAAGAAGTTCACCAAGTCTCTTGAAAATGGCCGTGGAAAAGTCTTCTATTTTAGAAATAGAAACGGCCAAGCATTTTGGGCATCTATGAGAAGACGAAAAACGTTCATCAGTTGGCTGGAAAGCAGCTTATGGGCCGCCTACAGAGGAAGTCAAGCTCTGGCAGCTAGCTGTAGAAGCTAGTGTTGGCTTACGATTTGCTAAGCTAATGGGCGAGGGTAAAGTATATTAGACATTTGCACAACTTGCAGATCCTAGTTAATTGAGATTTAGTGGTAGATATAGCTGACTCTAAAAATTATATCTGATTTTAGTCTAGGCCAGCTACAGAGCTGCTTTGCGTTGCTTTACTTGCAGAGGCGCGAAAGGAGAGGGAGGAAGGAGATACATATTCTTCAGTTATTTACACTATATATTAACTTTCAAGTCTTTAGCTTCCATGACGCCATAAACTAGAGATGTCATGCTGCAATTCTTGTCTATATGAACAACTTCTTAACAGTTCAAGGGTCAAAGGACATGGCGTCTGAAGGAGGCAGACCCCTTACAGTATACATATTCTTGATCAGAACCAGGAAAATACAGCCATATATACATATAGCTACATATAAATAATCACAGACTAAAGCCAAGTCTAATGAACAGCTTTTAAAGGCATGATAGCTTCATGCGAGTGCGTTTTGTATTTCAATTAGTTAGAGTTAATTTTATGCTAAGTAAAGTTGTAAATAGCCTGAATCATTTGCAGCGTAAGCGATATATGTCTGTATGGATAGCTATATCTGTGCATATATACCTATATAGTAGGTAATGGGAGAGTCAGGGGCAGAGGCATAGCACCACAAATGCGTCACATTCGCTGCTCAACTTCATATTTGAGTAGCTATCAGCAGTTTTGTTGTTGTTGTTGTTGTCGTCGTTGTTGTTGTTGTTGTTCTTGATTTATTTTTTTTCTCTTGCTTTGTCGCCTTGACTTTGACCTTCACACCGAAAGCCGAAAACCGAAATTAAAACCAATTCAACACACAACAACAAAGTTGAGCGTTTTATTTTGTTGCGAATTTGTTTCGTTTATTTATTTATTTTTTTTTTCAACAAAACTTTAGACAGACGCGTCGGAAGCGGGAGAATAACAAAAAGTATCCAAAAATTTGTTTACCACATTTACATACAGCTACAAATACATATACAAGAGACATTTGTGTGTATATGCATTGTCTGTAATTGATATATATATATATATATATATATATATATATATATATATATATATATATATATATATATATATAACATGTATATTAATATAATTGAAGTCGTGCTTCTTATGCCTATAATGAAAGCTTTATACACTATATATACATATTTGTATTTATTTATTATTATTTATATAAACTGGATCAGCCTGAGCACTTGAGTCGATCTAAGCCTTTCTCTCTGCTAATCTTATTGTATTTTGTCATATTCTAATTAGTCAAATTCACTCACTTAGCTCCGTTGAGCTGACTCTTAGTCAGGCTCTTGAGACTTTTCTATTTTGAGTAACATTCGTTCAGTTATAAAAAGTCGGACTGGCTCAGCTTCTCTGCCCGCTCGTCTTAGTATACTTTGTCAAATTCTAATTACTCAGCGCAAATACTAAATTCACTCATTTAGTTCTAATGAACTGACTCAGAAAAGGGCTCAAGAGCCCTTTACTATGTTGAGTGACATTCGTTCAGCTATAAAAGGCGAGCTATGGTTGAGCTCCTTTAGTTGTCTCCCTGATCTTTAGCTGCTCGGACGTTGCGTGATGTGTGCCAAGCTAATGTTTATTTTATTAATATATAGTTTTTATTAATTTTAATGCTTAATGTTAATATTAATTTTTAAAATGTTAATATTCAAATATTTAAATTGTATTTAGTATAAAAGCTGTCATTATGTTCCTAACTATTATTATTATAATGACTATCTTCATCCTCACAATCATTATTCTAATATTTAAGGACATTCGCTTTGATAATCATCATTATGATCATCAGCATGAGTTTTTACCACACCTCTTAGTCAGTCACACCCGAGGACCTTAGTCTTTCAAGCGTAAAGTGTCAAAAAATAATAATTGGAGCTGCCTTTTTTTTTAAATTTAATTTGCATTTTGTTATAACTTTTTTTCAGAGAATGATTCATGGGCTTTGCATTTGTTTTTATTGGATTGTAATCCTATTATGGCGAAACATCAAAATGCGCCCAAAAGCCAAAACAAAAACACGGATTATAAAACAATTATTTTTATTGTTGTTCGAGCCGTACGAAATCACGATTAACTGACTTTCCTATATGTACATTTTGGTTTTAAAGTGGAACACGCATGTTCATATATATATATATATATATATATTTATATATATATATATATATATATATATGATTCATGGCGCGATGACAAAAGGTGCGGCAACAAGTATTGAGAAGAACAACAACAAATGAAACAAAAATATAAACATGCATTCGAAATATTTAAGTTTCAATGCAGCGAAGTTTTTATACACTTTAAAAAAAAAAAAAAAAATATATATATATATATATATATATATATATATGTATAAATTTTTCTTATTATTTGCCATTTCGAAAACAAGTTTTAATAATTTACCCAAATAAATTATAAACAATAATTAAAACCAGTTGCCATATAATTAATTTATATTTAAATCTCATTTAAATAATTTCTAGAAAGTTTAGCTAAACGCACCTCAAAAGTAATATGCCACGCTCGATAGGGCACACACAAAGCCAAAAGAAACTCAAATATATACAAAAAGAGAAGAAAAATAAAACAAGGGAAAAAAGTTTTTGCACATGGCTTTAGTTTATATATTTTATTTATTTTGTGCGCAGCAGTTGCTTTTCTTTATGCGCACTTTTAACAGCAACAAAAACACAGAAGACAGAAACAAGAACGCTAGAGTGGACAAGTGACCGACTAGCAGTTACCCCTTAGATATACAAGATAAGTTCAGTAAAATGAAGTTTGTTTAAGTAAGGATTCTTATTTATCAATTAATGGGTGGCTCAACTATATGTTGCGGTTATTTAGTTCATATGTGAAGCGAATGAATAATTTTTCCTAAAGACTTTATTCTGTGCCTCTTCTTAAATGATTTCTTTAATAATTTTCCATTTCTCTATTGCTTGAATCTTCTACAAAATATGTTTCCCTAACAACACACAATTTTTTAGGGCGTTAAGTTTTAAGCTTCTGTCTACTTAACTGGCATTTGCAGTATAGCCCATTTCAGATATTATCAATTTGTACAGGGTATATAAAGAATAAATGAGAAAAAACAAACTTCCTTTTTGGCGGCGCTTGTTAAAAATGCCAAAATAAAAGCCAAAAATGAAGCAAAAGAACAGCAGCCGCAAAACGAAAGCTAAAAAATAAAAAAGTATATATATATATATATATATCAGAATATATATTTATATATATATATACATATATAATATATAAAAAATGTACGAAAAGGCGAACAAAAAAATTAACAACCTCAAAATGGCAGCGAAGTGTGCATAAATTTTTGAAATGACCGAAAGAGTCGAAAAAAATTAAATAAATAAAGATACAAAAATGAAAAGAGAGAAGCAGAAAGAGAGAGGGAGAGAGAGAAGGATAGATAGGGAAAACGAACGAACCTAATGAAATGCAATCAAAAATGCATTTTAAGAGAACTCTGCATTAAGTCGGGAGCTGCTGCTACATGGCACCAGGTATATATAAATATATACCTGGCCGTATCTGGCGCGCAGATCAGACGAAAGGCAGCTGAAGAAGAAGAGAAAGAAGCAGCAGCAACAGAAGAAGTTGTTCAAATTTATTTAAGCATATTGCCGACAAAAATAAAATAAATTCAAGCGTTTGCCTGTGCTTGCCCGCCACAATTTACATTTGTCATTTCGATGCACAGTGGGTCAAACTTAGAATTTTCACAAAGCAACATTAAAGTTTAATTTAAAATTTAAAAAAAGTGTAAAGGCTGCAAGGGCTGCAAAATGAAAGTGGCGACACAGATCAATTCGAGTCACACATTTTTGTAGTTCCAGTTCACAAATCTTGTCAATGCGATCCACACAACTTATCGATGTTCCAGCTCGCAATTCAAAACAATATGAACTACAAGCTTATCGAACTCTTAGCTCACGAACCAGCTCAATTCGAACTACAACTTTGCGGAGTTATAGTTCACTATTCAAATAATCAGTTATTCGGTTCACATTTTGAAGCAGTCTTTAAGCCTTTGTTAAATAACATGTTTATTTTCAATATTTCAGTTTGGCATTACTTTCGCAACAAATTACTTTCGCAACAAATGTTGAACCACTGTGCTGTCAACGCTGTCTTCGTCAAAAGGAAAAAAAGAAAAAATAAGCAGAAGCTAAAATATTTGTTCTTAATTTAAAGAGAACCTTTTTTCTTCTGATTGATTGAGCTGCTGATTTAAGCGGCTTTTTTTGTGCAGGTCCTGTCCAAGGGCCAGGGGCCTGCTGAGTGACTAAGGTGCGTTGAGGTGTTAACTTGACTTAAATGTCGGTACCGTTATAATGCTAATTGAAGTCTTATAAATTGTTCAACATTTTCTTTTGACTGCCTCCTTCTTTTTCATTTTTTTTTAGTTTACCGAAAGACTCGTCAATTTTTTTAAGTGTATTGATGCGCATTGATTTTTGCAATTAACGCCTAATTAGCTGCCAGCGCACACAGACACTCCAAATACACTGAGTTTCGCATAATATTTAGTTGGCAGTCCATGAAATCTATTCGCTTCGGCACTCAAAGTGTCAAGTGCGTTTGCCTAGGGACATGGACTGAAGCTACGATATACCACATAGAACTAGTCGCTGGGCTCTGTTTGAGTAGGTCTCTTATTCATCATCATTATTTGTTTATGAATGTACTTAACAGTTTTTGCGTCGCACTTTTTTGGCTACCTGGCCCTGCCTCCCAACTCTCTCTCCCTATTACTCTTTAACTCTTTTTTTCACCACTCACTTCAACAATATTTTCAATTGTTTAAAAATTCTGCGTGCGTGAGTTGATAATTTTTTAACGTTGCTTTGTTGTATTTTTTGGGTTATTGCTTTTTTTTAATGAAGTTTTAACTGCCTTTTTTTGGCGTTACATTTTAAATTAAGTGTTTACTTAAGGCTGGGTCCTAATACGCGAATGCGTATTCAGTTTGTGTGCTTGTCGACTTTACTTACTTATTGTTTACTTTAGTTGAACTCAGCATGTGTTGGACTGTTAGCTGCAAAATAAGCGAAAAATTACAAACGATTAGAGAAATGAATGACTAATATCCATATATTTAAATATAAAAAAAAATAGAAAAGATTATAATTGGATAAAAATTTATAAATTATGTGAGTTTCCTAACCAAATTCATAAATTCTTAAAACTAAGTTTGATTATTGATTCTGGGGAACCATAAATTATTCATATTTGTGTTTGTAGGCCTCCAGTGCTAAATAAGCTTTCTTGGAATACCAACTGAAGCTTTTTAGCTATTTCTTTGTGCTTGCAAAACTTGTAGTCTATGAACTTTCTATGAAATCATTGTGATGTTTCACAACTATTTATTTTCGCACTTGCAGTGCTGGCTCGATTTGAGTTTCTTAGCTATTTATGTTTCTGTGTCTAGACATGGTTTTAAATAAAATGCATCTAATTAAATATTCATATAAATTGAAGTAGTATAACTTGTGTTGCGCATGTGGGTCTGCCTATAAATAAAGTTGCTATGAATTACAAGAGAAATTACTGTGTAATTTAGGTTCACATTTGCAGCCCTGGTACCAAATTAACTCAATTTGAATTAAAATAGTGGCTTTTTTGGGCAGTAGCCCTGGTTTATAATTACATTCACAACGAACTCGTAGGGCAGCTTCATAATTTACTTCTGCGTGTGCAGCCCTGGTTCTGCATAGATGTAATTTATAGTCCAAAATAAGCTCGTTCAACAACAACCCAATTAAAATAGTTAGCTATATTAAGCACAACTTATTTTTAGGGCTTCTTCATATGTCTAAATATGCGGATAGCTCGTATGAGTAAAGTTCCTCCATCTTAATTAACTGCTTGTTTCGCAGAGCAGCGTCATTTAAATGCAAAATGCTGGCCATAAAAATATAAAAAACACCAAACAGCAACAACAACAACTGCAACAAGAAACACTACAAACTGCACGTTTAGTTGGCTCATAACAATTACAGCAAAAGTGATTAACAGCTATAAAAAGCCAACGACAACAAGAATCAGAGCAACAACAACAACAACAACAAGTTGAGCTGATCAGCAAAACAAGTTCGTCGCTTGCATTGCGTGTGAAAACAATTTATGAACGAGCATTTAAACAATTTTTGCATTACAACAAAAATAATATTGCAATAAAAAACGCATTACAAGGGGGCAAAGTGTACAATGAATGCAAATGTTGTCTACATCAGCAGCAGCCGTAGCCGCAGCCGTAGCCGCAGCAGCAACAACAACTGAAATCGATGTGAACGAGCAACAACAATGGCTGCACGCCAGCAACAACTACAAATGACGACAACAGCTACAACTACTACAACAACAATAAACTGTATAAAAATAAAAGATAAATGAGCGCAAATGTCTGTCTGTCTCTCTGTCTGTCCGACTGTTCGCTCACTCTGCCATATGCGTGTGTGTGTGTTTGTGGGTGAGTGTGTGTGTGTCTGTAACAAAAGCAACAGCACAACTCGCATTGCATTGAGATAGGTCAGTCACATACAAAAACACACACACACACAGACATGGAGAGTCTCACAAATGCAACGGTGCACTCGCTGCCAAAGCTTTGTATATGCAGTTAATGCAGCAGCGCTGCCGCAGCGACGGCAACGTCAACGCCAGCGGCAACGTCAACTGCTCTAATTACTCTGGTCGTAAATCGTTGCTAGGGGTGGCCCAGCTGCATCGTTCTCTGCCTCCTGCTGCTGCACTGTTGCCAAGCGTTGCATCAACAACAACAATAATAAAAGCAGCCGTAACAACAACAACTAGTAACATAAAACAAGTTTTTGAGTTAATCTCAGTCTCAATTTCAGTTTCAGTCACAGACGACTCAGCCGCTGTCGCTGCCACTGCCGCTGCCGCTGCCTCAGCTGCGTCAATGTAAAAACTTACACAATCGCCGCATAGCGCACGCACACCAATGTAGAAGCATCTGTGACTCCGAGCTTCCCGCTCAACGATTCACTTTTCTTTGTGCAATTCCAATAATTTAGCCAGAGAGCATCAGCAAAAGAGGGAAAGAGAGAGAGAGTGAGCGAGAGTGAGCGCGCAGCAGCGCAGAGAGCGTGAGCACCAAAAAAGCTTCAATGCAGTCGCTGAGAGCAGCGCAGTCGTCAACTTGCACTTTCTGCTGCACTTTTTCGTCTGTTAGCGAAGCAAACACACAAATAGTAGTAGATTTTTCAAGTAAGCCAAATAAACCAGCAGAAAGTGAGACATGCGTATAAAATGTTGATAGTAAAATATGACGAAAGCTTTTGCCGTTCACCGCCAGGTACTGGGCCTAGTTAAGTTGTTTTTGCCCGGGACCTACGACAACAAAATAAATAGTGCGCCGAAAAGCTAACGGCGCAATTAAAACGGCAAACGCCCTACAAAACTTTGCAACCCCCTAAAAAGCTTGAAAGCTCACGTTATCTCACGCACAGTAAAAAGAGGGCGTCGCATTACATGAGACACAATACGAAGAATATTGCGCAATTGCCAAAAATACAAAATGCCAGACAAATGTCTAGACAGCGGCACAGCAGGTGGTCTTAGTGGGAGACAGAGAGAGAGAGAGAGAGAAGGAGCAAGACAGATGAGTAGTAGACGGGCTTGGCATTATGAGCTCTTGCATTCAGTACACGTTAATGATCATTAAGGCGATTGGCCATTTGCTTTTATTGTGACATAATTAGTGAAAGTGAAATTGATCAGCAAAATGCAGCAGCTGCGCTGCGCTCCGCTCGACGCTGTGCATAGGCGCAAAAGCAGCGCAGCGTGACGCCGGCGTCAGCGCCAACGTCGACGTCAACGCATTGAGAGAGTGCGCAGCGAAATGAAAATGAAATTAAAATTCGAAATGAAAATGAAAATATTGCAAAACTTAAACACGCACACAGGCAACAGGCTCGGCAAATGCTGCTGTGTGTAAAAGTGCATTGACTTGGGACGAGCCTACCTTGACAAGGTGTGCGCGTATGTGTGATTGATGGACTCGATGTGTGTGTGTGGCACACAACACACATTTGCTGTGAGGCCAATTTTTATTTTTTTCAACTGTTGCATTTTGTTGCTGTTTTTTTTATTATTGTTAAATGCAAATGACGAAAGTGCTTTAAATATTGTTTTGCTATATATGGATAGCAATGAGCATGTTTGAAATATATAGGCATATATAGTTATTTATAGCTTGGCAGTGCACATGTCCAGAGCGTTTCACATTTCACAATATAAAATTTATTGCCAAGATTTTGGTTGTTATTAAATATGCATAAAAAATACTTTTTACACATAAATTCGTTTTCTTTTCTTTAAATGCACTTTGAGTATATATATATATGTAGCTGTAATTTATATGCCATGCCAGGCGTTCGGCCGCACGTATGCAATTAGGTGGGCGTTTGCCAACTCGGCGTATGCGCAATATTTGCCCAAATCACGTATACGCCACATACGCCGCATGTAACTAGCACAATTTGCCAGCAGCTACATAAATATTAGCAAATAATGCAAATAAAACACTTACATGCGCCTGATTTGCGTCTTATTGTGCTGCTAATTTGCTGCCGCTGCAACAATGTGGCAGGCACAAATTGTGGCAAATTGTCAGCGAGACAAGAATAAGCACTCAACGGCAAAAACTAGTTTAGTAGGAATTTTTCTTATATATATCTCCTTTACATCAGGTTACGTGACACTCAATTGAATAAATAGCGAGTGGGAGTTGGATGGGAGGTATGGGGAAGGGCTGTGGGGCTCACTTGTGCAAAATGTGTGTTAAATTGATTGAGCGTCGTTGAGCGATTTACGAGCTGCTGCAGCGGCAGCGGCAGCAGCAGCAGCAGCAGCATCAAAATGCCATAAATTAATGCACAAACATAAAACAAGTCTACTTAAAAATTGCATTTCGTATATAATTTTCAGAAAAAATCAAACAAGACGATTCCGCACCAGATACAAAGACGAGCCCCGTCTTTTCGCCTCTTCGCCTGCCTGCCTGGTTGAGTATGAAAAGCGAAAACTGGGTCAACCTGATGCAGCTGCCTACGCAGCGTCGTCGTCGTCGCTGTCTATCCGGCAGACGCAGACGCTACAAATATGTAACTCAAGAGATATGCAAGCCAAAATTGTATCTGTATTTGCAAAATAAAAAAAAAAATCGGCTCAAAAACAAATCAAGTTAAGGTGCAATGGCTGAGCAAACGTAGCTGAAAGACACTCTATAGCTGAAATATTAGCTAGCGATACGCAAACGAGCCTGCAGCAAGACAGCCAGTTCGAGGCGAGCTGGGTATACCTGGCAGACATACTCATTGCAGGGTATATTGCAAGAGCTCAGAAGACACAAAATTCGCATACAAAAATATATTATAAATCATTTGTAGGCGCGTTGGAAAGGTAGAAACAGCTGCAGCAAATGCGATGCCAAAAAATATGTGTATCTCTTGGATTTCACCCACGCCGCTGTTGATTCAACAACAACAACAACAAACCGTGTAGCAACAACAACGTGGGTCAAGTTACAACTTGTTTTTTGGCTCGCGCTTTCGTGCGGAATGCATTCGCCATTGCGTTTCAGTAATCGCATTCAATAGCTTATCAGCAGCAGACACGCGACAACAACAACAGCAACAACAACAACATTGTGTGCAAATGATAACAACAAATCACGACAATGGATGCCTGACTATTTGCATTTGCCCCACTGTGCGAGTCTGTGAAGTCGTGATTGCAATTCCGATTCCGCCTCGCACAAACGTTCACTTTCAAAATCAGTGAAATGTAACCGACGAACAAGCAAAAGGTAGTGAATCGATGTTGCATTGTTGCCGTTGTTGTTGTTGTTGTTGCCACTGCGGCTGCTGCTGCTGTTCTCTCACTGTTTTTTGTGCTTTAGTTATGCACATTATTCATTTTGGCTTACAAATAGAGGTTAATTATAGAAATGTCATTATTTTTTAGAGATGGCAAACGCTGCAGGCGCTAAGCTAGCTTGAGATATATTATTTGATTGTGGCTGCCATCGATAAATGATAATTGCTGAACTTGGCTGATGGCGTTGCCACCTGGTTAAGCAGCTTTAAGTGATGTTAAGTGATTAGGGAACTAGTTATTTGTGGATGAACTAAGCCACGCGCTGCAAATATGTGAAAATGAATTGTTACAGGCAAAAGTAGATGTTTTTGTTTTATAAAAGCAGTATACGTTTATATTTGCAGGAATCTGCATTTAAAACAATCTGTCATTAGCCCTACCGCAATGCGAATGGACGACTGTAGCAGCAGCAGCAGCAGCGCTCAATGTCAGGCAAGTTATTGAACCAATAACACACAGCTCTCATTACATACACATGCATATACATATATATATATATACATGTGTGTGTATATATCAATAATTGTTGTATGCAGCAGATAAAAACTTCAAGTGCAGAGAAAACTGCAAGCGGCCTTCAATGCTGATCTGACATTGAAGTGCTTATGCATAGCATATGCGTAAAGATACATTTGTATCTTTGTATCTGTGTGGGTGCTGACGCTGCTGCTGCTGCTGCTTGGCGTTGACATAATTCATCAATGTGCATGCAAATTGTCAGGCAACGCTTTTCTTGCCAATTAACTTTAAATGCCAAATAAGTCAGCGACTGCGGCAGTCGATGACGCGCCTGCGCTTGTTGCGCTTGCATTCCGTACCATAAGTAGCAGTAGTTGAGTGTGTGTGTGTGCGTACGCCTGTGTGTGTGTGCATTTGGAGTGCGTGTCTGTGGCACTTCATGCTGCAACAAACGGCAAACTGCACTTGACTTACTTGCCGCAGTCAAGCTGCCTCACTCGCTCTCTATCAGCAGCTGTCTCCCTCTCTCTCTTTCTCTGTATATGTATCTGGTAACTGGCATCGTGCCGCCATCTGCGCAATGCATTTCACTTTCATTATGATGCAGTCGCCGCGTTTTTGCCACTAAAAATGGCAACGAGCGTTGGTTTTTCCAAGCCCAAAATGAAAACCAGTTAACGGCACACGGATTTTCCCATTTGCTATCTCGCTCTCTCCTCCTCTCTCTCTCTCTCTCTCTCTCTCTGTCTCTTGGCTGCCTTGTCTGATTGGCATCAGCTGACAGCTGTGCCCCGGCTGCTCACCTGGCTGTCTCACCTGGTGTGTAGGAGGCGTCTCTGCTTTGTCTTCTCATTGTGTTTTGTTAGTTGTTTTTACTTTCTTCTAATAGATCGTTAGCTTTGCTTTGAACTTGCAGCCCGAGTCGCCTTTGTTGCTGTTGTTGTTGTTGCTATTTGCAATTGATTGCTTATTGTTAAATGAAAATGGAAAGTCATTTGCTATGCAGCTGCCTCCTTTTCGTACACACCCCTGCCCTGCCCTGCCTGCCCCCTCGACTACACTTTCCCGAAAATAATTCACGGAATTTGTGTCTCAATTGGAAATTAGAGAGCGGGGTCAAGCATTTCATTGCTTCAAATTCTTGAAGGAGTCTCGTTTTTGTCATTTCTTTTATTGATCTGCCAGCTGAGCAAACGGAAAGCGAAAGTAATTACAGTTAGTCATTCAATCAAGAACCCCGCGCCAACCCCCTATATTTGTTTCTTTCTAGATAAGTTCCCATTCAGTGTTTGCTGTGTGTGCACTGCCAGAAACGAGCAATAAAAACCGCATGCAACCCCAAAGTGCAGTCCAGACTTTCTCACAGTGTATTTGTTGTTGTTGTCGTTGTCGCCCCCGCCCGCACGCAACAACAGAATCAATTTTTATTGGTTACACAACGACGTCAGCGCCAGCGTAGAGTGCATTCAACCCAGCGACTCATGACTTTTAGTACTTCTTCGCATACTCTTCAAGTGTCAGCTGCTATGGGGCATATTAGCTAAGTGTTGAAGGTAGAGTATATACTGTATACTGAAGTGATCTAGATGTACCTATAAATGTGACTAAAGCTTCTTCTGTTAACTTAATGGAGATGAGAGTTAACAGAGCAGCCAACTTCATGTGACTGTGGCAGTGACAGCGTTGCCAGACTGTGCAGTTAAGTAGTGCAAGTGTTCCTTTAGAGTTTTCCATTTTAAATATGCTCACTCGTAAGTTCTCTTACTTGATATGACTGCGAAGAGTATTCAAAAGACTGCATGCCCAGCAATATACTCTGCCTTCCATTTTTTATGTTTGTTATATAGCTTCCCCTTTTTTATTATTTTTCCTATTTGTCGCCTTGTTTTTGTTGCTGCTGGCAACTGCTCTTAGTAAATGGCCAATGCATTTTATGCGTCTGTCTTTATAGACTTAGACATATTCTACGGACCGTTGCACTAACACTTCATCAGGTCTATATTGAAACGGTTTCAGTTGAAGAGCAACAACAACTTTTGTGTCTTATCTGCCAAATACAATATATTATATTTGTATGTATATTTCATTTATTTTATGTTCCATGCATCTGAGACCTTCTTATCGGAGGTCTTGCCTTGGCAAGACCTCTCAGCATAATCTGTGGACTTTTTCTAAGTCAGAAATTAGCAGCTGAAACATAAATCACGATTTTCTACCACAAATCTGTTTTAAGTAAATAGTCACGGCTTTTCTATATCTATTTGCACTTTATTATTGTCGGCAACCATATGAATTCGTTTATCAGAAACGCCATTTGCCTTGAATGCCGCCACCGAAATTGTTGCGATTCTGATCAAAATTTCTATTAGCATTCGCGTAGGCATCGATGCTGCCACGTCCATCTCGACTGGTGTACAGGTTGTGATTATATTGAACGTCCAGCTGGCGACCTGTCTGATGGTCCTTGCTGCCCGTCACAACCACAGAGCCATGCTGGGGCGAACGCTGGCGACGAATTATCTTGATCATAGGAGAGCCAGCTCCTGCTTCGGGGAAGTCTTGAGCAGCCACAAAAGCAGCCAGGCAGCTGACCAGCAGCAGCAGGGCAAAACACTTTCCAAAAGCCATCTTAGTTGAAGTTGAGAATTCTTTGAACTGCGAATTAAAACTGTGCCCAGCTTTAGCTAGACTTGGAGCTTTTATAGTCGTGTGTAGACAACTGGGGTTCACTTCGAAGGGGACTTTTGTCCTCTCTGTATCTCTGTGGCCCCCTAGAGTCACTTACGAGCGGTACTTTTTCCAGGCTATGTAGATTCCCGCCTACATTCTTATCAGCCACTGATTTGTGCTTAAATATAATGCGTGTATATATAAATATATATATATATAAATAAATACATATATGAACATTTTTATAGCTACAAAGTAATAGCAGAATGAATAAATATAGAAGTTTTTTAGATGCTTCCAAGGCAGGAAAACGTTTGGAAAGGACTGCAAAATGCGCCTTGGCATTTGCATTCACTTTTCAATTTTATTGTCTAAGTTAAAAGTTAAAAAAAAATGTTTGCTTAAATTATATATAATTATTTATTAAAAAGTTATTCTCTATTTCATTATCTTTATTTATATATTCACAATCATTTTAATAATTTTTTTAAAAAAAGTTTACTTTTAATTTTTAATTTTAAATATTTTATTTGATATATAATTTTTTATATTTATTACAAACTAAATATTCATTATTTTTTTTAGATTTTTATAAGTTTTTGCAGTTATCAAATTTTTAAATATTTTTATAAAAATTTTTAAGCCAAAAACATTTGAAATTTCTGTACATTTTTCCCAAAATATTTCAATTATTTATATTATCTGTATAGTAAAACTTAATAGATTTCCATGAGCTACTCCACTGTCTTGATTACAAATAGTTCATCCAAAACATCGAATGCCATCTGGCACGTTTATAGAGCTGGTGCGACCTCTTGACCCGATTTCTCAATGGAATCTAAACGCTATCAACGCAATTAAGTAGATTCTAAAAGCACTTTTCAGTTCTAGGCGGATTTGTCATAACTCTTCTTTTCTAAACGCATGCCCGCGTGGCCTACGCAACATTGCTGCGGCGATAAGACACGCACAAATGGAATAGAAATAGAAAAAAATGAAAATAACCGAAAACTAAATGGGTCTAAAACAAAGAGCCAATAAAACTAAGCGGCATAAAAACAGAATTTAGTTCAGTTGAGTTCATTGACACACAAAAAGAAATCAAAATATTATGGACTATGAGCGCCCACACAATCTTGCCTCCCCTGCCTTGGCACACGCACTTTTCGTAGAGAAAGAGAACTTTTACTTATCGATGTTTGATGATAGCGAACGTCATTGATACATATGTATAGCCAGCCGGCCATAGGATGTTGCCCTGAACTTGAATTTGGCTTTTGTGAAAGTAAATTGCAAGTTCTCATAGACGAGCGCGGATTTCTAATCAGTTTGATTTCATTGTATTTCGGGCTTTTTTTCCTCGTCTCTATTTCCATTTGTGAGCGCAATTAGATGTGTGTACTTGAAGGCATTTGGCTACTGGCTTCATCGATTTGAATGCGAAAGTCTTTGACTTTTGTGTTCATAGATCATTTGCGGGTGAAAGTTTTTATTTCAGCTCACACACACGCAGTCACACACACACACACACACACAGCTAGTTGAGTGGGTTTCATTTACTTTTATTATACGAGCTCTGGATCAGCTTATCTATTGAATATCAAGTTATGCATTTGAATATCGTTTTGTCACCTGTGGCTATTTATCTTCGCGCTGCGTGCGCTTTGTGTTTTGATTTTTGTTGTTGTTGTTGCTGCTTTTTATGAGCCCACGGGGCGTATACTCCACACACACTCTTAGCGAGGGGCATAACAATACCTGTCCATGTTTTCTACCTCGGGCAGCCAACGAAACTATCGAAATAGAAAAGCGACACGTGTTGCCAACTTTGCCGAGTCATAATTGAATTTTTATAAGCCTGCTCAAACTGGAGGCGCACCACACGGGGCAGCTATCAAGCAACCTCTTCTTAAGGCCCATTCACACACGCACACATTCATTGACGCGCACTGAATGAAATGTTCGCCTCTTAGATGCTTACTCGCCTATATGTATACCTATCTATATGTTTATGGCTATATGCGTGGCGTACGCATGCTTTCAATATAAATTATATATTTTTTTACAGTCAACAGTCATCTACGTGTCGCTAGCTACATTTTGTCTTTATATCGCTTAAGATTTATTTTTTGCCAAAAACATATGACGAAAAAAAATTGTGAAATAAAACAGCCACGCCTCTGTACGCTTGCCCTCTCTCTCACTCCAAGTGTTTCGCTCCCTTTCTTTGGCGCTCTTTTTCTATCGCTCTCCCTCTCTCCCATAAGCTAGCTCTCTTTGCCTGTCTTTAGTATTTGCTTTTCAAGTTCGTCAACTAATAGCAAAACATGAAAATACAAAAAAGAGTGAACTACGAATTTAAGCTAAGCAGACAACTGAATACTCTCTCCTACATAAGTAACTAGATCAAGTATTTAAGATGCGTATTTCATAATAGATCGAAGCTGAATAAGTCTTGAGTAACACAACTCGATGAAAATGTCGAAATCTCAATATGAGATGTAAAAAAAAGGCTCAAGGTTCGAACCCAAGCTCTCTTTTTTATGTAGTCTCAAATAGCTATGTCTAAAATATTTATTTATATTTTTCTTCCCACTCAAAGCTCATATGCTTGGTCATGGAGCAGGGCATCTAGCAAAAAACCCGCCAAGTCGTTTGAAAACGTATAAATTAAGAAAGAGAAATAAGAGAATAACAACAACAACAGGAATAAAAGAGCATAGCTCACGCACAAATAACAAAAATGTTGTTATTCTTTATTTTTTAGCACTAAGTTTTTGTTTTTATTTGTTTCATTTTTATAATTTTGAATAGATCGTAGAATTCCAGGGCAGTCAGAGAGGAACAGCGAAAGCTTTTGACATTTGCCAGAGAGTTCTGCGTGTAGCAGCTGGAGCTGGAGATGGAGATGAAGGCGATGGAGCAAGTAGCATGGCGCAGCAGACGGATCGGGAGGGAGGCTGTGTGGCACATTGAAATGCCGGTTGTTGCAGATGTTGTTGTTGTTGCGGTTGTGTTTGCCTTTAAGTCAAGTTCAAGGACTGTCAATTAAATTGAAATCACTTGCTAAAGACGCGATGCGAGCAAAACAAGATACAGATGCGTTGGACTGAGCAGACGAGCGGCAGCGGAAGAGCGAAAGAGATGGCGAGAGAAATGGATAGAGGGGGCAGTTGGCTGTGGAGGGTGTGGCAGTTATCGATGGGCTGCCGAGTTGCCCGTCTTGTGGCATATTTTGAAATCACTTAGAGCACGCAATACACACATGCATAAGTGTAAGTGTGTGTGTGTGTGTGTGTGTCTGTCCGTCTTTAGTTCCTTTTGCACGCAGAATCATCTATACTTTGTTGCTATCTTAGCTGCCGACAAGTGCTGCGTAGTTTCAGCTTTACAATTGCCATGAAGTAACCAGGGCTGCACAACGAAACGACACCAAATGGAAATGGAACAACATCGAGCATAATGTGTCAAGGCAGGCAACGGAAGCTGTTTTGATAAGTGCTAAAAATTAGCTAAATGAGTCGTATCCATGTGCATATGGCGGGATGTGAGGCGTGAAGCAAACATTTTAACATTTTAATCAAGGGCTTAAATATATGATTTTGTAGAATAGATGCGGATATATATATAGATATAGATATAGATATAGATATAGATATATATAGATATAGATATAGATATAGATATAGATATAGATATAGATATAGATATAGATATAGATATAGATATAGATATAGATATAGATATAGATATAGATATAAATATATATATATAGATATAGATATAGATAGAGCTCTCAATTTTCCTCAAAGTGCACCCCAAGCTCAAAGCTTAGAAAAGAGCCAATAAGAAGAAGAAGAAGTAGGAAAAGAAGAAGCAGAAGCAAAAGCAGAAGAAAACATCGAATTGGAAGCGTGTTTTGAGGCCAACTTTCAATTTTCAAATCGAATCGAGGTTTTCTGTGAGACGATAAAGTTTGGTCATAGCTTGCGGCATTCTGATACGCTTTTAAATAAATGCATAATTAATGTCGCATTTTATTTTTTATCTGCTCTTCAGTGTTTTTATTCACAAATTAACATATTACCACGACATCATGCACCATTCAGTCTGTTTTATTTCCATATTTGGGGGCTGCCAGAGGCCACAGACTCTTCAGTGCACGTGCTCACACACACTGAACTAAAGTTAGTTGTAAACTTTAATTTTGTTATTTATTTTGTTTTTTTTTTTTATAAATGAAGACAAAATGTTTTTTAATTTTCGATGGCAGAAAATGTTGTAGGCATAATTTCTTAAATAGCTTATAAATAGCAAATAGAAAGGAAGCGTCTGCTAGCCAAGCGGAAATTCGCAACATTTGTCACGCACAAATACAGACAGAGAGAGAGAGGCGGGGCAGGAGAAAGAGAGAGGGCATATGTGTGCGACAGAGAGAGAGAGAGAGCGGGTGCTCCATAAGGGCCGCTCAATATGTTTTGCCAATAAAGCCATTTCGCTGCGTTTCCAAACTCAATTTTAAGCTGTTGCTGTTGCTGCTGTTGTTGCTGTTGTTGTTGCTGCTTTTGTTTCTTTTTAGAATTTTTTTGTATGCCAAGAATTTAAATTAGTAGTAAATCTGGTTTTTTTCTTTCGATTTCGTGTTTCGTGTCTGCCGCTCAATTCTTGATTTTGTTTCTTTAGCTCTTTTCTGCGACGTTATTACAGGTGGAATTTTGGGGCTCGATTGTTGTTGTTGGCCGACTCTCGGCAAAAGCTTTATCGAGCTGCCGGCGCTGTTCAGCAATGACCAAAAACAAAAGTAAATATATATAAAAAAAATTCTATCTTGTGCAGAGCAAAGGCCGAGTGATATTAGTTATGCTAGACATAAGCTAGACTCAAATATTGCAGCTGGGCAAAGACTATCAAATTTCTCTAAAGAAATAGCCATAAAATAATGAGATAGATTTGTATGCAGCTTAAATATTCCATAAACAATTACATTTACTTTCTCTCCAAAATACCCCAAAAAATATAAATACATAAAATATATTTAAATATAAATTAAAAACCGAAAAGATTTTTAACACATTTAAGAATGAAGGTATATATATCTCTATATATCTGCAGATACATATTCCTGCAATTGAAATCTTTAATCTTTAAATAAATTAATGATAATGTCCTCGATGTGGGTCATATTTGTGCAGAACCAACTTGTAAGCGTTTAATCTCTGGCTTTCTTTTTATTAAAATCTCATTTTTTTATTTTTCTTATTTTTTTTGGCAAATTGCTTAAAAAGTGAAATTTACTCAGAGCCAAACAAAAATATGGCCAGAAAAAAAAACATCTCAGAGAGTTGCAAAATAAACATTTACATTAATTTAAATGGAATTTTTATTGATTTTCGACGGGTTGCATTTTTATGCATGCTGCACTTAAGAATTTATTTATGCAGTTTTTCCTTTAATGCTTTGTTTTTTTTTTTATTTTGGTTTTTAGTGCGCATTTGTCTTGTTGTTGTGAGTATATACAAATCAGCATCCAGTATATGTGGCATCAACTGTTGCATCTATATATCTAGATGTATCTGTAAATATGTATCGAATTATCTGCATAGATGAGTATCTGAGTCTTTGTGTATCTCAGTATCTGTATCTGTAGCTATTTATATCTATGTATCTTTAGATATATTTGTATCTTAGATGTCTCTGCAGCTGTTTAAACCGGCATCCATGTTGCATCTATATATCGTTATTTGTATCCGTTTACCTGTTTTTGTGTAGCTGTCTCCTGTATCTGTATACCTCATTTCCGCGTATCTGGATCATTAGCTTTAGCAGCATCTAAAGGCTCATTTATATATGAATCTATGGCATTAGCTGAATATGTATCTCTAAATATATCTGTATCTTTATTAGTATCAGTATTTTTATCTGTATATCAATAGCTAACGTATGCCTAACTTTATTTACAGTTTGATTTATAGATGTATCTGTGTCATTAGCTGTATTTGTAGCTGTATCACTATCTGTTTATCTGTAGATTCACCTGTATCTAAAGTTATATCAGTATTATATAAGCATCTTTATCTGGATACAGTGCTGTATCTCTAGCTTTATCTGTATCTGAATCTATATGTGTTTGTGTAAATGTATCTCAACATATATTTGCAGCTGTATCTGCATCCGTGAATGTGTATCTTTATCTGTGCTTATTTATTTTGCCTTTTACACGTTTTTTTTAGCTTCTGCCTGCGCCGGCTTGTAATTACAAAAAAAAAAAAAAACGAAAGAAAACGAAAATGGAATGTTTTTTATGTTCTGTGCCTGCTTGGCTTGGCTTTGCTTTGCATTGCTTTTCGAATTGCTGTGCATATATAAATTTTTGTGTCTTTATTTTTCTTATCGGCTGTACGAAAAAAGGGACAGTCGCGCGTTTAAGAAAAAATTTCTTAGCTCATTACGATTTCACTCAATACGGCGTATAATTTTATTTGTGGACCGACGGCATCTGTGTGCCCTACACACACTCAAACACACACACACACATACATAAATACACACAATCACACAGAATTACATGTTTCACTTTCTCTGGCGCCTGTAAAGACCCCAAAAACTATCCAAAATTTCCATTGATAGTTGGTCAGAGTTCTTCAAAGTATTTTGTAATCATTTACAAACATGCAAAGAATTTTTTGGCACATGTTTTGATAGTAAAGCATTTTAATTTATTTAGATAATATCAAAAAATCTTCAAATTATTTAGAAGAGCATGAATAAATTGGAAAGATAAGACTTGTTCATAATTATAAATATGATAAGCTCATATAAATCTTTGTTGTTTCTTATAGGATAAACACTTTTGGGCTGATTTCAATTAAAATTAATGCCAAAGCTAGGCGACTGCTTCAACACATAAATCAACAAAATATTTTGATAGAGCTTAGAAGTCTGTTAAATATAATTTAATTTTGTAGCACTTTTACTATTATAATTTATACACTTTGACTGACTTTATTTATAACAATTTTTAATTCATGCTTTTGCACACATAGAAACCAGTTTCAGATTATATCTATGCCATAAAGCTGCGCTAATTCGATTATACTAAAAACACATATGTATATATGTTTTATATACATGTGTGATATCTGTATGCTTATTGCTTATTGCTTATATACAGTTCCAGCTGTACTTACATTTATCGCCTGTGGCACTGTCCGCCCGTATGACTCGATTTTTTCATTCAGAACTTTTGCTACGCAATATATGCGTGTAATTTCTCTCTCTTTCTCTCTCTCTCTATTTCTTTCTCGTTCTCTCTTACTCACTTCCTCTTGCTCTCTCTCTGGCTACCCACAATATTGTACGATCTGTTGTTGGCTTTGCTGTTGTTTTTATTCACACAATTTAATTTTTGTTTTTTTTTTTGTTGATTATAATTTATTTAATAATTGCACACATAATGGGGGGAAACAAAAAAACTTAAATGCTTTGGCTGAGGGATTGAAAATTATTTATTATTATTTTAATTTTTTCGTGTTTCACTTGAATTTATTTAGCATATTTTATTTTGATTTCTTGTATTTTTTTTAAACAAAACTCGTAAATTTCAAACAGATTTTTTAATGAATTCTCAAATATTTATTTCGTTTTCGGGGGGAAGCTCTCAGTTCAACGTATATTTCGTATTTCGTTCCAAAAATAGAACAATTTTTCGCTTTCAAATATTTTATGTGTTGGGTGTTTTCTGTGTTGCACTTGTATCTTTCAGCTACATACATATATCTCTCAGATACATTTCGGTTTTCATTGAAGCAATTACTTTTCAGCTTTTAGTTATTTCTGTTTTTTATATGGTAAATACAGTTTTGAGTGTGTAGGTTCTTGAAATTTTCTTATTTTGTTTTTTTTTGTTTTTGATGAAACGCGACGCGTTCGCTGCGCAGCGCTTGCAGTTACAACGACGACGTCTGAGCGGCAAAAACTCGAGAATAAGCAAAGTGCGGCTCAATTTATACGACAAACAGACAACATGAAGATACATACGACTGCGGCGCTGCCGCTGTTGCTGTCCGCAACGGTATTGGTGTAGCTGTTGCTATTGGTATTGGTGTTGGTATATCTTAAAGATACACACGATCGTCAGCCAACAACAGATAACAGCGGCGTCGCCGCTAACAGCAACAGCGACGCGCACGCAATTAGAACGCTGCCAAATGAACGCTGCCGCTGCCACTGTCACTGCCGCTGCTGACAGCGCCTAAAATGAGAGCGCGCACCGGCTGCGAGCAGCGCAGCGAGAGTGAATTTTTTGGGTATTTTACGTTTTTCGCTCTCTTCGGGGGTGGCGGCGGCGGCGCTGTTGCTGTTATCGCGGCCGTAGGCGCTATGCGTCGGCGTTTCTGTCTCTATCCGCTTGTGTGTGTGTGCATGTGTAAGTGTTTGTGTTTTGTATTTATTATAAAATAGTAGTAGATGAGACCAAAAAAAAAAAACGCAGTAGCTTTTGGTGCTAGCGCTCGCCTGTTTCAATGCGTTTGTTTTATTTGCATATATTAAATATGCACGACCTACATTGTTGTTTTTCGACGAGCGACACACAAACAAAAACGAAAATAAGTATTAAGCTACATACATATATGCATAGATACAGACGCACAAAATATACAAAACAGCGCACAGCACACACCGCAGAGCGCCGCTGAGCAGACGAAGCCGCATATAAATAAAAACACATCAAGTGTAAATATGTAAGTATTACCGCTGTCGCTGTCGCTGTCGCTGTCGCTGTCGCTGTCACTGCCGCAGTCACTGTTAGTACCCCACACACACACACACGCAGAGAGTGGCGCCCGCACTCATGCAAGCGCTAAATGTAGGGGAGACACACGCACTCACACGCATACACACACACACACATTGAGAGACACAGGCACAGAGTGTCAGTGGAAGCCGACCAAACAACAACTCGCTGGCATCGCCGTCCGCACGCGGTCAAAGGCAAGTCCAAACTGAACCGAAGTACTCGAAAAAAGTTTTTCGCTTGGCCCCAAACAGCTGCTGCCGCTGTCAGTGTTGTCGGCGTCGCTGCTCGCAGTCAGCTGCGACAGTGCAGCGACTTTGGCGCTCTTTGCATTTGCACCAACTGTTACAGCTTAACAGCGCTCTGTTAAAGCTCTCGCCTCTGTTATGGGTGTGGGCGACCAGGCTCTGGCCAGTTGTTCTTTAGCTATTTGTTTACCTTGTATACATAAATTTTATTATTTTTTAGTATTATCTGCGTAGCTCTGACAGCTGTTGTGCTACTCAAGCTTATTAATTTTCCTAATTGGGCCAATAAGCTTTGCCCAGCGAAAAGCTTACCATGTGCAGCTTTTGCTTTCAAACCTGACGTCATCGTCACATTAAGAAATTCCATGTGCTAGGGCAGCCGATCATTAAGACATATCAGCGCTTAAACCAATGCATCCTTTTTTCAACACTAGTAGCCTGATGAGCTTTTGATGATGGATGAATTCGCCTGTCGAAGACCCGCAACAAAGTCTCACATCAATCTAAATGCTCGGCCATTAGTTTAAATTTGACTGCAAAAGGTAAAATTAAAAAAAGCGGCAAAATAAAAGAGAAGAGCTAAACAAGTTTTTAGAATTTTGTTTATGGATTTATTTAGATGTGTAAGAAAAATATTACAATTAATTAAAATTGCTTAAAAAGCAAGTCAAGTATAGTTTAAGGCTGAGTTTGGAGAAACACGTTTTTAGTTGACAGATTTCAGATGGATTAATATTATGATGACAATTCTTTTATGGACACTTAGAGATGTTCGTTTGCTAGCTAAGATTATAATTAGATTAAAGATAGGCAAACTTCTTTAGTTAATTTAAAAACAGCAAAAAGCCAATCAAAAATGTTTTTTTCTATGATATTTTCTTAGGTTTATTATTTTGTATAACATCTATATAGATAGCTACATATTCATATATATGTAAGAGTTCGTATATCAATTACACATTGAGCGCAAGGCCGACCAGAAGGCAGACAGACTGACAGACAGCAGCTTGGACGTTCATGCAAGCATTTGAATGCACTTAATGAATGATCAACGTGAATTGAAATCAAGGCAAGAACAATGCGACTCCAGTCTTGCAATCTATATATATATATATATATGATATGGTATAGTATATGATGTGGTATAGTATAGTTAGGAGTAGTTTCTCTATATGTCTATCATTAGCTTATTGGCAGACTGGGCACAGTTAATTACGTGACATGTCAGAGCCGTAAACGAGTTAAACACGCTTCGATCGATGCATTGCAATTGCAATCGCAACTGCATTCACCTCGAAGTGTTCATTGAACTTTCGTGGCGATTGAAAACGAAAAACATAAAAAATCATACAATTTGTTATAATTGATGAGTCTCTAAGTCTCTATTTAGATTGCATTTCGATTAAAATGTAAAAACAACAGCTCGCTCGCTCGCTCGCTCGCCCGCCCTGCTTCCGTTAGCAAATGTAACTTAAGTGAGTGTAGCTGTAAATATATTTGTATCTGTATCTGTAACTGTGTGCATGTTTGTGTAACTGTTTCTGCTTGTAAACAAACGTCAGGCAAATAATACAAGAAATTTCCAAAAAAAAAAAATTTAATGTTTGCTGTATTGACAACCATCGCTGGGCTTATCTGCAGTTCAGTTTTGTTTTTGTTTGTTTGATGTGTAAACGTTAACATATTTCTGAATATCCGAAAGATACTTTTTTCCTTTCCTTGCTGTTCAGAGTTCGAAAATTTCTCACGTAGGCCAAGCGAGCGCAACTCTCCGAACAGACTTTAAATATATCCATAACTTTAGTTAACAAGCTAGAAAGAGAGAGGGAAAGATAGAGGGGTAGACAGAGAGAGAGAGATAGATAGTGCTGAGTGCTTGCTGAAGCTGTGTCTTCTTATCTGCTCGCCCACAATGTGTGTCATTCATGATAAGGCAGCATTTAGAATTGCCTTTCTATAAAGATGCAACTGTTATACTGATACACACATACATGCATATATATGTGTATATTTTATATATTCACATTCAATTCCTGCTAACTTTCATATATATATACGCGCACTGCCATGACTAATTAAGCAAAACTCAATTTCTCAGCATAAAAATTTGCCGACAACTTTGTAAAAGGATTGCTGAAACAGTTTGTTGCGCATCTCTTGGATATGTGTGCAGTGCGGCCAATTGGGTATATTAGCTTGCACATGCAACTTGTAGAACGGCGTAGGAATGTGTATGTACAGTGTGAGTGTGCAGTAGCTTAAAGCTTTTCTCTCTTCTTACTTATAGCTAACTTTGGAACATTTCTTTATTGAGTTGAGCTATTGGACTTTAGATTTTTGAGTAAGTTAAGCATATGTATATAAGAAATCAAAAAAAAATAATTACTATACTTACTCTACTATTAAGTTTTGTCTACTAAATACTATGCTATATAAAAATGCTTTGTGTGGATCCTTTGCTAAATGTTTCTGCATCATTTCAAGTCAAGATTTACTCTAAATACAAATCTCCATAGATAACGTAATTTCTTTTTATTTCATTTTCGAGATTCATTTCATTTATTAAAATGTTTTCTTTTCCCGTTCTAATAGCCTTCGTAGATCAATGAGCTAAGCTTTGGCTTCTACGTTAACAGCTACTGAGGACAGGAGCTTTAGTCATAGAAATCATTCAAATAATTGACAAGTATTCAATATTTGCACAATCCGCCCTAATATATATATGCATATTATATTTTTATATTATATTTCTTATAAATTAACTCTGTAACTAAAACTTCAGTGTTCATTCTGAGCTCAATTTTTTCTGTATCTATTTCCCTGCTTTTTTGATTTGTTCATTTCACGCAAGGATATTCATTCGTTCACATATGTTTTATCAGCTCAAGTTGTTGTTGCTTTTTGTATCTTTGCTGCGCTTCGCTTTTTCGATTTTGGTGCTTTTTGGCCGTGTGAATCATAAGCATTAAGCATAAAACCGACATTTAGCTGATTGATCTTAATAAGAATTCCAGGCCCGGGTGGAGCTTCGTTTTTTGGCTTCGCTCGCTAACGGATTCATGCGGCGGGTCAATAACATTTTGTTGCCAGTGTGTCCATACCAAGCCCCCCACCACTCCCCCAGTTCCCCATTCCCGCCCCTTTTTTGCAGTCATTGAGGGCGTTACTCGGGCTGCGCCTTGCGCAACATAACAAACTTTGTGTTTGTTTGTTTTTATGCTCTTTCACGGCGTGATTGAGGTATATTGGTTTCTGTTAACTGCTTGTCCATCTGCGTATCTCTATTTGTACTTCGAATTTGGAATGTATAATCATGGCAAATTGAAACCTTAGACTTGGAATTTCAAATAAATTCTCAGACATTATCATATCTTGACTTAAGCGAGTATTATACAGTCTGTGCCCGACTACAAAGTTCAGATTTGTTTTTTTTTTGTTTGCATGCATTTCATTGTCCAGTTTTAATAACTCCCCCCGCCCAGTCTCCACTCAGCGAGTGAGAGGGAGAGCGATGAGAACCCAGCCTTTTGGGCCTGTCGGAAATTGAAGTTTGCTTTTTTAAGTTATGTTTCGTTTGGCTGCTTTTGGGAGTTTGGGTATACAAATATCAGAAATAATTGGATTGTTCTGTACATATGTGTATATAGAAACATATATTGGAATCTGAGCGTTTGGAGCTCGCAAATGTTGCGATGCGGAGCGGATGTCTGTTGCCCAATTCACGATTGAAAAGCGTCGCCAAAAGTGCAAAATTTGCAAAGCTAATGCCAAAGGCGTTGAGAAAGGGGGGCGAGCGGTCTTTATCCCCATTTTGTGGAGTCTGGGGCATTCTAAGAACTGTTGCATATTTCATTCACTTACATAAAAACAAAAAATCGCTTTTAAAGTCAATTTCATGTAGATGCTGTGTAGCTGAATTACTTGCTGCGTACCAGTGTGCACACTGGGCGCATGCTATTTATCTACACATGTTCACACGCGTACATACATTTTGGCAAACCATTTTTAACTAATATTTATTTTGCAGCATTTCGACAAATGGCAGCGACAACCTGTTTAATGAAATCCAATCAAATATGTCTGACACGCAAATTGCGATTTTTTTTCTAATTGTTTTTTTTGTAGAAATATTCACTGCTTAGCCAGTGGCTAGGGGTGTATTGGTTGTGAGTGCTATGAGACTAGTTTTTGAAGCTGTTGAAGCTTGGTTTTAGAGGAATATTTGAAGGACATATAGTACTTTTATGATTAATACTAATACTACTGCTGTTGCTGCTGCTACTACTATTAATGCATAGTTCCACTACTACTGCTACTACTACTTTTAATGTGTGGTAAAGCTACTACTGCTACTACTATTAATGTAGAGCTCTACTATATACTATATATACTGTATATATACTGTACTTTTACTACTACTTCTACTATTTCTACTATTTATTACTACTAATGCAAATACTTTTAATGAGCAGTTTGACTCCCACTTCTACTACTTCTAATTATCCAACTATTTATTACTACTGCAAATACTACTACTAATTCTATACTACTACTGTTGCTGCTGCTACTACTATTAATGCATAGTTCTACTACTACTGCTACTACTACTTTTAATGTGTGGTAAAGCTACTACTGCTACTACTATTAATGTAGAGCTCTACTATATACTATATATACTGTATATATACTGTACTTTTACTACTACTTCTACTAGCCCTACTATTTATTACTACTAATGCAAATACTTTTAATGAGCAGTTTTACTCCCACTTCTACTACTTCTAATTATCCAACTATTTATTACTACTGCAAATACTACTACTAATTCTATACTACTATATATTATTACTATCATTTCAATTTACTACTACTTCTTACTACTTACTACTACTTCTACTACTACTACTAATTCTATTTGACACTTCTGCTACTATATCCCACTTCTACTGCTATTTATTGCTACTACTATTACTACTTCATCTATTCACTACTACTGCTAATGCTACTATATACAACTACTACTCTTATTACTACTAGTACTACTCCAAACAGCAATTACTTAAATATTAATACTGATACTTATACTATTTTCTGCTACTATTCCTGCTACGCCCTACTTTCAATACTTACAAAAGAGATTCTTCGAGTTTCGATTAATTAAAACAGTTTACAATAAGCAGAGCATGCTGCAGTCCTTTACAGTTGTTCCCCAAAGTGTTACGCATTGCGCCATAAATTGGCGACATTGCGACATTTTCGTTTCGTAATGTCTGGCGTCTAGCAATCGAATTAAATCAAATGCAATCGACTCTCACAACAATTTTTAATATATTTACGTTTAGATTTATATATATATATAGATATATATATATATTTTTTATTTTTATACACAAACCGGAGCACAGGTTTGGCCTATGTCTGCAGTTCAAATTAAACACAATTTAAGTAAAATTGAAGAGCTTCTGCTGCCACAGCCTTTTACTACTAAGTAGCGCACTTGATCAGATACCACGCCCCCAGCACCCAGCCCCCCAACAAGCTAACACAGCCTTCACTCTGCTGCCCTTTATTATGCTTTTGTTTGTTGTTTTTTTTTGGCTTTGCGTTTTTTTCTGTGTGCAAACAAAAGGCGTCTAGATTACGTCTACGTCGTCAGCAGACCCGAAAACCCAGACAGACGCTGCCTCAAGCTTTCAGCTGTGCCCCTATCTTTGTCTCTCTCCACAGTATCCCTCTCTGCCTCGTTTCTGGTTGCTCGTCTCCGTCTGGAAATTGGGTTCGCCTTGTCTGCTTTTTGTCTGCGGCTGCGTCCTTAGCCATTCTTTCGTCTTGCTCTGCTTCTTCAACTTCTGCTTCTTCTTTTGTAGATGTTAGTCAAGTTTTTATTATTTTCCTTAATCTGTTTTTTTGCTTAGGTTTATTGTTTGGATTTTGCATTTGATATCAGTTTTCGGCACATGGCTCGTCTGCCTTGGCCGTTGTTGTCCGCTGTCGTCGGTTGTGCCTATAAGAAATCAAAAGTGCTTCAAGCTGTGTGAATTTCAGATGGAATGACTTAAGACGCCTTCAAAAATTAGATTCATTAAGTAAACTATTAGAGATTAATTAAAAGTAATAAGAAAAATATTATTCCATTGAGACTTTAAGTTAGTTTATGAGAAATCTTAAAAAATATTTATAAAATTTAATTTTAACTTTTATTTAAAATTTATTTATTATATATCATTTGTTTCTTTTTATGTATATATATTTACTTTTACAGTTTTTTTAAATATTTTCTGAAATTATTAAATATAGTTTTAGGATGTAGGTTTTTTTGTAAATATATATAAATTGCGTTCTAGAAATTTTAGAATTCTTTACTTTTTTAAAAAAATTAAGAAAATAACTTCCTATTCTTTTTATTTAAAAAATATTTTTTCCTTCTCAGAAATTTAAAAAATATTTTTTAAAAACTACTGCCCATCTTTCTATCTAAATTTTGCATAGTTTAAATTTGCCACACAATCTGCAGAAAAAACACACACAAATACACATTTATAAACATATCACACAAATCATGTCTGGATCTTTATTGTGCGACTGACCTTGAATTTATGCAAATTGCTCAAGTGGGAAACAAACTTTTTGTCAAATTGAGAAATCAACCAAAAAAAAAGAACAGAGAAAACGAGCCGCATTTGATTCAGAGAGGCCTTGACATTGAGCTGCAGAAGGGCTCGCCTGTTATTATATTATGTGATATCATCGCAGTTAGACAGAATGAAATATTAGCCTATTATAAACATAAACAGTTGTTTATATAGTAAATAACTGACTTAAGTCATTCAGTATTCACTTTACTTAACACCCAATGCAATCCGATCTGATCAATGCTTCTCTTCTCTTTCTCTCTCTCCGTCACACTCTCACACTGTTTCCCTAAAAAGCAGGCACACAATGTATTCATATATATACACTTATGCCATACAGCTTATATATACTTTTACTCCTTACATGTGCCACAATGAGCAACATCGCAAATTAATTACAACTTAAACATAACTTACAAAAAAGGAAGAGTTTTTCTTTGTAAGTAACCAACCGAAAGATACTCTGTAAATCTCTAAATCAATAATTTTTTGCTTATTAGACAATTTCCATCTTTACTTTACTCTTGAGCCATGAGAGTCACATAGAAATCCCATTACATTCAAGAACTCTAAACGCACATCTTATGATACCCACGCGAGGCAAACAAGTGCTTAAAGGGTATTCAAAATCTCCAAAAAAAGCATAATAAGCATCTGGGTACGGTCCCGGGACTGCGTATCGATAACCCTTATCAAATGTGCGGCATCTCGAGGCGAAAAATACAAATTATGCTGCTTACAAACAAAAAACGAAACAGCGAAATGCCAAAAGTATACAAAGTGCAGCTGTGTGTGTGCGTGTGTGTGTGTTTATGTATTTGCTTTGCCATTGGGACTCGGTTGAACGTTTTTGCCTTTGGGCCCACCGTCAGAGCTGTGGGCGTGGCACTCTTAAATCCCAAACGCCCCGCACTAAAAGCTAAAAAAAAATTCCGAATTGTGAGATGCAAATTATGCGATATGGAAAAGTTCGATCAAATTGCAGTAATTTTCCCCGATGAGCGCTACCCAAGAAGTTACAAAGTAATGCTCAAGCGATTAAGTTGAACAACAAATTTAGGTAGCCGTCTACATAAATGATTTTCAGACTTTATTTACTTATTATAAGTGGACACGTGCTCTGAGCACATATTTTGCATGAAAGATATACTTATGTGGTTTTTTTTTAAACTAACCACTGAAAGATACTCTGTATTTTTGGAATTTCTGTCGATTTATTAGGCCATGAGAAAGTTACTCAGTGCTTGACTGGAAGATAATGTCTGATCTTACGCAATTGGGGAAGGGTATTAAAACCTGTTAAACTTTTTATAACTAGGCACTGGGACAGATCTGCCTTTGCCTGTTACATACACCTGCTCAAAAACAGTATAGCCTTTCTCTCCATCTTGATTGGGTGCCATAATGGAATATATACTTCTCATATCTAACATTATTTCTAAATTGTCTTGATTTTCGTTTCAAATATTTAGCTCTTCAAAAAATATTAAAGTCTGTGCTTTATGAATCTGAAAAGGTTTTTACCAAATTCTCAAAAGTGCAAGCAAAATTTTGTGATTAAAAGAGACGAATAGGAGCAGAGGGAGATAAACTGTTGAAAGCTTTGTGTTGTCTATTGAGTAAGCAGAGATCCATGAAAATGTCAAAGTGTTCCCGCTTGCAACAGGAGATTCAGCTCTTGCGAAATGAGTTGGAAATGATACGGGCGGAGCGGGATGAGCTCTCCCGGCAGCATGGATCCCACTTTCAGCTGTGCACCGGATGTGAGGTTTCTGCGAAGAAACCTGCTCACAATGTGAGTGGCAGCAAAACTCCCAATCAAGAATTATATATTGCTTATTTGGAGGATCAGATTCAGAGGACACGTTTTATGTACAAGAAGCAAATGGGTGAAGTAAAATGCAGTGCCGGTCTATTGGAGACGAAACTGCAGAATGTTCGAATGGAAATGAGCTACATCAGCGAAAAGGCCCAGAAGGTGGACCAGCTGCAAAAGAGCATTAGGGAGCTGAAATCGAAGTTAACTCGTAGAGATTCGATTATAACTCGCTATAATGAGCAGCATGCTGCCTTTTTGGATTTGATAAACGCTTTGGATAGTGGATCAAATAGCCAGAAGGACGTCAAAAGGCAATTTCAAAATTATTTTGATTTTAAGAATAGTGGCGGCTGTGCAGCAAATGGAAACAATTCGGTAATTCGATTAAGATGCAAACCTAGCGAATCATTGAATTTTCCATGCTTAGGCACAGCACTTAGAAGAAAGTTGGCACGTAATTAGCTTTATATGTCTTGTGTGTTACACTTGATGACGCTATCATTAACGGCCATTTGAATCTATGTATTTATATTGTGTATTTTGACGTACGTAAATTTTAAAAGTTAAGATTAAATTTCAAAAAAAATAGTAAAAAAATAGCTAGTGTTAATGGGAAAAATTGTTTCTAGTTTATATAATACTCTTTGTGGGCTATCATTAATGAAAACTCCGCTCAGAGCGGAACTTCGGTCAGCAATTCGTTTCTGGAATTTCGTAGAATTTCACTGACTCCAAGTTCATTGACAATTTTACCTTCTGGGTTATTGCACTGCAATTCACGAAAATATATATTGTATAATCAAGGTCTGACTGTTGTAATTGAAGAACAATTGTAATGGTTCGATTTTATTATTCTGTTTGCGAATTTCCCTAAATTTTAATTCAATTTTATACATATATATTTTATATTCTTCAAAATATTTATTCTTTTAAACAATTCTGCAGTAGTTTTTATCAGAGCTAATAAAGAATAAAAGGTTCGCCAGATCGATAATTCCAAAAGGATTTGAATCTTATAAAAAAGCCACCGACATAGAAATAGAAGCTAGTTTAAAATATTCGTATAAGAAAACGGTTTACAGATTCGATTACTTAGTCAGATCCAAGCCAACTTGAGCCGGACTATATAAAAGTAGCTCAAATGGTTTCTTATAAAAGAAGGGTTCGCAGACTTAGTAGAACAAGATCTTATACAAACGTCTTATAATACAAAAATCTGAATATATACATAGCATACTAACAGATATGTACAACCATCTGTGAAAACGAACAATTGCATAGCATCACATCAGCTATTAAATAATTTGATTAAATTTACAACAATTTCATCTTATTTTGCAGTTTACCAAATGGTAAAAATGTCACGTTTCGATTGGACTTTCTTGACAGCAATAAGTAAGACGCGCTAGCGTTTACGTTTACTTTGTTCGTCGTTGCATTCAGTGTATCCTAATGCAAAATTTGTGCTAATAAGCACGTAGCATATTTCCCATAAATACTACCAGCACCTAGTCCGAAAATGGCGTAGGTCACGCCTCCGAATGCCTATTGAATTCTAATGGGCAAAGCAGCGATTGCACCAGGAAGTGCGTGCAACAAGCAATCGTTGGTCAATTGAAGTTATTTGTGGCAAACATAAACCAAATGCCAATTGAAATTGATTGAGCGTAGTTGCAACTGATGAGAATTATAAAAAATAAGAAAAAGAACTAGGTCAAAAGTTCAAAGAGTGCTCAATAGAATTATTAATAGGTAATTAATTGCATCACAACTTCTACTTGATTCACAAGCTTATCTTTCAATATACTGTGATTCAAAATTTTATGACGAAATTGGCCGTTACGCAGATATAGATTTGACAAGCGCTAAACAAGTTCAATCGGCCTTTATGTACAATTAGTATGCATAATATTTGCGTTCAAATTTAGGTGTGTATTTTATGACAGAGCACAGCGACGACGACCCTGAACCGTTTTTGTAACATGATTTTTTTCGTCGCTGGCGCACAAGTGTGACGTCACTGCCAAGGGGCTCCATTCTAAGAATAAGAACAAAAACAGATTTACGTTTTTTTTTTTCAATCATTATTATTAGTGCTTAGCTAAATTGTGTACATTACATTACATTATTACATTAATTAGCGACTAAATTCGGCAGTATCAACATGTTTTTCTCTTATGTGCCCGAGAAGCTTCGAAAATTGTTTTTCAGCAACAGCACAACAAAGAATATGCCCACAGCAATAGTAAACAACTGGACGTTAATTACTTTCGAGTCGACTAAGGCTTGCAACATATTGTAGATGCTTTCGCTGCGTACCTCGCCTCCACAGCAGTCCATGTATATATAACTAATATTAAGTGCGTTGGTTAATATTTAAAAACTACTGCTATCCTCGCGTTATATGTATGTAAAAATTGAGTTTTTTTGTATGACGAATCAGCTGTTCCAATCGAGTGCTCGCTAGAGTAGTGTTGAAAAGTGTGCCAGGTCGTTTAACATACGGCAACGCTGCCAACAGCTGTTAACTTCAATTAATGTATTCAATATTTACTATTTGAAGTTCTTAGCTTGAAAATACTAAATAAACATTGAAATTTTACAATATCGTAAGCTGAGAATAATGAAATGCATCTCTTAATGAGGACTTTAATTTAGTTGCATTTAACCCTTAAAACTCCAGAAAAACAATTCAAACTAAAAAAAAACAAATCGCACTTCATTGAACTGTGGGTTTGGTTTTATTATTTAGCTTAACATCACTATTCGCTAATGCACACCGATTAGGAGGACAGTTCGTTTATTCGTCATTCTCATAATCAGCAGGATTCTTACGTAGCAAAGCTGAATGCTTGCGCTCGGTCAAATCGAAGATCAAATAACCCAAGATGAAGGCTGCAATGTATACGAGCGTTTATATTAAGAAAGACAACAAATCAACTGATTAACTTACGTGGTACCACACGGAAGATGTTAGAGCGGATGCGACGCACAATGTTGGGCAGACCATGGCTGATGGCACCGGCAAAGGCGCGCTGCTCAAAAGGCGACAGTTTGTAGGTGACAATGCCGTGAACCTTGGCGAGGTTGCCGAAGTGGGCGCCTTTCAGGATCGATGATACACGCATGGTTCAAGCTGTGGACATATACAGGAGAGAGATATTGGTATCGGGCTTACAAACCACATATAAAGCCAACAAGTATTTGTATAAAAACACAAATGGTTATTATAAACATTCTGCACTTAGCCTCAAAGAGGTTATGTAATTTTTGCACTGCGAACGTCTGCAACAGCGGATAGTTGCCTGCACTTATGCTAGCCAATAATGGGTCATATTTATAGTCCCCAGCACTTGACAAATTTTTTGGCAATTATTACGTTAATTATTTACCTTGACAAATCAGAATTTGTGCCTTAAATTAGAAAAAACGTTCAGATGACGTCTGTTTGCTTCAGCTGCTGTTTCTGACAGTGCTATTTAACATCTGTTAAGTTGATGAAAACTGTAAGCATTTCGATGCTTACTTAGATATCGACCTGCCACCACAACATCGTGTAGTTTTCAGCCCGAGCAACAAATACAAGTTGCAAACGCCAACTGTTTGGAAAAAGATTAATTTATTAAATAAAAGCTTATAAAATTCAACAGAAATGGCCGCTAAAGTAGCTAGCAACACAAGCAAGGTATTTCAAAATGTAAGTGAATGATTAGGAATTGTCGGCATACCAGAGTAACCTCACTTTGCACTTACCTGCTGAGCACATTCAAGGCGTTGACTAATCGCATTTATTTATATTTTATGTATAGCACGACGATGTCCACATTTCCTTTGAGGATCAGCAGCGTATCAATCGTTTTGCCAAGCATAATGTGCGCATGGACAACTTGAAAATGGAGCTAGAGATGAAGAAGAATGATCTCAAATGCGTAGAGGAGGCATTGGAAGAAATCGAACTGTTCGATGAGGATGAAGATATTCCTATTTTGATTGGCGAAGTGTTTCTCTCACACAAGCTGGGCAAAACACAAGAACTGCTAGCCGAGACGAAAGAAGAAGCAATCAAGGAAATTGCAAGCATTGAAGCTAAGGCAAAGGTCATCAAGGCGGAGATGGATGATCTTAAGGCCCACCTTTACCAGCGTTTCGGCAGCAACATCTCCCTCGAGAACGACGACTAAAGATCAAATCGCATGAAACTGTTTCATTAAAATATATGTACTAAATTTAATTTAAATTCCGAGCATGATATATTCGTTTTACTACAGCACTAAATAATATATAATCAGTCCAATAATTAGCAATGTAACCAACATGCCTCCCAAAAAGATGCGCCGGTCCTCCACCAACCTGCGCTCGATCAACTTCATTGTGTGATTGGATAACCCCAGTGTGCTGCCAATAGCCTGTATACGCTTATGAGCGCCGCCTAGCGTCATTCTCTGTGATATTAGACTTTCTAGTATGCCACTACCAGAGGCAATCATGTCATCCACACCCCGATGAGCATTGCCCATCTGTGTGTGATGCTGTAGCTCGTAATCCAATTGAAGGCAAGTCTCCGATGGCGCAGTGCTGTTTGCAGCGAATCTATGGTTGAGTAACTGCTCCCGTTCGCTAATCTCCTGAAGCCGACGCTGTCGACGATCACGTGCGTGCTGCAGTGATGTTTGCAAATGCCTCAAATCATATTTAAGCTGATCTATCCGCAGCTTTGAGCTCTGCCGCTGTGAGGGCGGCACCTTGAATAGCAATACATCGAGTCGGTCGCAGTTACTATTAAAATGTAACAAATTTAATCAGCTGTTAGGGATGCACGACAAGGTGACTCACGAATTGGCTTGGGTAATTTTAACTTGTATTGCATTCTCCACGTCAAGCGCTTCCTGAGGTGTAATTTGGCCAAGTCGTTGAAAGCATTGCTCAATTTCCTTGACCGTGTTATTTGTTTGGTGGTACAGCGTTTCCATTAGAGCATTCGTTAAGATAGTTCGTTAATTATTTAATTAACTGTAGAATGAACACGTAAAAAATGATTCGTTTCAAAAAGCTGACGCGTTGCATATAGTCCAATTGGCTAAGTGCGTTGCTATCGTTTCAACTTATCGGTAATCGATATTTAGTGTCACCTGCCGTCTAAAGGTCTGGCAACGCTATCTCAAGAAAATGTGCTAATTAAAACCATACCCAAGTGTGCGACCAAAGAATGCGCTAAAATAAGCCAAAACACACACACACTCTAGGATAAACCACAATGGCGCATACATCTAGTACCGGCGTTGGTAAGAATTTTATTTGAAAAATTAACAATTTGGCCAGGAATTTGATTAAAAGCACGTGCCCGCGAGCACTGCCAAGATGTTGGCAATATTTGGCCATCAAAGTGTGCGAAAGTGCGACATAAAACGAGTGCGCAAAACGTCTTTTTTTATTGAACGATGACGGGCCGCTGCCTCGGCGCTGCCACTGCCCCGCAGATCTGTGTGAAAATGGAAAAGAAAGCAAATGGCAAAAAAAAGTCCGATAAAACGCGAGCATGCATTAATTCATATTGAAAAACAAGCGAACAGACTCTGGTGTTGCGTTTGTCTCTCGGTTGCTGTTGCAGTTGCAGTTGCCGTAGCTATGCAGCAATTTTTCTTCGTGACTTGACAATTTCGGTGGGGCCCGCACCCCACACACACACACACGCACACCCCCTTTGCCGTTCAATGTGTCCCTTTTCAATTGTATGTGTTTTTTTGCTCGTTTGCTCAGCCACTTGGTTTTATGCTCTGCCTTTGCTGCTAACCAAAGTGCTTCTTTAATTTCTAATTAAATTAGTTAGCCTGCTGCTGTGGCTGCAAGTTTTGCATATTGCGCATAATATATTTAGCATTTGCCTGCAAATTATGTTGTGTGTGCAAGAGGGAAGGAGTTGGGGGAGCAATGTCGGCTGTTGGAGCTAACCAGGCAACCAACCAACTAACCAATACCACACCCTACGTCCGTCCGGCATTCGTATTTAATTTTTTCTTCTACTTACGAAAGTGAATGCAAAGCAAAGGAAAAACAACGCAAGACACACTGGCCAACAACAACAAGAACAGCAACAATATGAGTTTCAAGCAGAAGAAGAGCGCGAAGAGAACGTCTACTAAGAAACACATGACCCCCTCGCGCTAAAAACACGCTTTATGTCTTAATTACAACCTTCGGCCCATGCAAAGTTAAATGGAAATTTATAGTTGCCTAATTCTTATTGGTTTTCAGTGGTGCCACGAAATTTCCGCTTACTGGAGGAGCTGGATCAGGGCCAGAAGGGTGTAGGCGATGGCACCATATCGTGGGGTCTGGAAAACGACGATGATATGACACTTACCTATTGGATTGGCATGATTATTGGCCCCCCTAGAGTAAGTGTACCCAACTAACTGCTGACTGCAAGCGTCATCATACTCCATCTACGTCATGTATTAATAAACTGCGTAACGAATGGGAGTCTTATCAGTCAGGATTATTGTTATTATAGATATTGTGTAGACATAGATATTGTCGATATTGTATTTAATCGATTGCGTAAATTCAAAACATGTCAGCGTGAAAACTATGCAAATTGTAATTAAATTTATTAACGAACATGAAAACTGACTTAAATGAGGCAAGAAATTTTATAGCCACTTTTCTTTAACGATATTTTGATATGTAAAAGTAAACTGAGAATTTGAAAGTTTATAGTTCACGAAACAGCTGCGAAGTAGAGTGTGACAAGAGCAGGGAGTTTCTATTTTTCAAATTCCTGTTGAGCAAATGTCAGTAAAAATAAGTCTAAGCTGTCGAATAAGTAAAGCCAACAGGCTCAACAAACTGAAAACTAACTAGATTTATAGCCTCACTTCAGTTGTGTTATATAAAAAAGCTTGCAAACACATTCTATTAGAACTGTTGATAACAAGAATTAAAAGATAAGCTCTATGCAATGAATCTTTTTGGGTGACAACAACAAGAAATTTTAAAATTAATTTGTATTGGCTTTTAGAAACATTTAAGTTATTTAAATACACAATGAGTCTAGTATGAATCACGAAGTATTGCAGTGGCAGCACACGCTGAGTCATCGAAAGAGTATGAGAGCCTGTCCGGGTAATAATTGTTCGTTCGTGGTAGGACAGAAATGAGATACAGACTTGCATTTTGTATAATCGCTAGTCATTAAGTGCATATTTCTAATACATACTCACTCATTCGCATGACTTGGTCTTTCTCTTTTCTAGACACCATTCGAGAATCGAATGTATTCACTAAAGATCGAGTGCGGCGAACGTTATCCGGATGAGCCACCAACGCTCAGATTTTTAACAAAAGTTAATATAAATTGCATTAATCAGAATAATGGTGTGGTAAGTAGAATATCGGTCACCAAATTTATATGGATAATCTCAGCAGTTGTGTTTTCTGTAACAGGTTGATCATAGATCAGTGCCCATGTTGTCCAGATGGAGTCGCGAGTACACCATTAAAACGATGCTTCAGGAAATACGTAGGATTATGACCATGAAAGAGAACTTGAAGTTGGCTCAACCGCCAGAAGGTAGCTGTTTTTAGTTGGCAACAACGATAAGAACAACAACAGCAACAACAACCTACAACCACAACAGCAACAACAACAAACTGCAGCAGCAACAACAACAACAACTGCATTACACACAACTGCAACGGCAACAGCAACAACAACACCAACAGCTGCTTTCAGCTGAGTGCTAATGAGTGTAAGAGGCGTGTGCCGGCCATTGGTAAGTCGCCTCAATCCTCCAGAGAGTTGTGTGTAATGTGGGAGAGAACCGAGAGGGAGCCTAATAGCTGCAGTATTGTTATTGTTTTTGTTGTACTTCTTGAATGTGTGTGTGTGTTCAGCAGCAGCAAGAACTAAAGCAAAATATCTATACTATAAGTGTAAACAACAACAACAACAGCAAGAAGAAGAAGCAGGAAAAGAACAGCCAGAGCAAACGTCACTAATATATAATAAATGGTCGTCATCCCTTCAGTCATCGAGCGTCGTACGAATATCATCATGTTTGGTTACAAAACACATTCTTAACTAAGAAATAAAACAACAATTAAACTCAACGTAAAAGAATGAATAAGAGAAAAAACAACAAACACACACTTACACCCTTGTTAAAAAAGGATACACTTATAATTTTACTCCAGCAATTTACAAAAAAAAAGATAAAAAAAACTAAAAAAAAGCAAATCCGTATAAGTTAAAAATTCAGCGAGTTCTGTTTTCGTTGCAGCGAAGAAGATGAAACGTAATTATTGTTTTGCATAACTAAAAAATTTATTAATTATATATATATATATACAAATTTAAGCGAATTTTTTGTAGTAAAAACAAAAACAAAAAAAGAAACAATGAACCGAACCGAGGTAATTGTAACAATTTAATTAGTTTTCCTTCTTCTAAATGGGACGTGAGACACGATTTATAAACCTCGAAACATTGCGGTAAATATATGAAAAACAAACTTTTAAAACAAACAAATAAAAACACACACACACATACATACACACTAAACTGATGAACAAGTCGAACGGGCAGAACGATGAAAAAAATGATTAAAATAATATTTTAATTTAAGCTTCTAAATAAAACAATTAATAATCCAATAAAAAAGAAAAGCCAAAACGCGTTTGAAGTGCGCATCAGTCGTAATAGGTTGCCCATTTAATTCGAAATTTCTTATAATATATTTAATAATATTAATATATTATAATACAATATAATGTCTGATCCTCAAAATTTCAAAACCAATCTCGACTGATCCACCTTAGAATATTCTTGTCCGACTTATATTTTATCAAGCAGCTGACAGAGGAGGTCTGTAAATATGTAGATATTTACTGAGTAGCTGTATATATATATATATATATATATATATATATATACGTATATATTAATATTTATATATATACGTATATATTAATATTTATATATATATGACAGATAATATAATGTTTCTGCATTTTGCAGATCAGTTCGATATATAAGAGAGCAAAATTCGAAGTCCAATTTCTGAATATGCCTGAAGCATCACGTATAAAAACTCAAATCATGCTCGGGTTTTATGTTTTCAATTGTTTATTTAAATACATAATTTGAATTTAAGATTTATACACAATACATGTAATAGTATCCATGATTCATTTTGTCTAGGCTCTTTGCTTTCGTCCAACTTCCCGTTTTTTCCTTGATGTCCTTTGATCTTCATCCATTTTATATACTAGGAATTTTGGTATTTTGTTTATTCTGTTCTGGCATGTTATTTGTTATTAGCTGTTACTCTAATTTCTTTAATTGAACTTTGTGTCTGTGTGTTTGTGTTGTGTGTGTGTGAACGGACATTTTTTTTTGGGTTTATGCTTAAACTTGATTTATTTTTTATTAGTCGATAAAGTCGCATTAACACTGCAGTTCTTCACGCCAAATCAAATTCAAACAAATCTCTACTTCTCCTTGGGCACAAAGACGATCTTTCGGGACTTGAGCGAGGACCACTTGTGTCGCTTAATGTAATACGAGATGGCAGTCAGGAAGCCAAGAATGCCAATCACTCTGATCAGCAGCTGCTTGCGATCATCATGCTCCGGCTCCGATGTCCACTTGAGGAACGTGGCCACATCTTTGGCCAATTGACTCTGTGTTGGCGGTGTGCCATCCTCATACTCAATTACCTGATCGACAAATAGTTCAGAATATTAATACGGTTGAAACAAGATTAGTTAGATGTATGCCTACCTCATTGTACAAGACCTGGGCCATGGATATGGCACCGCCCGGGAAGTACGGATTGAAGTACTGGCCCTCGCGTAGCACGACACCAGCTGGCGCATCATGGTAGCCAGTCAATAGCGAAAAGATGTAATCCTCGCCGCCCTTGCGCGCCGAAACGATGTAGCTCAAATCTGGTGGATAGGCACCGTTGTTGGCAGCACGAGCCGCTTCCTCGTTGGGATACGGCGATGGGAAGTAGTCCGACAGCTTGCCGGGACGGTCAAAGTAGTTGCCGGTATCATCAGGACCGTCTCTCACCTGAATCAATTCCAATGTTAAGACGAAATTTGGTAATATTCAATGATTTCTTACCGTGATCTGCTCAGCCTCGGCCTTGGCCTGCTCTTCGGTATGGCTGACGCCAACCAGATTACGGTAGGCAATGTATTGCATCGAGTGGCAAGCAGAGCACACCTGCTTGTACACCTCATAGCCTCGACGAATGCTGCGATCAATACAAATCAATTGCTGTGTAGAGCTAGGCTTTCGCTATCGCTATATTTGAATTACGCACCTCTGGTGATCCAGCGAGGAGAAGAGACCCCTATGGGACCAGGGCTGAGCGGGTGCATGCACCTCACTGCCGGATGCCTCCACCGATTGCTCCAGAGCAAACAGCAGAGCACCAACGCCGCCGGTAACAGCGCCGATAGCACCGATCAGCTGTTCGCGACACGCACACAACAAATATCGGGCGTCGAGCGTTGATCGAAATGAAAAAAAAAATAAGTAAACGCAAATTTGAGGTTAGGTCCGTTCGGGTATTATGAAATGCTCGGTGTCCATTTGGTGACTTGTGATTACCTTTTTGTTGTTGCTTGCCCAGCTTGAAGTTGAGGACAGGTTCTTGGCCTGTGAAAAAAGAGAGTATTGATTATGTTTAACAGCTCTGCAAAAACTGCACGTATGGGTTTTTGCATGGAGTTACATAATTGTGGGTCGAGTGTAATCTACCGTTGCACTTGGGGTAACAAACATTTAAATCATCACAGACGATGCACAGTTTTTGGGTCATTCAATGCTAACTCACTTTGACATGGACATTGGATGCAAAATTAATGTTGTAATGATTGTGAGCTTGATGGTTTGTTTAGCGCGTTATGGAAAATTTTTTTGTATGATGTTTGTTGGATGGGCGGGTGGCTGTGTGCTTTACCTGTTGCAGATTCAGAGCTGGCGTAGATTTCAGCAATCTCAAGCCATTGAATCTTCGCAATGTCGCTGCCATTCTGGCCGGAGTACAATTTTATGCGTCTGGTCGTGTAAGGAAACTTAAAGGGCAGCGCGAATCTATCTATTCCACTGGCACTGAGTCGCTCGCTTCTCGCTGGCAGATGTTTACTCGCTGATCGATTGTTCAGTCGTTGTATTTAACACAAGCTACTCCTCTTTAGGTAACAGAATGTGCTCCTCCGTACGCACGCCCACGCAGTTTACAGTGACTGCTCCACATCTAACAGCAGCTGCTCCACACTTAACATAAACCACGGTTGAACGTATTACAGTTTGTGTAGCTTGACAGACTGCTTACACTGTTATTGATTATATTTTCACAGTAGCAGCTGCATGCTTAACATAACAGACTGCTGACCTGATATTATAACAGCAACTGCAGCTTACTTAACATTACGAACCTAGGATATTTTTTACATACCTGTTTACACTGCTAACATAATTGGACTTAACAGCATTTACTCCTCCGTGAACATAACAGGTTGAACGCCCCCGCAACTCCACACGCAGCCTCACAAAGTGCGGCCACACTGTCTAAATTTTGCAATTATTATTAGCAGACGACTCATAGCAACGGTGCATAAACAAATGTGAAGAAAAACGCTTTTCATTGATTTCCACAAGCGCGTACCTCTCCGAACATTTTGAATTGTTGTTAGCCGTTAAGCAAAAGTGGAAAAAATGCCGCAGGAGCAATCAACGGTGACTGCATCGCAGCAGCTCGATGACGAAATCGAAAATGTTCGCGTTGTTGTCCGCTCCAGACCGATGGACAAGAATGAGCTCTCCGCCGGAGCAGTGAGCGCGATTCAGGTGGATAACATCAATCGTGCAATCACCGTTATCAAGCCTAATGCCACCGCCAACGAGCCACCGAAAACATATTACTTTGACAATGTATTCGATGGTGGCTCCAATCAGCTGGACTTGTATGTGGATACGGCTCGCCCGATTGTCGACAAGGTGCTGGAGGGCTACAATGGCACCATCTTAGCTTACGGACAGACAGGCACAGGAAAGACATACACCATGTCCGGTAATCCTGACTCGCCACAGACCAAGGGCATCATACCGAATGCATTTGCCCACATCTTTGGGCATATAGCCAAGGCTCAGGAAAATCAAAAGTTTCTGGTGCGCGTCAGCTACATGGAGATCTACAATGAGGAGGTGCGCGATCTGCTCGGCAAGGATGTGAGCAGGAGCCTAGAAGTGAAAGAGCGTCCGGACATTGGCGTCTTCGTCAAAGATCTCAGCGGCTATGTGGTGCACAATGCGGATGATCTGGAGAACATTATGCGGTTGGGCAACAAGAATCGCGCTGTGGGTGCTACTAAGATGAACCAGGAATCCTCGCGCTCGCATGCCATCTTCTCCATCACCGTGGAGAGCAGCGAGTTGGTCGAAGGAGGCATGCAGCATGTACGAATGGGCAAGCTGCAGCTGGTGGATCTGGCTGGCTCCGAGCGTCAGTCCAAGACGCAGGCAAGTGGTCAGCGGCTGAAGGAGGCTACCAAGATCAATCTGTCCCTTTCGGTGCTGGGCAATGTGATCAGCGCGCTGGTGGATGGTAAAAGTACGCACATTCCCTATCGCAATTCGAAGTTGACTCGGCTGCTCCAGGATTCACTTGGAGGCAACTCAAAGACGGTGATGTGCGCCACGATTAGCCCAGCGGATTGCAATTATATGGAAACCATTTCCACGCTTCGCTATGCGAGTCGGGCCAAGAACATACAGAATCGTATGCACATCAATGAGGAGCCGAAGGATGCGTTGCTGCGGCATTTCCAGGAAGAGATTGCACGACTACGCAAGCAGCTCGAGGAAGGTAACTTTGAAGACGAGCTGCTGCCCAGTGGCGAGGGCGAGGATGAAGAAGACACCGGTGACGATGAGCTGGAGGCGCCCTTAGAGATTGAACTGGAGTCGGCGGCTTCGACTGCAGCCAGTCCCACTGGCAAGAAGATTAGAAAGAAGCGCGAAAAGACAGACGAGGAGAAGGAAGAGCTGGCCATGCGTAAGAGCGAGCATTTGCGTGAAATCGAACACGCCAAGACGGAACAAGAGCTGCTGCGCAACAAGCTCGTCTCGCTGGAGGGCAAAATTCTGGTGGGTGGCGAGAATCTTCTAGAGAAAGCGCAAACCCAAGAAAAGCTGCTGGAGCAGTCAATTGCGGAGCTGGAGGAGCGCGAGAAATCTGAACAAGCATTGCGGCAAACGCTTGAGCAAAAGGCGACCGAGCGCATTGACATCGAGGAACGGTACTCTACGCTGCAGGATGCCAGCACCGGCATCACCAAGAAGATCCATCGGGTCATGCAAATGCTGATGGGCGTCAAGTCGGAGCTCGCTGATCAGCAGCAGGAGCACCAGCGCGAGAAGGAGGGAATCTATGAGAACATACGCAGTCTCTCGCGGGAGCTGGCGCTCTGTGAGCTGGTGCTCAACTCCTATGTGCCCAAGGAGTACCAATCCATGATAAATCAGTATACGCACTGGAACGAGGATATTGGCGAGTGGCAGCTCAAGTGCGTCGCTTACACTGGGAACAACATGCGCAAGCATATTGAGCACAAGAACAGCGGCAAGGAGCCCGAATATGTTGATCTCTCTCATGTCTATCTCAGCTATAATACGGACGCTGTAGCCACTCCCATGGGCGCCAAGTCGGCACGTCCACGCACCTCAGGTGTGCCGCGTCCCACAACGGCGCGACGCTATTGAAGCCGTCAGTCTTCAGTCCAGATGCAGGTCCCAGTGCCAGGAGTCCATTGTCTGGGCGGATTTCGAGCACAGTTTTGGTTTTTTTTGTTGCTGTTTTTGATTTTTTACGCTTTAAAATTCCTTGCTCAGCGAATATCTGCTCTCAACTGTATTATATGATTTCTTGTTAATTTATTTTATAATTATAGGTGTCTGCAATAGTTACTATTAATATTTTTTAGGTTGAACAACGGTGCAATATGCTTAATTTTTATGTAATTCTAATTTATTGTATCTCACTTAGCAATAACACTTTTACAAACAGTCACGGATTGCATAAGATAATATGCGTGCTTTTGGCTTATAAATAAAATCATTTATTAATAAATGTTTTTCTTCTCGTTCTTGTTGAATAAATAAAAATTCTCAACTGGAAGTGCTAAAAAGTGTGCTACAACTTCTGCTCTTTATAAATTGTGCAACAAAACTGAAATTTGGCTCGGAGAATAACAACTGGTTCCATAGTGTAGCGGTTATCACGTCTGCTTTACACGCAGAAGGTCTCCGGTTCGACCCCGGATGGAACCATCGGATTTTTTTTTGTGAATATTATATTTTAAATTTTACCTGGTTCCAAAATAGTCAAAAAAAATAAAACAATAAAAGCAAAATTAGTATTTGATGATATATACTAATTTAAAAAATATTTTTAGTTTTTATTATATTCGTTCCCTTACATTAAATATATATTTCTTATATAAAATTAAATTGTAATTAAGTTGTATTTTAATAACCATTTTTAGAAAAAGCATCTATAAAAAAGTAAAAAAGAAACCCACATGGTTCCATCCGGGATCGAACCGGAGACCTTCTGCGTGTAAAGCAGACGTGATAACCGCTACACTATGGAACCAGTTGAACGGAGCCTGTTTAGATGGCTTCTTGAGCTACTGGAAAGAATTTTCGTAAGTTTTCAAGAGAATGATTTCAAATTTGTATAATAAGGAAGTTTGCCAATATTAAATTTACACATTTGTAAGGGAAATAATTAAAAATCTTAATTTAGTGCGGATGTCATAATTTTAACATGTTATTATATTTTATTTATTAATCGCAGAGAAGAAAAGAGCAAAGAGAAAAGCCTGATAAGTATTATATACGTTGTAACGTTTATACAACTTCCGTTGTTAAAACTTTATGATATTTTCGTAACGCATTACTCATCGTAACTGTTTGTGTTTCGCAATGCAGCACGCTGCCTACCTGCGCCTAAACTGATAACATCCAACTGTACTTTTTCTATTAAAAATACAACAAAGATTATCTATCACACTACCCAAAGCCAATTATCGTCACACGTTTTAATACACGCGTCAGGTATTGGGTGACTTATTGCTTGCTGTTGCCAAAATCAAAGGGGCGTATCCATAAGGCTGGATGTTCCGCTCAATTCGTTCTCTCTCACTAGCTCTGCTTCAGGCTGTGTCAAGTGTGTTATCAGTTGGACGTGACGTCACGATTAACAGTTCAACATACAAACTCAATTGACTGGAAACTGTGAAATTGTAAGACTGGGAGAACAGCTCTCTCTGTTGCTATGTCAATGATCGTTCAATGATTTACTCTCGATCTCGCTCTCGCTCTCTTTCTCTCTCTGTCTCTTTTGCCTATAGCTGTGCAGGGTTGGAGCGACGAAAACGTTACTCAGTGGGTCGCAAATTGAACGTGGCGAGAGTGCGATTACACTGCGCAACAAAAGTTGCATACAAAACTGACAACTCGAACAAAAATAATTGAATATGGGTTTATTAAATTAAGAAATTATTGTAAAAATATTAAACAAAAAAGTAATGAAAATAAATAATTTTAATGAAATATTAAAAAAATAATCAAAACAATTTCAAAATAAAAATATAGTTATTTTAATATATAAATTAATATTTTTAAAAATATATAATATGTATGGGATGTATTGCTTATATACTCTTTTTAATGTAATTGTCATTTAAGGGAAGTGTTTTCGTTTTATTTTAGTAGCATACATTAGATTGTATGTATTTATATAATTTTATTTATATTTATAGTTGCTATATACCGAATATAAAAAATATTTAATATTTCTTACAAATTTCGACAACAAAAACTTCAACTCAAGCAGTCGAGTGTAATTCAGCGGATCGCCTCTCACCGAGCCGATTGGCTATGCAACACTTTTGTTGGATTTCGTTTGAGGGATCTGGTGGTTGGTTTGGTCGGTTGGGTTTGGTTGGCGCTGTGCCGGACGATTTGCTCAGTGCTCAGTTGAAATTTGTTAACGGAGATCGTCGGACGTGTAATTTTGTCGTCCAAGGCGAAGATATCGCAGAGTTTTTCTTTTATTGTTCGTAAACTGTAAATCGTGTTCATTGTCTTTCGATTTCGCATTTATGTGCAATTGCTTCAACTAAAAGTTTATGCATAAAGCAAAAGTGAAGGCGCCATAAGAGCTACACAGTAAATATAAAGATAATATAAATAAAAGAGAAACGCCACGTTCTCGTGCTCTACAAACACATACGCGTGTGTACATACGTATATACATATGCAACATATACACACACAGTGCACAGCATATAATTAGTTAGTTGCCTCGCATAGCATAGCAACAATCGGAAATTTCCTCAGTCAACAGAAGACTCTACACACTTTCTTTAAATATACTATTATCATTTCCACGAGCGTTGAGCGCACTTTGTTAAGTGATTTGAAAGCAAAAAGTCAGAAACTAAATCTCCCAGTGCGGTTCCAATGTAGCCCTTCATGGTTAATTAACACGAGCGCGTTGTGTGACTATATAGCTGTTTCGTGTTAAAACTAAATCTATAAAGGTGTCACATCTTACAAAAAAAAAAAAAACGATTATTATAGTTCACTTAAATACAATTCGTCAACAAATTCCAAACAATCAACAGCGCAAACTTTGCGTGACTCACCAGCCATACACATTTTCCGGTGAGTAGATCACACATAATATATTTCGATCAATCAGTTGTTGACATAACTATGGGTAGTACCTAGAAGTTACTTAATACTCGTTGTCAAAGTGTTAAGGGGCTTGACTACACGCGCGCTCGTCCACTTAAGCAAATATTGCATGCCTGTGGAGAAAGAAACGTGGGTAAACGCCGACACACTCCATGACTATATAACTAGGCTATCTGAAATAAGGTCAATAATTTCATATATAATTCGCACTTCTATTTTTCCTCTGTTTTTGTATATTGTTTGTCTATTTTCGTACGTACGGCAAATGCAAATGCGCATATTCGACGGGCTGAGATTACAGATCAGGGTTTTTTTTTACTTTTTTACTGAAGAGCAACAGCAGACATGACTGAACAGTTTTTGGGGGTTGTTCTGCACGATAGTGCGATGAGTGTGACCTGTAGCTCAGGTCCAGTTCATCGGGAGTTTTCTACTCAACTAAATCAGTAGACAGGAGCAGAGATTACAGGTGATGGGAAAAATTATTAGATTGCTGATTGGGACTTTTCCAGAAACGCAGCAGACATGGCTAATCAACTATAGAGTTAGTGTTATTGACAAATATAACTTATTTTAATCTTGTCTAGAGCTTTTTTAATCAACATAGATGATCATATGATCGTATTTCTAGATCATCTGTTTGTTAACTGGTGATCGTCTAGAGATCATTTAGAGATTATTAAGAGATCACTTAGAGTTCATCTACAGATCTAATTTTTCCCTCATCTTGAACTCAACCTCTTGACCTCCCCCAGAGCTCATCTATATATTATAGAGTCCATTCTTACTGCATCTAGAAATTAATCATTATCTAGACATTATCTAGGCCTCAGAGCTCATATAGAGCTTCTATAGAACTCATCTAGATCTCTTTTAGAACTCATCACGAGCCCATATAGAGGCTATCTAAGCCTCATAGAAGATAACTTAGACCTCATCGAATCTTCTATTTTGCTAACTTTTTTGCTCGTTTGGAGCATTCTAGAGTCATCTGCTGTTCACCTCCGTAAAGCTAGGCGCTTATCTCTGCTGATCGGGGAACCCATTTCGATTATATGTGTACTTTACTCCTATACATTTTGCTTTTGCCAATTTCACTCTATGTTGATAGCGCTATGTGGCAACTCGAACTGAGTCAAGTGCAATTAACTGAAGGCCCAATTACCTTGTGCTTAAACCCAAATTGAATTGGAACTCGCAGCCGGAAATATGATAAAAAAATGCTCAATGTATGTCTCATCGATAGACCTTCAGGCGTTGTTTAACGTGCTAACAGACTGGGACAGGTGAATAGGGTCACATGATCGTGTTATACGGGAAAGAGTGTGGCAGGCAGATCTCAGTGCATCACGGCGCTTATCTCTCGCAAATATGTAAACAAAGCGGCAGCTCCACAAAAGCATCCAAAAATAAATGAAGTATTTACGCAGACAGCTGTTTGCGGCTCCAGCTGATGTTGTTGTTGTTGATGCTGTTACTGTTTATCTGCTTTGAGTAGATAAGATTCTTACAGAGCGACAGCTTGATGAAGAACCAAAATCTTATAAGACTTCAGTTTAGATTCCACGACAAAGCTGCGAAGTATAGCTCGAGTATAAATGCTGTGAAAATTATAGAAAATTGCTTCAATATGGAAAATCTAAAGTTTGGGTAAAGAATGCAAATGAAATATTGTCTACAAATATGTATACCTATATTTGGTATTCAGCAAAAGTAAAAGTTTAAGGCAATGACCTAGATGCTGCAAATCGTCTTAAATTACCTCGAACACGTACGTGCCTGAGTGCATACCTGAGGCTGCCTGGCAACAGAAAGTTCAAGTCGGTTAACCAAAGATCTTTAGGTTTGTAGATCTCAAGCTGTTGTTGTAGAAGTGACGGCGATCAAGGAAAAATAAATAAAAGACAATTATAAAAAATAACTATAAAGGCAAGCCGTAAGCTAAAGGCAGGAACAAAAGAGTAGAGAGATAGAGAGAGAGGGAGAGGGAGATATAGCACAGCAACAGCTTCTATCACAAGCGAACGAAGGCGGCCGGTCTCTCCAAAGAAGTTGCCAGGCGGCTTACGACAGACAGGCAAACAAGCAGACGGAGAGACATACGGACAGACAGCGGCAGACGGCAGACGGCGCGATCATTGGGGGAAGCTATTGTATCTCACAAATACGCAGACAGAAAATGAGGTCAAAATCCTTGAGGTTCTTGTCCCTCAGAACGGTTGAGACTTATTAAGAGCTCAAGAGCTAAGCTTAAGAGTTAGAGCTGCCACTTTAGCTCTTATAGCTTTGATATAGAGCGGCATTTGTGGGGGCAAGAGTGTATATCATATGATCATTTATTGTATATACAACTTTGTTGCATACAATTCATTTAGAGTTATGTAAATGCCTGGGCAATTCATCAACAAGCCCTCTTTAATTAGTTGTTAATTGAAGCAGGCAGCCAGTCAGCCAGACAGCCAAGTGGAAATTTCATGTCAATTAAAATGTCTCATGATTGACCCCAAAAACATGTCAAAGACACTTTATTGTAGCTTGAAGAAAGTTTTGCTGGGAAAATGAATACGTAACGAAATTTTTCTTTACTTGAACTGCGCATTTAACTGACTGCCAATTCTCAACTATGCGGAAAGCTCTAGACTCGACTCAATTCAAAGTCAATTGTCAGCGGATTCACATATGGAACTGATGCTTAATGACGCTGTGCATAATTAACTCGAATGCAAACGATTCACTAAAAATAAGCATTGACAGCTTTGACTGTTCTATTATATGATAATACAACTGCTTTTTGCTTTAGGCCCCATCATTTAGATGGATTTGTTAACGTCTCCTTGGCGAACCGGTTGCAAATTGTAGATCTTAACTGATTTTTAACTAAAACTTAATTTGTTAACTTAATTAGCTATCTTTTTAATTCTTTAATATCATATTTTAGTAACTTTTTAAGCAGTTACAAAAAGTGACTGGTCAAATAATAGTTAAAGCAGCTTTAAGAATTGCACTGAAGTTTTCACTATGAATGTTAGCGTTATATTATCTCACCTATTGTTCTATCAAAGTTGCGGCTGAAGATCAATTGATAGTGTTACAGATCACATATTAAAAGCAGCTTCGAGCTTAGCAGAATTTGCAGCGTTCATTTTGATTATTATATCTTTAGAGTCAAAAAATAAACAATTCTTGAAGAAACCTTGAAGTCTCTTAACAGGCATTGTTGACCTAATATTAGCAGAGCTCATATATGTCGGATGTCTACAGTGATTTATAGAAATCAACATGCATATCTCAGCAGAGATCTACAGAGTTATGCAGAGATCCACAGAGATTCACAGAGATCTACACAAATCTGCAGAGATATAAAGAAATCTACACAGCTCTACAGAGATCTATCTACAGAGATCAAGAGAGATATTTAGTTCAAAATGCAGAAAGTGGGCTTAAACAGTTAGCCTAACGAGCTTGATCAGTATCGGGCCTACAGATCATCAACAGACAATCTGCAGTTCATTCATAAAGATCTGCAGCGCAAATACATAATTCCTACAGCCAGATCATATACTTCTGATTGCCTCACTTGTACAGGGTATTTAGCTGAATGCTCCATTAAAAATTCGCTGTGGCATGAAAATGTGATTGCTCGACAGTTGGCAGATGGTCACGTGCGTTGCTTAGCCTCGGAACAAGTCGCAACTGATAAATGCATGGCTTGCCATATTAATATGCTCTGATGATATGTCGAGTGCATTAGCTCATAGTTCGAGATAGCAGCACCTGCCACGTGCTCAAAGGTTGGCTGTGGCGCAGCACTTGACAGGCTGTACGAATTGGATCTCGTTCGAGGGTCGCAGACAAGCGGCCAAGTTCAATAGAACAACGTTGCTCTGTACAAATTGTAATCGAACGTAGAATCGCTTGTCGGCGCTTGTCGAATTTTCCGCTCGGTTCGCTCGCCAAAAAATTTCGCTCGCTGTCAGTTTTGGTGGAAACGTCAAGGCAACCGGTTGAGATCGCGCGAAAATTCATTTTCACACAAATTTCTTGCGCATTGACGTCGTTATTATCTTCTAAGAAGCGCGGTTACATATAACATATATAATCTTTTGGCTAGGCAGATTTTTCCGCTTTTTGGCTGATCTATTTAAGTGTTGGAATAACCAAAAATAAATTACAGAAAATATATATATTTAAAATAAAAAAAGCCCAATTTTATAATTTTGGAAATTGATAAATATATTTCTTTTGTGTGTGAAAAACAGCTGAGTGTATCTAAAATAGAATATTTGATAAAGGTAAATGAACTAACGAAAACTGATCTTCAAGAGGAACTATGAAGTCTGGGTTTACATACAGCTTATATATTGACTAGGAAGTATCAACGAAAACAGCTGTGCTGTGCTATAAATAAAATATATTCTAATGAAATATACATTCAAAAATTTGTCCATATTTTCCATATTTTCCAGTGAATAAAGCATATAAATATTAATTGCGGAAACATTATCGGAGCTGTAACTAGTTGCGAAGAAAAACGAATTCCTTTTTATATTATTTAATATAGTTATTATTCTATTTATATTGTCATTCCATCAAATTGTTTGTGTGTATAAATATTTGTTCTTTCATAAAAATTCCCACATCACAGTCAAAGTCTATTGTTCTTTGATGAACCTTTAGCTGATTAGCATTTCATCATCAATAACATCTCAGCGGCGATCTGTTAATTGCGTGTTTCAATCACAGCCAATTTATATATAGAGTATATAGCTGCTTTAACTTGTTAATCACGCGACTAGGTGGAAGTGCCTGCCAAATAGCCGACAAATCACTGATCTTGCCAGTGTTGTATAACTGTTTTGACACGTGTGCTAACACAGCAGTCATCGCGACGTCTGGACTGCTTTCCAAACAATAATGTTGACGATTCTGATATAAGCTGAAACAGTAATCAGTTGTCCGTGCAGTTCTCGTTCAAATTGTATTTGCAGTAGCAGTGGCAGTGGCAGTGGCGGTAGCAGTTTTTTATTACACTTTGTATACCCTGAAACCAGTGAGAATGTGTAGACCTGTAATATTGTAAGCTAGGTATGTCTATATGAAGGAAAGTAAAGTATATCTACTATCGCCAAGTATTAGGAATTTGTGGGTATAGAGCGTCTGTCTGTCTGAGCTGTACTTCAACCTTGCCTCTATCTGTCATTATGTTCGTATCTCTTCGCTCTTCTCACAGCACTATATACTTGAAGTCTTTTACTTAGAATACATTTATACAGCTTGTGCTGTACATTAATAACTCTTTTTGATTTATATGAAATCGATAAATATCGATATGGAACTCTAGTTAATTCAGCAAATCGTAAGATCAAGAAAGAACTAATTTGACTTGAAGTATTTACTCCACTCTATGGATAACTTCCATACATTCCTTGAGCTTGAGTCGTTGCACAGGGTATCTAACTAGTCGTTCACTTTAATCTACTCGCTCTGCCTTAGTTGCCTTCAAGTAAGTTTACAATTTCGTTGAGTTTCCCAACGGACGGCGCGTGGCAGCGGCACAGCTAAGCGCTTCTTTTTCCATTGCATCGAGTGTCCAAGCACAATTGATTGACCGATATGATACGAGACGTATATTTGCTTGTATTACAATATTTTGCATGGATTTGCATATTTATGCTCGCTGAGCTCTTTTCATTCAGCATAAATTGAGGCTCACACGTCGGCGACAGGTCGCAACTGTTGCCAACTGAGCGGCGGCGCAGCCATTGAATTATGCATGAGCCGCGTTAGCAGATGATCTGCTGCCTGCCTAAGGTTTCCATCACGTTTTGGATACATGAACTGCCTCGTAATACTTGCCCATTTCTAAATTTGAATACATCTGTTATTATTTAGTTAAGGAAATGGGCTGCTCGTTGCTCGTTGGCTTTTAGTGCAGTAATTATTTAAAAATTATTTGTTAGCTTCAGATTTTTATTGATAGGAAAACTTAAGTATGTCTATGAATATTTTCTTATATGTTTTCCTTTATTTATTTTGTATACGTATTTAATTTATCGCTGTTTATCAAAAGGCAGGCACATAGAACTTGATTTGTGGATAGAATCATTTAGCATAAAATGAATTATTTGAGTGCTCTACTAATGGGTACAGTTAGCGCAAAAGCTTCAATTCTGAATGTTCCCATAAATCATAGGCATTGATATTGTTTATCTTAGGAAAGTTCCAAGTAAACGCCCGACCGGAATTTTAGCCACTGTTGCTTCGAGTGTGTCTAGACTGACAGCAGCATAGCTAAATATTTTCACAATGTATGCAATCTTATCAATGTTTCAGTTGGGTTGAGTTGAAACGGGGCTGTTTCTGTCTGGACATATTCAGAGTACTTTGCTATCGACTAAGTCAATTATTTACAGTCGACTTAGTTGATTGATTGGGCTGACAAATCACTGGAAAAAATGAAAATGCGACACAGTTGCCAAGGCATATCATATGATAATATCCATGTATGTATCTATATAATATCTAGTTTAGTTGAGTTGCTGCAATGCGCACTTTGAAGTCTATAAATCAGCCATGTACGCTGCTCACATCTAAGCAAAAATAAAGACAAGACCAACTTTGTGTGCTGCATAAACAAGAGACGATAACGATAATAAAACTTAATTAACTACAGTTAGCTTTCTAGGGAAAAATAAGAAAAATAGACGTCAAACATTTGACTAAGCTTATGGGCATTAGAAGGCTACGTTAGCTCTCAGGCTATTGACGTCATTGGCAAACTTTACTAAAGGCTTTATACCTGGCCGAAACTTGGCGTAGTTCAACGTGCAATTGGCAGCTCGTGAGCGGCTGCATGACTGACAGATTTTCCTAGCCTTGACGCCAATCACATGATCATTCGTTTACAATGCAAATCAATTTGGGTAAAGTTGTATAAAAACAAGGAAGGGTGCTCTTGGCGGGTATGCTCGACGGGAGAATGCCCTGAAACCAACTGATGGCAATCCTAATTAAGTGTGGAAGGGCAAGAGGCATTAAGGAAAGAGGCGTTAGCAATGATCGAATCATTGTACATATATCCATTAAAACCCAAATAAGACTATCGATATTTATCGATTTTAACAAATCGAAAAGTGATAAATGGGTACCTTGGTTTTATTATATAACAATTCTCTAACTTTGTTGGTTATCGAGGCGTATAGAAAGATGCATATACAAAGAAATAGGCAAACAGATAGACGCAGTATTTTTGTTTGTGCTCGGCTTGAGTTTCTCCTGTCTGTAACCTACATTTGAAAAGATAAACTTTAGCCTATTTAACCAATTTAGCCAGGGCATATAAAACATTGATGTGCTTAAACAAAAGTAAGAAAACACCTTTAGACAGACATGTAGAGGTTGGCTTTCCTTCCATTGACTGCAGCTGCTTTTCACTTGTTTATTTTCCCAAGTGAAACGAAAATGAAATTAATTTCATATTGGCTAGCTGCAAAAAGCAAACAATCAATGCGCACTACAGATGGAGTCTACAGTGTGATTCACTGCGAAATACCTCGTGATTCAGACACAAAATGAAGAAAATCAGTTATTAAATATCATTAAAATGAACTTCTCATGCCGTTCAGTAATCAGCATTGCTAATGATTTCCAGCGAAATGAAGTGTCGACACTCATTAGGCCAGAACGTGTTCATAAATATGTGTATTTAAATTGGTTTAAGCTGGTCAGCTGATCAGTTGTCTGACAGTTTCTTAACAGTTGCAATTAATTTAAAAGGGGACTACCCAGAACTTGACATAAATACAATTAATCATCTGCAAAGGCAGTTGAGGAGCGAATTCAACTTCAACTTTGGCTTCAACTATGAACCACATTCGAGACTGAATATTTATAATTCCCAAGTGGTTGTAACTGATTGCTGCTTAATGCTGTTGTAATTCCCAACTCCTTAGATTGCCCATTCAGGTGAATTTGTCTAGCAATTAAGAGACCTGAAGAGCAGTGGCTGCTGGCTTGATTAGTTGCCATTCGCGCCAATTGAGCTTTAACATCGCAAGACATCAATTCAAGTGGCCTGTGCTCCAATTCAAGTGTCGCCAGGCCCACTTAGCTGCCGGGGGACCACCAATCAACTGGTCACGGCTCATATTTCATCTGAATAAATAAATAAATAAATACATTTGAATAAAATCGTTGAACTTGTGCGCGTGCGCAACGTTTTCATAAATATTTTACATAAACAAAGTCTGGCCAGTCAAGGGAGCTGACTTTATAGATTAGACTGAAAAAACAAATACAAAACTGTTGAGCGTTTGATTTGAATGTTATTTAGGGACTGGAGGCGCCGCCTTTTAAGATTTGCCCACAGCAGACTAAACAATCCACTTATTTTATTAACTTTATATTTCTCTTTCTCCTTGCAGTACTTCAAATGGGTTGACTTGGGATATTTAAGCTTCCTGGACCCGGGAAACAAAAAAGGTAAGTCAAAATGAAGAAGTGAGCAGTAAGAGCTAAGAACTAAATATAATAGAATATAAATTTAGTAGTTAATGATATTATATAGAAAGAAAAACTAGAAAAACCCTTTTAGAATAAGCTCTAGCTAAAGGCAACTCAGTCGTCAAGCAAATGGCAAATGCTTTTCATATATTAACTAAACTGAAATGTGTTTGATTCCTTGATTGATTGATGCTTTGCTGTGCAAAATATTTGGCATTTCATAGCTGACAGATGAAAGTTTTTAAACACTCAATATATGCATAAGAACAACAAGAAAGTCGAGTGAATTAATTTGCTTACATGAATTTCATATCAAATAATTCCACGTGCCCGACAATTTGCGATCTATTGAAAATAGAACGCTCAACGGGGCGTATACGCAATTTGTTTATCTTTATAAAACAGTTGCACAAGTTGATGTTGTATTCGATTCGATTCAAAATTCTAATTACAAACCATTATATTCCGCCTTTACAAGGCCATGAGCTGCTCAAAGCACATATTATTCAGCGTGAGGGGGCGGGGCAGGCATATGTTGCACCACTAACTAAATAAGACAACTGACATCATTTACAGATTTATGAAGCTTGACTTTTCTATGCTTAAACTAATTTATGATGTGAGAAACACATAGATGGAACAGGTGGGTGAGTGTTTACTGAGCTGTGAGTGCCATAAAAGTGCGCCACATCCAGATCCACTCGGATCATAAAGCAAATATATGAAAATAATTTGGAAAATGTTTACGCCACGAGAGAAATAAGAAATGTTGCCAAAGTTAAGATTTAGTTGGACAGATTGAGGCATTTTGATGGGCTGCCGTTGCTTGGACATGAATTACAGTCCGAGATCGTGGCGCAAAAAGTCTAATTGAGACGAATTACAAACTGAATTGAAATAAAGGCGAATTGTTTATTATTATTGAGCAGCAAATGCGCTTTGTATAAATATTTAGACCAAGCGAATAATAATGGGCGTTCTTTTCATTTAAATAGACGAGCCGACGTCATAGAGAAATGCCTTTCAAATAGTATAATATAGGGCAGATCTTTAATATATAGTGAATATGTGAGTTCAATACAATTTACTTAATGTTTCCTTTTCACATCCATTTTCCAGGGATAAACTTTGATCTTATGTAAATTGAAATAGTTTGGACGCGCCATAGATACACTTAGCTGAGCTGCTGCTACTGGACATAGCAGCAAGAAGGCAACAACCACACACACTCAGACAAGCAACCAACTGCACCACACGTAGACCAGGCATTAACATAGTTTTGGAAATAATTCTCTTTTCGATTGATCACCGTTTGAGCCACTGCCCAAGAGCAGCGACAACACCGATGAACCAAACGGCCGTTTCGCTTGACAGCGCGGCCACCGTGAAGAAGAACAGCAGCAGCAGCAGCAGCAGCAGCGGCAGCGGCAGGAACTGCAGCAGGATACAGGACACACATCCTGGCGCTTTTGGCCAAGTGATTGCCATCAAACTGGGCCACTCCTACGCGGCACGCGCCGACCTCAACTATTGCCGAGCCGAGTGAGCAGCGCACTCAATCACAGACAGCATCGCCCCAGAGAGCAGAGTTAACCAGAATAGGCCAAGGCATAAGTTTGTATAGATTTCTGATTTGAAGCGGCTTCAAGACGGACGGCACAATGTTGAAAGTCGTTGGTGCATCATGGCAGAAGACGCGTATAGGCACGTATATACTGATCGGAGCCGGCTTGCTGGTGATCGGTGCATTCTTTATCGGCTATATGGATCGGCCCGAATACGATGGCACCTACTGTGCGACCGCGTTCTGGACGAAGAAGGTGGGCTTCCAAATCGAGAATTGGAAACAGCAAAACGATTTGGTTAACATACCCAAGGGCGTGGCTAGAATATGCTACAAGGATTCTGTCTATGAGAATGGGTAAGTTCCATCCATGCTCTCAGCTAACAGATTTGCTAACGTCCAGGGATCCCTTGCAGTTGGGCACAAATTGAGGTGGAAACGCAGCGCAGTTATCCAGACTGGGTGCAGGCCTATGCTGCTGGCATTCTAGAGGGTTCGCTGACCTGGAAGAACATCTACAATCAGTGGGCCAAGTAAGTGTGACTGCCATCCATCACATCCATCTGCAGCTGCTCATTGCTCTCCTCATTCTAGCACAATTTCATCGTCTTGCGAACGTGATGAAAGCTCGCAGAAGTTTTGCGAGTGGCTGCGCGATCTGCTGACCCGCAACTATGAACATCTAAAGGAGCAGGCGGCGGCTAAAGCTGAGCACGATCACTACTGGCATCAGTTGCATTTGGTGCTCAATCAGCTGGAGGGCATGGAGACGGGCTATATTCGCGGTGCCACACGCGCTCGCTCCGACTTGGAGGAGGAAATTCCACTGTCCGACTTTCTGCTAATGAATGCTGCCGCTGATATCCAGGATCTGAAGATCTACTATGAGAACTATGTGCTGGCCAATGGCACTGGCACCGCCGAGGTGGGCAGCAAGAACTTCTTTTTGCCCAGCGCATCGATGCTGACGAGGCTGATGCGCCAGGAGCAGTCGCCGCAGCTGCTGCAGCTGCTCTTCGGTCACAGCACTGCAGGCAGCTATTCGTCCATGCTGCGCATACAGAAGCGCTACAAGTTCCATTACCATTTCTCGCCCGATACGCGCAGCAACACGGTGCCCGGTGCGGACATCACCTTCACTGGCTATCCAGGCATCGTTGGCTCCACGGATGACTTCTATGTGGTCAAGGGACGGCAAGTGCAGTCCATTGTGGGCGGCGTTGGCATCAAGAACGAGAATCTGACAATGTGGCAAGCCGTGGACGTGGAGAACATGGTGCCACTTGTGGCACGCGTCATGGCCGCCAATCGCATAGCTCAGAATCGACGCACTTGGGCGCGTGCCATGGCCCGGCATCCGATAACGGGTGCCAAGCAGTGGATCACCGTTGATTTAAACAAGCTGGGCACCCAGGACCATCTGTACAATACGCTGGATGCGGACGAGAAGCACGACGATGCGCCGGTGGCAGTGAATGAGAAGGACAACGCGGCCATCAGCGAGCGCCATGATCAGCTGAAGAACATGGTGTGGATAGCGGAACAGCTGCCGGGGCTTATGCACAGCAAGGATGTCACGGAGCGCTTCCTGTTGGCCGGCAACTCCACCTGGCTGGCCAATGGAGTGCCCTACTTCGAAGAGATTCTGAAGGCTAGCGGCGGCTCCAGCGACAACTACAGCGAAGATCACACACTGACGGCCGCTGAGGAGGCCGAACTGACCAATCTGGAGGCTGTGGATAAGTACTTGCGTAATCACGGCTTTCGCGGCGATCTGCTGGGGGATGAGTCCATTGCCTATGGCAACATCGACCTCAAGCTCTTCTCCTACAATGCACGCCTCGGCATGAGCGACTATCATGCCTTTGCCGGACCCATTTTTCTGCGGCTGCAGCATGCGCACGCCCGTTCGCTTGAGGAGGGCCACGTCCAGGTGGTGGATAATCAGGCGGATCAGGCAGCGCCCGCTGCCATTGGAGACGAGCGGCTCAGTGTGACCATAGACGATGCAGCTGCTCTGGCGGAGCTGGAGCTGATCACGGAGCGGCGGCCGGTGCGGAATGATATGAGGGCCATTGCGATGAGAAGGATTGGCAGCGGTCCGTTCAAATGGTCTGAGATGACCAGCCTGGATGATGGCAATCACGAGGGTCATCCCGATGAGTGGAACTTTGATAAGGTGTCGCCCAAATGGGCGTGGTAGCCTGTCAAAGCTAAACTATTCACCTAAAATCGCAATAGAACAAATTCCCAATCGAATTTCAACAGCGACAACAACCGCGAAGCAATAATTGTACCTAGTTTTGTAATTTTAGATTTGTCTCCTGTGTGTTCCTAGCTCTTAAATCGTAAAATTGTGTTGCGTCCATAGTCATAAATTGTAGTTGTGCCCGTAACATATCAATGTCAATTATTGTCTTCCAGTTGATATTTGTTTTTATTCAAAATTTTAACGCCTATAGTCTCAAATTTTAGCTAATAGTAGTAATTTTTTATATATAAACTGAAACAAAACTGCAAACAATAAAATGTTGGATTTATTTATGTGAAATGAAATTTAGATTTCTGTTTAGTGAAGACAAGAACCAAACTGTGCAGCGCCATCTAGCGATAGCTATCGCACAGTACAGCACTATTCTTATGTGTGGAGTGCGGATGCTGTGGATGTTGTGGATTGCATGTGATTTTAAGTGACTGTTACGTTCAAATGAGGTTAGTATAGTAAAAAGTAGTTGATATGATTGTATGAGTGGAAAATGGAGCTGCTGATATATGTAAATATGTGATAACCCCTATACCCAATGGGATTCTGATTGACTTAGCTGTTAGGTTGTCGGTGGAAGAGAGAAGCAAGTTTGAGTCTTATTAACAATACCTAAAAAAATAAACAAAAATATATTTATTTTCCTTTCAATGAGCATCCATGTTAAATTAATATACATAAGAAAACTTTCGTCTTAACAGCTAAAGTCGGTCCCTGGGGACTATCTCTTTAGTCCCAAACATTTATAGTTTACAACTTTCAAAAGTTCTTATGTTTTTGAGTTATCTCAAGTATAAGGACTCGCTCCATTTGTCTAGTGGTCCAAGTCCAAGTGGTCTTCTGAAATGCGCATTCATTATTCACATTTCGATATAAATTGCCACGCATTGCATTCAGTTAGCCAATAACCGCAACGCGAGAAACTTTTTGGGAAACAATTCGTGAAATGTTCGCATCAATTGCTGTGCCATCGGGTATATTGATTTCAAAATTGAATTTGCAAGTTTCTTCTCTTTTTTTGTTGTTGGACAAACGACAAACGAGGCCAATTACTTAGAGATATTTGTGTCGAAAACTTTGTGCGAAACTTTACAAAATTTCCCTTTGTCTAACAGCGACAACAAGACAATTGTGAATGCAACATACAAAGTGGAGAGAGAGAGAGAGAGGCAGATAGAGAGATAGAGTGAGAGAGTGCGGGTGCGGCATCTGTAGAAAGAAGAAAAATCCCCTTTTATGCTTTGATTATGGTAATTTTGCGATTTGTTTTCATTGCAGTGAAACATGCAATTTTCCTATATATATGGGAAGAGCAAACTTCGAGCTGTTCCCACACAGAGATACGTTTTGGACTAGCACTCTATACAGATATATGTATATATATGTGTTATATATATATTGTATAATATGCATTGCGCCGTAAAAGCAACTGCTTTGCTTTCTGCTTGACAGAGGCGAAGGCATGGCCGATGCGCCTCTCCCCCTCCTCCACTCGCACCTCCAAACTCCGAGTCCGGCATTTGCATAAGTTGTGCAGCGAGCGAGCGAGCAAAAGGAATTACGGGCAAGTATTTTGCATACATTGGGCCCAAAGCACATCCAAACTGACTTTGGCCAGCGGCAAAGACGCCTTGCACTGCCTTTTATACAAATTACAATTTATATACATATATATATATCTATATATATATATATATATATATATATATATCGTATATAGATATAAATGTTTGGCCAATTGCTGAGTTATGGCCAGTCGGCTAGTTGGCTGGCTGGGCAGCTGGCCCGCGGCTAATATCAATAAACGTAAATTTACTTTGATGCTAATGATTCGGCTGCTGGCGTTTGTCAGACAGTCGAATGCATTTAAATACTCGCCACGCCTAATGCTGTTATTGTTATTGATCAATCCATCAATATGCCAAAAGGGCTAAATTAGTGCGTCAGCGCATTGCAAATAGCCGCAGGTCAAGCGGCCGCTCACTGATTTATAATTGTAAATTTTGTTGTTATTTTTTAGTTGCTGCAGCTGCAGGTGTTCGCATTGTATTGGATTTGCCAATTTGATTTATGGCCCAAAGCGCGACCAAAGCGACCAGCAGCACATTTTATGACGTCACACGCAGCGCATACGTAACGCATTGGCCCGAGCTGCGTATGCTTGATTTAATTATGTGCGCGCGACTGACTGAATGGGCGAGTACTCTAACTGAATGAGAGTTGCCTGGAAGTGTTGATTGAGAATATAGAAAATTTATATATAATATATCTGCTGCTTTCTCTCTGCAGCATTAATCAAATGTTCAGGCTTCAGCAAGAGTTATTGATTTGATAAAGCTGTACATAAGCTTATTCAAGGGACATTGCTTCAATTGAATCTGAATGTGGCAACAAAGCAGCAAAAATAAATAAAATAAATATATAAATATAATATTTAACTTGAATTGATTTCTATTTTTCTATCAACTCTAGCTGAAATTTTCCCAGCCATTTCAACAGCTTGCATATGATTTTCCTATTCTGCCTTTCATTCACGTTTGGTAAGCGCATTTGAGCTTCGGCTGCTTCTCTTCACTGGGCATCAATGTGCAAATTGATTTATTATGAGCCGTAAATATTTGATGAAATTAGTTTTCGATATTTGTGCGCTGTTGGGGCTTATGAGCGAATGGTTAGAGTCCAGCCAGGCCAACATATAAACATATGTCTGACAGCTATTTCTCTCTCTCTCTCTCGCTCTCTCGCTCTCTCTGGCTCTGAGTCCCTTCTAGCCGAAAAGCACACAAAGGATGAAAATCATTTTATATATTTGCTCATTTATTTGGCCCAGTTTTTTGTGTGGAAGGCAACAGAGACCAGGAGACCAAGAGACCAAAAACCGACGTTTGGTTAAACATCTTAATAAAGAATTTGTAAGGCTTAGCTGTAACAACAACGATAACAGAGCACGACTGTGGACTGTCCTACCGTGCGGGTGCGGCCAGTCGTTGATAAGCACGCGTTGACTTTAAAGAATTTGCCCAAATAAATACTCAGAAACATCTTAACCCAAGTGCCAAACAATGGCCAGACAATGCCCTGCCGCCGGCCTTCACTCGACTGCACATTATTTTCGTTTTCTCATCTGCTTCTTCTTCTTTTTCATATTTTGCTACTGAGGTCATGAGGTCATCAATTTTGTAAAATAAGAAAAATTTGTGCGCCGCAGCTGCGCTGCCAGCGTCGCTGCCATCGTCGCCGTCGCTGCGATTGTGAATTAATAAAAAAAACGTGCCTCGACGACGGCAGCTGCGGGCAGCATCAAAGCGTGATTTGAACCCATTTTAATTGTCGTTTATTAATGGACATTTTCGGCGTTTCTCTCGCTCTCGTTTTTGTACTTTTTTAAAACTCATTTGGGCAAGTGCAAAGAGAGTATATTGGGTTGTGTGAGAAATTCATGTTGCTGCCAATGCGACTGCCTTAGTGAGCTGATGACCGTTTGTAGCTATTGAAGGTAAATCGAATAGAATAACAAGAATAATTTAATTTAAAAAATATAATAGTTTATTTGATTTTATCATTGGGGCATGGCATATTGATACTTACTATTCACTTGACAACTTAAGATATTTTGAGTTCGATATATATCAGATGATTTTTTTTTAGAGTAATACAAGTATAAATGATAATAAAACAAAGCATATATATTTAATGTTTAATGAAACAAACTTTATTGAATTAAATATCTTATGACATTAATGTCTAAATATAATTTTGGCTATGACCGCTAAGGCTGGCACATACAAACTATCAACTATTGACAGAGGTATAAAGCCTAGCAAATGAGTAATAACTTCATCTGAGTTTCTAGCATAGACGGGTATCACGCAGTCAGTTGTGCTCGCTCGAACATTTTTTAGAAAAATGACAAAATAGTTGCGTGTGATAAATGAGTTTTGAGTGCAGTCAAATTGAAGAGGACAAAATTAAATTTGAGTTTTTTATTTATGTGCTGAAATTAATCAATAAATTAAAACAGCAAAGGAAGCAGCAGCAGTAGCAGCAGTAGAAGCGGCTGGAGTTTATGGCATATTTACAATTATATTTGCAGGTAACAAAACAAGTTAATAACCCACTCAAGCAACTGCAATAAACTTTGGCATCAATAAGCCAGCTGCCAGCTGACAGCTCAGCTATATGCATACAAGACCTAAGCCACTTCGAGTCTTCTGAGCTGCAGCAGCAAAACAATAAACATGTCGAAACTACTCAAACCCACTCAGCCCGCCCAGATTGGCGACTGTCATAGAGATGCAAAAAAGGAAAAAATAGAGCGAGAGCAAAAATATATTGAGTAGATGATTTGAGAAACGTTAGAGAACTGTGACAAACCAAGACGACAGGCAACATGGGGCATGGAACAAGCACTTAAAAACAAAATCATCAACGCAATTGAAGTTGTTAACAACTGCATGCAGCATGCACAACGGGTTGTTCTGGGGGCGTGGCAAATGAAAACAAATAGAAAAAGTACTCTCAAGCAGAAAGACTAAAGCATTGACGAGGCAACATGTTTTGCATTTTTCAAGTGTCTCTGCATGACTGTGACGCTGTGTGTGCGGGTGTGTGTGTGTGTGTGTGTGTGGGTAGCAGTTTATGATTAAAGTAAAAGCCTGAATATCGAATACTTGGCATGACAGGGCGTCATACCGCCAGGCTCGCATCCTGCTACACGGCGCACGCTTCTGCAACTTCATCATTGTGATAAATGAGCTTTGGATGTTGTGCGCCGGCAGCTACAATAGCAACAACAACAACACAAACAACATCATTGCTATCGACAACAATAACAACCCAAATGGCTGAACATTTTTCGATAATATATATAGATATAGAGAGATTGAGAGAGAGTGAAAGAGAGAGAGAGAGAGAGAGAGAGAGTGTAAGCAGAGCTGTAGAAAAATAGGAAAAAATTGTAAAAAAGTTTCGCCGCTCGAATTGTTATTAACAAGTTTTAAACAAAAAAGTTCAAAGCTGAAGGATTTATGCCACAACCCACACACAAGCCACCCAACCACCCAACCACCCATCCACTCGACCAACAGCCAAGCGAGTCGAAAACTAACTAAAAAGCAAAACTTTAAACATTTTCATGTGTTTTGATGACTCCCAGCAACAGCAACAACAACAGAAGCAACAACAGCAGCAACAACAACAACAACCACAACAACA